TGACATGCCCTTATATTTTTTATATATTGTACAAATTATTGATTGTACGCGTGTGTCTGAAAACTGGGCAGCCCAAATCTTCATGATTTACCCTCTGGTAAATAAACAGTTTGACCCTGAAAATCACCCATTTTTAATGGTTCCACTAGTCTTCCAACCCCGATGACTGCCAGGGTCGTCATGTTAATTTAACAGAGGGTAATCGTATTCTTAAGCTGCCCAAAATGGGGTGTCTACCACCCCATTTTGGACCGAGTCGCTTCTCTCGACCCTTCGATCCGGTTGATTGCAGGGTGTGGTACTTAGTACCAAGCAATATATGAGATGATCATCATCTATTATGGAAATCCCTATGGACACGCCCAAACAAAGCAGCAACATGGAATGATTTGGAGTGTCTTGAACTGCTGTTTTTGCAATAGGTACTCCAAATGATCTGATAGAAATTGGGGAATTGTTTCTTCAGATGCCTTATTTCTTTTGGAAGTGGCTCAAAAAGATCCCAGTTGCCAATTGCGAATGCTAACTTACTGGACCAGTTTGCCAGCCCAGTAACTGGAGATGGTGGTTGCCCTGTGGTAGTGAAACACCCCTACATAACGAATGCTTGGAACTAGGGAAACCACCACAAAAAAAATATCTGGTTGGAACTGGGGTTCCACACATAAATTTAAGGTCCCAAAAACATCCCTTAAAATTGTATTTCTAGAATCAAAACTGCAATTTCTAGAAATTTCAGAATACCCCCCCATTCTAAAAAAAAATGGTTTGTAGTGAGACACATTGAGACTGAGGTTGGCGTGTCCCAGAACTCTGATCATGATTTTGAGACCATGCGGACGGCGGGATGATCAAAATGCGGGACATCACGTGATGTAGAACCAGAAAACCGCTGGGAATGAGACAGCAAACAAGAATTCGAAGTATTTTTGAGAAGTTTTTCTGGAGGAAAAGCTGAGGAATGAGACAACAAATGACAACAAAAATTCGAAGTGTTTTTAAGATTTGCCCTTCGCAGCGACGTCCCAGCCTTCGGCAGGCTGCTTCTTTCAATGTCCTCTCATCCTTGGTTGCTTTCACGGCCTTTGTCCTATGCCGTTTCTCGTCTTTTGTGGCCTCCACGAAAGGCCATTTATGCCATCCCCAAGTCATGGCCAGATGGGTGGGATTGATACCATCCCGAATCATTGGAGTTGAGGACATGGCGACAAAAACTATGGGCTGCCCTACTGGCTGTGCCATACTTCAATCTGAGGTAAGCATGGGGTTCATGCCTCTGAAAAATCATAAACTGAAGCCACAAGTGGCTATTGAATTGGTAGCTTTGAACTTTTTTCTTGCAAAGCTTGCGCCGTTTCGGCCCTTTTAGGGTGAAAATTGATTGAAAACGAAGGTCCCAAGTGAGGTGTATATCCCCATAAAGGAAGCTCCCAATGGATGCCCAATGTGTAGCATCAAACATGGCTTGCTGGCAAATTTCCCATTGAATTATAGCATTTAGTTCGATGTTCGCAGCTAACTAAACCTCCATTTATATTGGGGATTTCCCTTGCCATGTTTGATAACACCAGAGGTTAAATCCATTGATATCCTATGATTGTCCCGTTCATCATCCCAATATTATCCTGGTTGGTGGTTTGGAACATTTGGATTATTTTCCCCAATAGCTGGGATGCTGATCCAATCTGACTTTCATATTTTTCAGGGGTAGGTCAACCACCAACCAGATCTGTGTGTGTGTGTAATTTTAAATCATCCCAAATGGGGGTATACCCAACAAGAATCCTCTGGTGGAGATGGTTCATGATGGTTCAATAATGTTCAATATATGGTTGGTTCATGATGGTTCAATACCATTTAAGTATCAGATGAAATGACTATTGGGGGAATACCCCCTAATTTACCTAATGTTCATAAACCATGGTTTATTGATCCGGGGTTGACATTAAACCCTACTAATCATATCAAGCCCATGAAATCCCATGGTTTCCCCAGTTTCCCCAGGTCATTTCTGCCCTGCCGTCTACTGCAAACCCGAGCTCATGACCTCCGAGACGGTGCGATTTCAATCACGCATTTATGGAGATTTCACACAGAAAAATATGGGAATCTTCTCTGGTAAGACTTGGCAGTTTGCCATAACTAAAGATGTCCACTATCTGAAAAATAACTGCTTGGTGGTTTCAAACCCCCTGAAAAGTCGATGGGAAGGATGGCATCCCATATTTTGTATGGAAAATAAAACATGTTTGAAACCACCAGTAATATGTACATCGAACGAAATGGGCCATGGCTTCCATAGCTTAGAAGACCGGAGGGTACAAAATGTTTTTTCTCCATCCGAAATGAGCTTCTCATGGAGAACTGAAGCCCGGGGACCAGTCATGCAGTGCCCCTCAAAGGTGAAAGTTGGCAACTCATCCAAGGTATGGGTCACTTTGAAGGGGAAAAGCCATGGGAAAGCCATGCTTTTGGCACCTGATGCAACCTGGATCCATCTGGATTCTTAATCTTTGCAGGTTGGCACTGCACCATGCTTCAAGACCCTCAAATTGCTAGAAACAAGAATAGTTCTTGAAGAGATGCTGCTGGTTCATTTTTCTGCAGAATCAACGAACAATGAATCTATTGCTCCGGGTAATCCATATGCCAGGTCTTCAAATTCATTGTTCTAGAGAACACTTATGTTTAATATGTTTATTGGGTATTCGAACTGGGATGAGAAGGATGAGAAATCACCATATCTGGTTCTGAATCATGGCCCCCAATGCGCCACAGGAACCCTACTGTGCATCTTAGCGGTCCTATGGACGCTGTATGTATCATCTATAGGATATGTATATATATATGGGTATATATGTGTATGTGTGTATAATATTTGGGAATATATATATATATATCCACAATATATATATACATATAATATATATATATATATATCAAATTTTAAATATAGATTAAAAATTGGCGACGGAGAACCCTATAGAATGATGTCTCCGTGCTGAAAAGGCCGACACCGGAATTCTCGGAACTCTCTTCAGCCGGGGCAGCCCAGTGGATCCCGCGAAAGGCACCGCCTCATACCCTCAAATCCCAAAAAAGAAACTTTTAGATATATCCCATATATATATATAATTATATATACATATATCACATATATAATATATTATATATAATATATATAATAATCCACACGAATCTTGGAAAAGGTACACTCCGATGTCATCAAACGTGGCAGCCTGGGAATCCCCTAATTCTGAATGGAGCTTGTAATGGGGTGATGACTTCATTTTCGAGTACCACCAGGGAATGACCCGAGGGAATGTTTCACCAAGATTATTAACTTCCCATTTAGAAACATCACCAGGATTATAACATGTTGAAGTGGGATAGAAGCCTCAACAAAGAAGAATAGTAGTTTCTAAAAAAAAGACGTACCTTGCCCAAGTATCTAGCACCTAAACACCACACTTCGATCTGAGATCGTATAACATGTGTGAAGATACATACTGTATTTCGTTGAATTATGCAGTGATTAGGACGGAACTAGAGAGTTTTTGGCATCCATACTCTCAACAAAATCCCACCGAATGGAAAGCCCAGGAGCTGCTAGGAGTTTCCATCCAGTTTGTTTCTCAGCATGTCCCCCACATTCCCAACCGACTGGCTGGGTAGTTTAATCCTTTAGTTGCCTTAGTTGTTTGCTAATGGAAAATAACCACAACCAGTAAAGATGTTTTTTTGGTGGACTATCAAAGATTGACAATGAATATGTTTATTGGTTTAGCCCAGAAAAGGAAAAGCAGAGCTTTGATGCTTCAACCAAGCTTGGCACAGATAGTCAATCCCTTCCACCAGAGTTTCGATGGTGTTTTTTTCATATGAACGGGGGAAGGGATCGCTATGACCGCTATGATTGGTGGAGCATTGGGGATGGGTTCAAAGCACCAACCAGATTTTTTGGGGTCCACGATGTTTTGGGTGATGTTTCCTGCATAATTTTTGAGTTTCCAACTAGAACATACTAGAACTATTGATTTCATTGGAAATCATGAAGGAAACACCATCTTACTTTGCACTAAACAGATAGTTTGAAGTTTCCACTAAACCTTTCATACCAACTATCTGTTTGGGGATTGCTTAGATTATTTCGTTGTGATTCTTCATGTTCCAGGTTTGTCCCGTCGACTCTTCGATTGGGCCTCCTCGGTACATAGCATGGAGGAGAGCTGGAGAGCAAAACATGGAGATCTAGGCAACAAAGATGGGGATTTAGTCGCAAAACGGCGATTGAAGCAGCAAAGACAGGCAGAAATAAACGCAAGAAAAGACGGTTGTTTTTTTTCACACAAACTTGTATAGCTGAAATGGATGTTTCTGAGAAACATTGGGATTTCAACAACAAAAGCGTTGGTGTCCATTAGTGGTTGTTGCTTTCGGTGTCTTCATGAGGATTTCGGGGAAACAAGACCTGGGATGAACCGAAAAATTGTTTCAAGACTGGGGGAACCAAGCCATTCTCCCAGCGGTGTTTTGGTTTTTTGGGTTTGGTATCCTTTAAAATGGTTTGTATAGCCAAGAACGATCACTCCGATGGTCATGAGTCATAAAGGTCCCAGCAATGACGTTCCTTAGACGTGGGATTGGATAGTGAGAAAGGCGTAAACCAAACCAGGCGACCAAAAGACAGATTTGACATGGAAGAAACAGAAGCAATGATTGTAAGCAAGTGGATGTAAGAGGGGTTCTTATATTGTGGGTTTGATGACCAAAAGATGGGTTATTTTTTGATTTGAAGAACACATCAAGGTATGAAAGCACAAAGAATTACCACAACAAATATCATATATATATATACACATAAATGCATATTGTAGTATTAGATACATATATTTGGTGGAATATGTTGGACAAATTACCAGAAGCATTTGTTAAGTCGATGGAGCCTCACCATTGCGCAGGATGAGGATGTGCTGAAGCATGCGGGCTTAGATGGCTTGATGTTCCTGGAGTTCATGTCGTTGGGAAGGCGGCCGCAACATCAATGACCGGGTCGTTAGGATGAAGCAGGTTGTTGGGGTAGAACAAAAACATATTGGATGGGTTTTGCTATATATATTTATATATGTATATTGATAGATATGTGATATTTGTGATATTTTGTGGTTAATTATATACAATATCGGTTTGTTTGGGAATAGTGCAACCCCCAAAATACAGGCTTAATCAGAATGTTCATTTGTTTTCCCATCTTGTCCCCGTTTCTTGAAACGGGGACAAGATGGGGTATACCACATGTTTAGCCAATGCCATATGCAACAATGTCCATTTGCATGATCAAACATAGCTAGAAGCGAAGTGGATAATTAAAGGAACCCCCTTAAGTGGAGAACCTTTCTCTCGGTCGGGACCCGGGGATTTCGGATGAAGTTGGAAATAGTTGGAATAGTCTCACAAGAATTCAGTGATAAATCACTGTTCTAATCTGTTCTATCTTTTTTTTTGGAGAGTTGCTATACTATAAACATCTATAAACCCATGGGTTTAACCCTGGAATTTGATGCCCACATGGATATTGACGGTGGAGCTGCCGGGTGCGAGGCTACGTGGATAGATGTCACCATAGCCAGAAAGCGATGAGATATGATGTACATCCATTTTAGATTGAGATTTTCAACTATAAACCTTCCATTTTTTGGGATACCTCCATTTATGGAAACCCCCGTATACATATGGGATCTCCCCAGGAAACAAATATGGGTGAAAAGTCACACAGGGACCCCATTCCTGGGGCCCGAAAACATCCATACGTAGTGAATGGATAGGTTTGGCGTTCGGCGTTCGGAGGAGGATTCTTTTTCGGAACGGAGCCGTGAAAGAATCCGGAGGCCGGTCTTCCATAATCCCTGAGATTAGCTGACTAGTTTGTAAGTAGGCTGTATACATAAATATATATATAATTAACTATATATATAATTAACTATATATATATAATTAACTATATATATATATATATCATACACATATCAATAGATATTGATATATATATATATATTTATTTATATATATATGCACATATGATATCGTATCATATATCCTATATATCCCATGAACTACACCCCAGGGGCTGGAATCACTTGAGACATCCGGAGCGATGTGACCCTAGTCCCCGCGGTTTATAGCCTAAATAGAGCCCAAGTGTTTAATATATGGCCTGTAATGTATATATATAATTATATATATAATATGTATATATAATATATGGTGTATAATATATATGTGTATACATGGTGTATAAAATATATGACCCTATTTGTCTAAATGGGGTATAATATGGTTATTTACTACTCAATCGATTCGTGGGATGCGCCCCCAAGGATGGGTTTACTCCATTTGGAACACAAGAAAAAACAACTGCTCAGTTCCACTGGAAAATTTAACCTCTAAAGGGGTCATGTACCACTTCCATGGTCCTGACCTGACAGAGGGGGATCCCAGATATTTCCCCTTGCTAAGTTACACGGAATGGATGTATGGAATAGTTTTGGAATGTGGTTTGGAGGCTTCCAAATCTATCAAACAATATTAAACATCACCTGAAGAAAAGTATGAGATGAGATGAGATGGTGATTGGAACTCCAACATGTGCCTTTTGCAAAATGCATTCCTGTCCCCTAATTTGTTTTTCTATGAGATATGAGGATCATTCCTAATGGATGAGATCCAGTGAGTAAGCGTACCACTATCAATGATATATGGGATGATCACTATAATTTATTATAATTTTAACGCTTTTAACCATCGTTGATAATCATCATTTATAATCATCATAACATATCATAACCATCATTTACAGTCATCATGTATAACCATCATAATCACCATTCATAACCATTAAAAAACAATATAAAACCATTATTAAACCATTATATCACCACCATTTCTAACCATCACATGCGTTAAGGGAACTTTAAGTTTCACCACCGGGACCCAAAATCGCGCCGTGGCACCGCAGCTCCTGCCACGCAGGCACTTGGCCATGGTGTGGTCCGTCGTGCCGTGGCGCCACTGCGTTGGATTTGGGGATCCCTAAAATCGGTGCCCGTTGGGCCGTTGGGCCGTTGGTTTTTTTTGGCCAACACCGGATGAATAAAACCCATCTGTTTGGTGGTTTCAAACATGGCTTTTATTTTCCAGAAGAAAAATGGGATCATCCTTCCCATTGACGAACTCATATTTTTCAAGATGGTTAGATGGTTATTGCACCACCAACCAGCCATCAGATTCCATTGGATTTGATCAGATTTGATAGGTAAAACCGGATTAATGAACCCATCAGATTAGCGGACAATCCGTATTAAACTCTCTGGTAAACAAACAGTTTGCTATGGAAAATGGATGAACATGGGCCAGTTAGTTCGTTGATTTAGCTATTAAAAGTGATGATTTTCCAGTTCGCGAACTGTTAGTTTACCGGAGGGTAATGGGGTAAAACAATGCCATAAACCAGCCATGTAGGAATGGTAAACATAGCACTTGTAAAAATGGTGATGACTGGGGGATTGTTTCTTATTGGTTTACCCACATTAAAGTGGATGATTTTGGGGTACCCCCATTTTTGGCAAACCCAGAAATATATATACTTGTATATATAGCCTCGTCCAGGCTTCTGGAACTGCGTAAACCTGAATTAGGTTGCTAAAACTTGTCCATTCCGTGACGAAATTTCGTCGCGGAATTAACAAGTTTCATTTGGGTCATGTTCATCATCATCATCCTCATCATCATCATCATCAGCATCATCAGCATCATCATCATCATCATCATCACCAGAAACATGTGAGACCAGTTTTTTTCTGTTTCTTCACAGCAGCTGCAAGTCTCGCACAGCTTTGAGGACCTCTCCCTGTGTCTTCCAGGGGTCCTTGTTGCCAATCCAGTGATGCCATTGGCTTTGAGCCACACGGGCATCCACAACATCTTCACATGAACGTTAAAATCCCACCCCACCCCACCCCCTCACCCCGCGTGTGCGTAGCATCAACTGCTGCCGCAAGTTCACATGAACGTTAACATCCCACCCCACCCCACCCCCCAATCGTATTCAGGTTTACGCAGTTCCAGAAGCCTGGACAAGCCTATATATATATACATATACAATCATATACACATGAGCAGTGGCTGCTAAACCCCTGTTGGATGATGATTAGTTCGGGGATGATACCACCCAAATCTACCCAATATATTGGGGAGTATAATAATCCAATAGGGGAATCCCAGCCATAAACCAAACATGGCCATTTATAGTGGATTTACCCATTAAAACCAGTGATTTTTCGGGGATTAGACTACCCAATGTATTGGGGATTGGTTCATAATGCAAAAGGGGGAAGCCCTGTCAACCAACCAGGATGAAAAATGGAATGACAGAGGGATTTATTTCACACTGCTCACATATACATTAAATAGATGTGTATATTATATACATAGGTGTATGTATGTATGTATGTATGTAAAGTAAAGTAAAGTAATGTAATGTAATGTAATGTAATTTATGTATGTATGTATAGATGTATGTTTGTGTGTATATATGTGTATTATATATATAGACACATGCATGTTATATGTATGTTTAAATTTATATGTATGCTTGTATGTATGTGTAAGTTTAAGTGTGTACGTATTTGTGTATGTGTGTATGCAGGATACATATATATATATATTTATTTATTGATTATTTTTTTTATTTATTATATCATATATATATCTATAAATAGACACCCACAAATACATGTTAATATACTGTATACAAGTCTCATTTTTGACGACAAGATGTGTGTATAAAAATCATAGTGCCAGAACGCCCAAGCAATTCTTGCAGGTGATTGTGGGAGTGCTTGGCCCCTTGCACTACTTCCTGCCCCTTGGACGTTTTATGATAATGTTTTCTTGGTTGCCCTTCAATCATCAAACATGTTAAACCGGGAAATCCGCTATAAATGGAAGTTTTAATGGGAACATAATCTTATAAATGGTGAATTTCCGATTGCCACGTTTGACTACCCGAGGGTTTACCGATGGTTGACTTTCAGCGAGTTTGATGACCATGCATTATAGCAGTGCAATTCGAAAACTGTCGAGGAGAGTTGCCAGACCCTAGCAGTGTCAACTCGTAAAACACCCACCGAGAGGTTGAGGTTGAAAAGTTTCTCAACTATCAACCACCACTGGTGAATGGATGTGAATGGGATCATGTTTGGCCATGCAGATTTTGATACATGCAGATTTTCCATATCGGAAAGCAGGAGTCCTATGAGGCGGACAATGGGACAACACGGAAATGCCCTCCATCCTGTTCCTCAAAGATCATGGTAAGTTACTTCTGCATGTTTTGGGTGGGCATGGAATTCGTGTCAGGCATCGTAGCACCTCTACAGATCCTGCTCAATTTCTTAGCATGTCGGCACCTCAGTGAAGCATAGCCGGTGCGAAATGTTGCGAAATTAGTTGGTTGTCTTGATTGTATTGACAGGATGGGGCTGCCAAGATAGCGTTCAGTTGAGATATAAGTTGCGAAAAAAACGATGGTTTATGGTAGATATAACTATAGAGAACTATACTTTTCATGGGGGTTCTAAAGCAACATTCACATCACTGGGGGCCATCCTGTGCAACCAAGTGGCAACATGTCCCATTAGTTGCCAGTGATATCCTGGTTTCCCCCAAGCTCTTGACCACCAGTATTGTGATTATGCAGCATTTAAAGGATCATGTGCTGTATACGGTATATGTCTATATAATATCATTCTACACTAGACTATACATAATTATGTAATATTATGTATAGTACTATATATTATAGATACTGTAAATATATCATACGTATCTCAGAACACCGGGGATGCCCACAACGTACTATATTGTAACCCAGAATATGTTCCACAAAAAGTGCCAGTGCTGTTTCACTGATTTGTTGCAGAGGTATTTGGTTTCTCTTTCCATTTCAGCTGTGTATCAGACTTAGCACATGAAAATATCCATCTATAGATGACAGCTTGGTGGTTTGGAACATGTTGGAACCATGGAATGGATTATGACTTTCCATTGAGTTGGGAATTTCATAATCCCAACTGACTCCATCATTTTTCAGAGGGGTAGGTCAACCACCAACCAGATGAGCTCCCTTCCTGGATGGGAACCGATGGGATTCCGTGGATCCCGGGCCGAACTTCAGCGCCTGTCAGTTGGAAACCCGAACGAAACTGGCAATCGAAAATGTACATGTCATATAAATGATTGTCATATATATATATATATGTATATACTGGTATATATATATATATATACGTATATATAATATATATATATACATTATTATGATTGTAAATGATTTCTTGGAAAAAATAATCCAGCAGATTTTCCGGTGCACTCGTTCACCCTCCCTCCGAGGACCAGCTATAACGGCCTCATTTTGGCCCACTTGCCACGGTCACAGCAGCTGCTACTCACATGGGGCCATGTCGTTGCTGCCCCTGGGCCAAGATGGTGGAGATTCAGATGGGAAGATCCCTGGGGAAGATCGAGGCTTCTTAAAGAGCTGAACTAAGCTGGTAGGATTTTCCTGGGTATTTATAAGGAGACTTGGGAATTTTTGACATGTCAAAATATCCCAAATTCAGGATTTTCCCAGGATTCATCATGGTGACAAGTGATATCTTGGGATATCTTGGGATATCTTGGGATATTTGGGATGATTCATGAGGTAAAGCATATGGCCATATCCCACTTAAACCATCCCCAGTTGGGTTTTCTCGGGTCGTAACCTCCGATGTTGGGGTTTACCATCCAAGACGTCGACCCCTAGAAAAAAAAACAAGAAACAACACCTTAAAAATTGTCGGCTGTGAATCCGTAAGCAATGTTTTGGTTTATAAACGCATTCGTAAAGCAATGTCATAAACCACCCATGTTTTAAATGTTTTGGTTACCAGCCCATTTAAATCCATGTGGCATACATGTGGACCCATTTTTTTTTGCTTTAGTAGCATATACTAGCATCAAAGATGAATTGAAACGTCTTCTTCTTTTTTTGGTCTCTATGCATATACGATGCATCGAGACCAAAGATATAACTGGTCGAGCTTTGGCTGTGAACGGAATGCTGCAGGGGTTCGACCTGAGGTGTGGTATTTGGTGGTGTCGTCTTGCTGGTTGATCTATTTGGCACAGCTTCGATTCCTGGTCCATCGTGTCTTGGGCTTCACATGTTTTTTTTTTTGGTTTGGTGTTCTTTTTGATGTTTTGTTCAGTAGAACTGTTCGTGTACCTCGCTTCAAAGTGGGGATGTAAGATATGTAAGTAGCCACGACATGATAAGATTCCAAGTTCTAAAACATATACCATCATGGGTGGCCAAAAGCTAGGTAAGTTTGATGCATGTTACAAGCAGCACACAATGGCGCTAAAAACGGCAGGATATTGGCTAGCTTTGATTCAGGGAGAACATGGGAAAGGGGACCTGTATATATATATATATAAACAATATATATATATTATAATGTGTATATATATATATATATGTGGACCAAGAAAAAACCTCAAAGTGATTTTTGAGATGATTAGCAAGTGATGGTAAGATATCATGTAAGATCCATAGAATGATTGTCTTCTGTCCTTTTGCTCCGAAACGGACCCCCGGGTCCCCGTCGAAACGGATCTGCCAAGGCTTCAACTGGTTGAAACATATTCCACCGCCTCGAGCCACCACACTTCTGGCGCCTCTGGTGATTTCAATGGGAAAGCCACCAGGATCCTGATTTTCGCTGGGTTTATCCTTCGTGAAAACGAAAACAGACGACTGAATGGATCGGATCATTGAAAATGGGTGTAGAAATATCACCATTACCCGACCTGGTAGCTACAAAAAACGATGGAAAGATCCACCATGCGTTTTTCATGATTCAATGGGTAAATCAACTATTTCCACTGGGCCATGGCTTCAATAGCAAACTGTTTGACATAACCAGAGGGTAAACCTCCATTTTCCTATGGTTTTCCTATGGTTTCACCATGGTTTCACCATGGTTTCACCCTGGCTTCGCAAGGTGGAGAATTTGCCCAAGGAGTGTCGCTCGGACGATGCCTTGCGGGTCTACTTTGCACGGCTCTTTGGACCACAGAGCATCGTACAGGCCACGGCAGCGGAAAGGATTTGGTTCGATGGGAATTTCAGGATCCTAAAATGGAGGTACGTTAGTACCATATGTTTGGCTATATTTTGTGGGGGTATTCCCTGAAATTAAGGCCTTATATATGGTAGGTACCTTCAATTTAGGATCCTGAAATGGCCATTGATTGGTGTTTTTTTTTCGAAAAAAGGATGGAGAAATAGAACTATGATGGGAAATACCATCTGGTTGTGACTAACAGTTTGCCATGGAAAGATCCACCATGCTATCAATAGGTAAACCATCTATTTTTATGGGCCATTTTCCATGGCTATGTTAGTCATTGCCAGAGGGTATATGATGATTATCCTATGGGATTCTTCGGAATTTCGAATTGGAGGTGTCCGTTTTGTCATGGCCCAAATCGTCCAGAAACAGCCAATGGCTGTTTGACGGCTCGTATACAAAAATGATGGTACCGTTGTAGCATTAAGTTGGAAATGGCAATCAAAGTCTGGGGGATAATTGGATAATGGAGCAATTAAGATACATTACTGTAAGATTTATAATTGGAAGATTGAAAATTGATAACATCTTATATAAGTCAATGGATTGGTTTAGTCGGGAAAATCGAAACCGGAAACCAGAGTTATTTTCCCATGAAGATCATGGGGCTTTCCTGTTAAAATTTTCCCTTAAACCAATCCATTGAATAAGGGCAACGGGCTGACAACTCACCAGCTGGATGACCCCACCTGACGACTTGCATGGCTATAGCTATGGAAAATGGGTGATGTATCGTTGGTTTACCTATCTGGGTAAATTATAACGACCTCACTGCGACCTCACTGGAATTCATGGTTAATAAGGGAAATCATCCCCAAATGGCCTTAATTCAGGTTAGTGAAATATTATAATTTACCCAGACCTATGTCACATGGTGATTTTCCATAGCTTTTTTGCATGTTTCCCAGAGGGTAGATGTTCCATAGATGTTCCGGTAGAAATATGGAGGTTTCCTGTAAATTGCTCCTTAAACCAATCCATTGACTCAAGGATTGGTGTACAGGTACCTTATTGCCGCATTGCTGATTTCCTGTAAACTCTTGATTGCCAAAAATGGTGTTCCGCACAAACCACCGGAAAAGATAAACAAACGAACCGGTGCATATGTATATATATATATATGTATATATAATGTATATATATACATACATGTACATGCGTGTGTGTGTGTGTGTGTCTGACAGTGTCTGAGCCAAATCATAATTATATATACACAATATTATAAATATACGTATGTATATATATATATGTGTGTGTATGTATAATATGATATATATAACATAATATCATATAATATAACATAATGTAATATAATATAACATAATATAATATAACATAATATCATATAATATAACATAATATAATTTAATATAACATAATATAATATAACATAATGTAATGTAATATAATATGATGTAATGTAATATAATACAATATAATGCAATATAATATAATATGATATAATTAATATAATATAAGATAATATATATATATGCAATGTAATGTAATGTATATATAGAATATTATATATGTATAATTTATTTATATATATATACGTATATGTATACATTGTTTTTTATCATGCAATTTTGATGCACGTCACAAGAATCTTGTCACTTTGCTCTACTTACACATCGGCACCCCCCCAAAGCTTGAACATGGCACACAAGTTTCCATCGGTGAATCACAGACTGCAGTGGCTCAAGACAGTCATATGATCAACACATCATGGATGCTGAATCCTGAATAATCCCTGGCAATGGTGGTGAATAGAGTAATTTAATCCATAGGTTGATCATGGGAATATGATGGAAACCTATAATAAAAATCCATACCAAATGGTTCGAAAATCCTGCGATTTTCCCTGAACGGTTTATGGCTTTCTCAGATCTCTGAAGAAAGATTCCCACATTAGTCATGGGGTCTATCCCTGTTCATCATTCATGGATTATCCATTTTTTTGTGAATGTTCCATGAATAAATCATCCAAAGTATTGGTGATCCCCCATGACTATGGAAAGATTCCCCATGACTACCGATGCCAGGCCTATGTGGTTCGGCGCACGGAGCGTCTTCGTAGTTTGGCTAACCAAATCGCGACAGATCCCAGAGCTGGTTGATGCTTTCGTCATTTAGATACCAACTAGTACTGGAAAATCTTTTGCTATGGTAAAGTGATGTTTATTATGCACAGCTATGCACAGCTACCAGCTGAATTCTGACTCAGTTGTTTTGGCAGGTATCTGAGATTCAGCATGGTTTTGGTGTGGTTTTTGTGTTTGGGTTTCTAAAAACGGGAGAATACTGGGATAATGATGGGATATTCATATATATATATTTATATTTATATTCATACAATGTGGGGTCCCCCAGTTATAAGTTGGTTTATAAATCCCATTAACTATAGTTATTTGCGTATCATAAACCATAGTTAGTGGAGTTATGTTCACCAACTTAGCTATCTAGGGGGCCCCACATTGTAGGATACCAAAAATAATGGTTTCACCCCCTGGTGTCATCAAACCGAGTGGAATCAATGGAAAATCTCATCGCAAAATCTCGGGTCCGAGTTGCCCAGAAAACAGTGGTACCCAAGTTTGACCCATGAACATGAAGATAAACAATGTATGTCATAGAATAGTATGTTATGACAATGTTAATAAATAGGATGAACATAAAGTATTTATAGAATAGTAGTTTAAACAATGTGGTATTTATTGAAGATATGTTATAGAATAGTATATCAATAAATAGGATGAACAATGTATGTCATGACATGTTATGAATAGTAACTAAGTATGTCATGACATGTTAAGTTTGACTTTGACATGTTTTGAATATTTGTGTCTTAGTATGTCATAGAAAACAGCATCCGTTAATTGGGATCATACTGATCATCTCAGCATCAGCCTACGTTACATTATGTACAGCGTTTTGGCACACACATATTGGATTATTATCTTAGATTATATCATATTATTTTACACTATATATATAATATACTATGATCATTATTTATATATATACAGGATATGTATATGTATATGTATATCTTATGCATAAACACTGGACGTAAAGATGTGAATTCAACAGAAGAGCTAGGGATGCCACTCTTTGGATGGTGCTCGAGAGTGTCCTCTCAAAGCGATGCCGAAAAAATATGAAAAGTTGGAAAGTTGTGAAATTCCATCCCCTCCTGGAAATACGATTCTATCCTTATTTTCTGGGTATATATATATATTATACGTGATATATATATTATACGTTATATATATACATATATATATATACATATGTGTGTATATATAATATGTATATATATGTTTATATATATATTTATATATATGTTCATATATATATATATATGTATACAGGTGATATACATATATACTATGATTTACTATTGAAACGCCGTTGACTCCGTGTTGCAATGGATCAAAGTTGGGATACTGTATACTGAGCCCGCAGATTTCTGCAATGAGAGAAGATCAAAAGGGTGAGACCTGGACAGAACCGATCCACCAAACATGTGTTTAGGCAAACCTTTGCTGGTGAATGCATTTTGATGGAGCAAAAGTGTATCACAGTCTAATATTTCAGCAGAAATCAACCTTTTCTTTGCTCAGAATCTTTGTCCCTGAAAATCACCGATGGACTATGGTCCGGGCATTGTTGAAAACCATCTTATTTCCGGCTACCAAAGTATGCATGTACATACATGAATACACAAGTCTTTAATATATATATATATATGTATATTGTACATATTTATGTGGATGGATAGATAGTCAAATAAGATAGGATGGATGGACGGACAGGCAGAAAGATAGATAGATGAGTAGATGCAAGCAAATGTAAACAGATAGCAACAATCAGTGGGATCTGTGTTCTTTGGGTTTAATCGTACTAGTATCTGTCCCGCTGTCAATGCCGCAAAAACTTAGCAGGTTTTTTTTTTCCGACCATGGTTTCTTAGTACTATTATTGAGCCATTTTAAGCAATGTTCCTTTTGAATTTAACAACGAACGGCTGGAAGGATTCAGTGTGGTGCGTTGAACCCAGCCAGGCAAACTGTTCACGGATGTGGAAACGACTGCTTCCAGACTACATCTTGAAGAGGCCCCCGCTGTCATAATTCAACAGAGACACAACAAAAAGAGGAGTTTGGAAGGATTGGATGTATCTGAAAACGGATGGTATTCCTATTTTCCACCGATGAATCATCATTTTCCCTATTTAAAATTGCCACTTGGGCTGTATATCTACATCTTCGGAATTACCCAAGTAGTTTGCATCTAGAAGACGGCCGTTTTTTTTCTAGTTCCCACGAGAAACCAACTCTGGACCTCTCAGCGAAGCATCAAAAAGCTGCGGCAGTGGCCAGTGTTTTTCCATCCCTTCACCAGGGTCAAGTACCAGATTTGTTGGGCTTGTAATGGGCTTCAAAATGGGAATATGTCCAGTATGTCCTAACATTCAAGAGTAGATATGATAGGTTATGGGGGGGAGGGGTATGGGGGAAAGCTAGTTTGTCTCAATCTTGATCTTGGCAAACCACCTACAAGACTCAATAGTACTTAGTAAGCACTACTAAGGCCTATTAGGCCTTACTAGTCCTTGAAAATGGATTTGTTTGCAAATGGGGTATTTTGCATTGCTGCCATATGGGGGGCTGTGCCCGCATGAAAGAGAATGGGGTATACCCCAAAGTTTTTTTACAAGTACATCCAACTGATCATCATCTAAATTCACATGTTAGTTCCCAGATAGCAGTGTTTTTGTAGCGAAAATGAATGAACATGAAGTTTTAAAATGTTTTAAACATGGTTAAACGATCAAAATCTTGGTGTACCCCATTTTTGGTTCACCAACCCATGCCAAGAATTTTCTCGCCGTTGAGGTGAGACAACCTGGTCGAGAATGCCCTTGCGGTTCTGAAGTTGACAAGGCATGGACGGTTCGCCATGGACGAACGTATCGTTGAGGCATGCCATGGCATGCCATTTCCAGTAGTAGCGTGGTTCAGAATACAAAGGATTCAACGACATTGAAGGACCTATGACCTATGTGTGTGATCTGGCAGTGTGTCAAAACCTTGTACCCCTGGTGAACATCAAAATAGCTGGTAAATGGATGTTCATTCCCCTAAAAATGGTATTAATAGGTATTGATCCATACCCATCTTTGAACTTGCAATGATTCAAATGCTTCCTGGATCAAGAGATCCATGACTCCTTGTTAGATAAACCAGTCCTTTTAATCAGTCATCGCTCATCATCGCTCTATAGTATCATTTTCATGACCTGGTTATATATTGCGTGTTGTGGCTACAATGTGACAAGTAGGTGCATCCAAATTGTATTTATATAGCTAATATAGCTCATATGCAGCTCTTATATGATTTTACACATAGGCTTACCAATTGACCTGACCTACTTTGTGCCATGAAAATCCTCAAGACCTGCTTCACCAGCTTCACCAGAGAGTCACGCCTCCGTGGAAGGGGATGGTGATATGACCATCCCCCCTTCAGTGGGCGTCCAATTGATACCCTTTGTGGTTGGAATCCCGATGAAATGATCATAGCCCAGTAATCCCATGTAGCTAATTCCTATGTAACTTGACCATGGCACATGCAATATATATATATATATAGAGTACCCTCTGGTTATGTCAAAATAGCTATTGAAGCCATGGCCCAGTCGAAATAGTGGATTTACCCATTAAAAGCATGGTGGATCTTTCCATGGCTATGTAACAGTTTACCAGAGGGTATATGTTGATGCATATAGCGAAACATGTTCACGACAAGTTTTTCTGACTTGTCACAGGCCTCAATCCATTCGCTTTGAAGTTGGGGCCAGAATCCAACACTTGAGGACCATCCATTTGATAAGCATGATCCTGGGATATGCAAACATATTGCATGTGGCAAAGCCAATAATTAACCTACCATTTAGGCATGGTTTATACAACCCCATTTGTGGTGATTTTTAGGTTGGTTTATTATGGGGTTTACAACATTAGATGATTTGCATATATATATATATATATAGACCCAACTTTTTGAAGAATTCCCAAGAGTCGTTGAATAAACATTCCCCAGTATCCCCCAGAGATCGTCTGTTGGTTCAATATGGTTCAATCATCCTCCCAAAAAAGGTCTTTGGAAGATGCTGTAGCTCCGCAGTTGTGGGACTAACCCTGGTCCAGCCAGAAAAACTGGTGTAGCCAGCCCCCTGGCCATGTGAATTGAAAAAGGGTGTTTGGTTCGCAAACGCGACTGGGGAACAAATAGAAGACTTGGTGGATATCTCCAGATTCACAATGATTCACATCACAAAATAGCTGCACCATGTCACCACGTTGTGTTTGTCCTTATTTGGTGCTTTGAAACTCGCCGAAAAAAACCAGCTGGTTTTGCAAGTTGTGACGGCCAGGGCTTACTCCGCTCGACCCTGGTGGACCTGAAGGTGGCGTTTCTTTGGTATTCTTTGGTTTTGTTTGTCAGATAATACTTGGATGGGGTAATATTGAAGTATGTTGAAGTCTGTCAAAATTTGTGCCGGCCAAGTAATTTCAAAAAAGATCACCTTGGACTTGGATTAGCAATTGACAGCAGGTTTTTCTTCACAGATCGCTTGGTACGACTGTAGCACCATCAAGTCAAATCTCCACTTTTCTGAGTCGCCAAGTCTTGGTGCTGAGTTGTTTTACAGAGCGGAAGTATCAGGTACTGTACCTTTTGGACATTTATCATTTTTTATCGCTATGGCAGCTATGGAAGCCATGGATAGCCATGGCCCAGCTGGCTGGTGTTCGATGCTTTTCCTATGTCAAAAATGGTGGTGATGTTCCACTTGGCAAAGTGCTTCGTTATGGTTCGTTCTTACCGGGTTTGACACTTCAACTTGACTAACTTGACGTTGCAGGCAGAAGTGTCCAAAGAACAGAAGAAAGTTGAAGAAGCGGCCACTTGGCGAATGGTCACCGTTTCATGGTGACACCTTTTTTGGTCTCGGGAAGTCGACGCTGGCTGGTGGCAACTGGCCTAGCTCAGGATCTGGGGATGGTTCATGCATCATGCCGATGATCCGACTGAGACTGGTTGGTGCTTTGGAACATGTTTTTTTCCATTCAGTTGGGAATGTCATCATCCCAACATATCCCAACTGACTTTCACTCCATCATTTTTCAGAGGGGTAGGTCAACCACCAACCAGATATGCTGGTCAACTTGCTGTGCCACACAAGGTTTTTTCGGGATTTGACCAATTTCAGCCTCAAAATACCAATCACCTGGGGTCCCTTGGGGTCCCTTTGTGACGGCGTTTGAAAAACGGCAGATCGATCGAAAATTCCAGGGTCATCTCCAACTGGAGATCTGGTCAGCTACAAGCTGAAAAAGTGGGCCAGTTTCGAGACAAAGCTATGTCCGTTTTTTCGGGATCCCTCCAAGCTGCAGTGGCTTCCCATGGTTTCCCGAAAAAATTGTTCTTGGCTCGAAATGTCTCAAAAACCACCCCAACCGCGAATTGGAGTGGTGCAGTTTTTGCTAGGTGCTTCCAAACATGTTTTTAATCAATCTATACAGTCTATACCCGCAGAAACACATCCATCCAATGTACGAAATGATCTCATATGTGTGTAGAGATATTGAAGTATAGAATGATAGAGACAACCCCCTGCAGAATCAGGAATGATTTGGGTTGTGTAACCTTAGATTCAAAATGTCCCAAAGTATCCAAAAACTCTCCGGCCAAATCATCCAATGACTCCGTTTCCATTCTTTGGATGGTTGGATGTGCGGATAATCTCGTTGCAGTTTCAGGTGCAGCAAATGGACTTGAAGGTGTGCAGTTCTGCAGGTGCGGGTACCTGCAGTGATGATGGGAAACTCGTTGCTTCTGGTAATGTCAGATGGGTTGAGCAGTTGTGTTTCTATGTTTGACCATAGTTGGCATATTAATGCACGAAAAAAATCACATACCCTTCAGTAAACTAACATAGCTATGGAAAATAGTCCATTTATATCAGTTTTATGCATATATGGGGGGTTCAATAAATGGGTGAATCCAAAAATTGCTGGTTTATCATGGAAAATCCCATTAAAATGGATGATTTGGGGATACCCCTATTTCAGTAAATCACCATACATATATTTATATGTTTATATACACATACCCACGTATACGTGTATGAATGTACACGTATGTATTTGTGCAATTACTTGTGATTAACTGTGTTTGTATATCATATATGTGTTGCGAATGGGATAACGACCACAGCGTAGCTAATATATCCCGTGTACATAGAAGTGCTTCAAACTCGAACCTCCAGCCAAACGGGTCAAATGATCAATGCCCGTTTTGGCTCAAGACTGCCCGATATCAGCGTGGAAAGGTGCTCATGCCGAAACTGACCTGGACCTCTGCCGTATTCAACTGGACATTATTCACAAACATCAGGGATATATCGAGCGACAATCCTCGATTCACAGGTTATCAGTCCGCAATGCTCTACTGAGCCGGATATGAGATCAAAGGCCCAAAATAGAAAGAGGCCGCAGAACTTGTGGTCAGTGAGCGCCTAACTAGGGGGGCTTGGTGGCTCATACCCCTCGGCCACTGAACGAGGTTGGATCATGAGCTGATGGCACCAGCTTGGAGGGGGGCTGCAAGCCAAAAACACAAGCTTGACGGCACCAGTTGGAGGGGAGCTACGGCATGTTCCAAAGCGCAGAGGGCTTCCTGATTGTTTTGTCACCGATGGCATGGACCATGTCATCGGCGAGGGGGGTGTGAATAATCCCTCAGCGGCAGCCATTAGGGCCTGTTGCTCGGGTGCGTCCAGTGGCCAGAGGCAACCTTTTGTTGTGGTTGTGCTCAGCCATCTGGGGTTGGCAAATGAACCATGTTAGCATCCATTCACATGTGTGTATTATATACATATATGTATGAAGATGTAGATGTGTTTATATATATAGAGATGTATAGACACATAGTTTCTATACACAACTTGTGTGTGTAGAGCCGTGCCCTTGCTGGGCTCTTTCCTCGGTTTGGAACTTGACCGGTAGTCGGTAGTCGGACCTGCCGTTGTCTCAGTGTCCCTTGGATGATTCATACAGAGGTAATGAGCGCTGCACATCGTTTCTGTTGATAAGAGGCTGAGAATGTGTTTTACCCACTACACTGCCGAGCTGTTTTCCAGATGTCATGCCATGCACATCCAGGATGAAAATGATGAAAAGATAGGATCAGGCCTTTTTCAGCCAAACAAAACTTGCAACTCACATATGGCTGCGTTTGAAAATCTACGGTAATAGCCGCTATACCCCCATGCCTGGCATGGTTCTTTAATATTCTTTAATCGGATAATGATGAACGGATTTTGGGGTACGTTTGGGTACTATAAGTAGCCTATTTTCAGACACACCATACACAAAACGGTTCATGAATTCGCCGGAGGTTTTGTTACATTCACCTCCCGACGAATGTGCTGCCTGACAGAGACGAATGTGGATCTTTTTGGGATGTGAAGGGAAAACATACGAGGTTTTCCAGGTGTTTGCCATGAATGATATAGTATAGATCGATATGTTCCTGGTTTTGGGCCATAATGAATATAGATTCTATTAGTGATCATAGATGTGTTTTTGTAGTTGTCGATGTTTTCGGAGATGTTTCCCGCATCAAAAGTTGTCAGGCTTTCGGGGCATCCCAATCCGTATCAAGTCGCAGGAGTCACCAAAAATGTCAAACGAAAAAGCCCGTTTTTTTTTCATTTGCACCATAAACGTACCATAAACCCATTTATATTCATTGCATTATGTTTGTTGTTGGGTTATATAAGTTATATAGTAAGTTATATATAATATATATATATCAAGCTTGTCTATCTATTGCAAGGCGCCGTGAGAATCCTTGATAATTCTTTGATAATCCTTGCCTTTCGGATCCGGAATCGGCCCAGGTATGTTGGCCTTGTCCCCACAGTACCGGGCAGATGCCTCGCAGTTTACCACGACTATGCCTCCAGATCCGGAAGATGTGATTTACCAGGAGCAGTGTTTTTTTTTCGAGCTGGTGGTAGTTCGTAGTTGGTGAAGGGCAGGAGAGGCAACTGTCCAAAAATTGGTTTCAGGCGAAATCTACAAAAAAACATAGATTTTCCCATTAAATGTGGGGCTAAACCATAGATTTTTCCTGTAAAATTTCCCTTAAACCAATCCATTGAAACTGGACGTGTTGGAAGTTCGGTGAACTCGCGCCAAAATGTGAGGAAACGTGAGGAAAACTATGAGAAAAAATATGGATATTATGGATGAATGATGATAAATGATGATAAATGGATATAAATGGATATATATATATAAATGGGATGAGGCCTTCGGTATAATCTATCGCTGAACACTTGACATTCATCCATTGTGGCCGATATGAGTTTTCCAGGTTGTTTTCCAGTCCGGTTGAATCGGTCAAACCTGGTGAATCTTTGGTGAGCCAGAGTTACCCTCTGGTAAACTAACATAGCTATTGAAAATACCACATTTATAGTGGATTGTCCCATTAAAAATGGTGATTTTCCATAGTTACGTTAGTTTACCAGAGGGTAACTGTGGAAAGATCCACCATTTTTAATGGGTAAATGAACTATTTCTATGGCCATTTTCAATAGCAAACTGTTAACATAGCCAGAGGGTAGCATGGGCTGAATTTACATCCTTTGAGCGGAGAAATATGATGAAATATGGGACTACATCAGGAAAATGCAGAGTATAGCCAGTGGCAGTGAATAGTGTGGCCGACTTTTCACAACCGAGTTCAAATGGTGGAAAGCGGTACCAAGGATCACCGTCTTCCGTCTTAAAAAGAACACACAGATCGACTGCGTTAGCCAATGGAAACCATGTTGGTTTCAACCACTAGTCGACTTAAAGGTCCAGCTGATGCTCTGCCCATAGATCAGAAATGAAGCACTGGTTGAGAGAACCTGTGAATTGCATGAAACATAAAAACAAACTGATAAGACATCCGTATGTATACATATATAATTATATATATATGTATGTATGTATGTATATATATACATATGTATATGTACAAATATGTATATATACATATATGTATATAAACATATTTATGTGTATATATATATATATTATACATAATATCCATATGTACCGGGGACACTAAAAGCTTCTGGGCACGTCTATCCTAAAGTCCCTGTGAATCGCCTGGACAAATGGCCGTGGTTGGCTTGCGTCCATGTGTGTCTGGAAATGGGGCATACCGGGCATACCGGCATACCAGGCATACCGTATACCCCAAAAACATATCTATTCTGGTTGGTGGTTTGGAACCATGGAATTTCATTTTTTCTATTCAGTTGGGAATTTCATCATCATTTTTCAGAGGGGTAGGTCAACCACCAAGCAGTATTTTCATTGGGAAAATCATGATGGACCATGGTGGTTTTTCGTGTGTTTCGCCACTGTTTTTCGCCCTGTTTCTTCATCCTTTGAGGCACCACCAATCACCAGCCAGTTCAACATCTGGTCAATTCTACGTCTCAGATATGATGTGATATGCTTTAAGATATTCAAAAGTGGGTGGGTTTGACATGTTGTGACATATATCTTGACATGTCTTGACATGTTGACTTGTTTTCCATGCCCATGGGATGGAGTTTGTTTGAGGGACTAATGATACTAATGTGGCTAGACCCAACAATAATCGTCCCTAATGACTCATTAGAGATGGGATACCAACCCCGAATTGGAGGTTTAAGGCATTGGGTGAAGCGCATTGCAAAGCACATTGCAACTATGATCAAGTAAACTAACATAGTTATGGGATAGCAGCCCATGTTTTGATGATCCCATTACATCAATGGGAATTTCAGGATCCTAAAATGGAGGTACGTTAGTACCATATAAGGCCATATTTTAGGGGAATATTCCCTTACATGGGCCTTATATAGGCCTTATATATGGTAGGTACCTTCAATTTAGGTTCCTGAAATGGCCAGTGATTACAGGCTCCATTTATGGAGTGTTTCTAATATCTTCCCAGATTTTCCGATGAAAAAAATGTTGTTGAAAGGAACCCATTTGTAGATGATTTACCCATTATATCCCATCTATTCTCTGCATATAATAATATAGTGATTCCATTATAGACAGATATTATTGTAGATGATCTACTTATCATTGGTCATTAATATATCCCATTAGAATTATCATTTACAAAGAATGGTGATTCTCCATACAGGATGGGGCCGCCCAGTTGTAAGATTATAAGTTGGTTTATAAACCCCATTAACCAGTTCCTGGTTGGTTTGGAACATGTTTTTTCATATATTGGGAAGAATAATCCCAACTGACTTTCATGTTTTTCAGAGGGGTTGAAACCACCAACCAGGTTCGTTATATCTACTATAAACCATCGTTTTTTCGCCACAGCCATATCTCGACTGAAAATTATATCGCTCATGAGGACTTAGCCAAAGACCCTGAGGCACAGGGTCAGGGTCAGGCTCTTCACCTTGCGGGTGGAGTTGGAGTGGATACTATAAATACAGAAATACAATTTAATGTGAATATATACAAATAATATTATATATGATATTATTGTATAGATAATATAATATAACATATATATATATATATGGGTGTGTCCAAAATGGACATACTGTAGTCCAAAATGGCAAGGTTTCGGACGTGCTGATCTTTTTCAAATGGGGAATCCCAGAGAAACTGTGTTCAAATCCCACCGTGGCGAGAGAAGATGATAAACCACCCTATTTTACTTCACAGGAGGGCACATCATGTGCATACGTCATGTAGTAGATATTGAACATCCTCCATTTTTATGGAAGTTTTAGATGGTTTTAATTGGAAATTTGTCCATTGCCATGTTTACCGGAGGGTATCCAAAAGGTTTACTTACCGTATTTGAACCCAAGAATGGTTACACTTCCTGATATTTCCTCGATGAGAAAAACGGGGCACCGGACCTGGAAGGGGGTGAATCTTCAGTTGCTCTTTGGGGTGATCTCTACCCTCTGGTAAAACATAACTATGGAAAATGGCCATAGAAATAGTGGATTTTCCCGTTAAAAATGGTGATTTTCCATAGTTTTTTGTATGTTTACCAGAGGGTACCTGACGTGAAACTGGGATATGTCAAGGAAGCCCAGAGTTGCACTGGGGGAGATCCCTGGGAACTTCAGGTAGGGATCATAGGATATGATCACAGTATATGATTCGTATGTAGATGTGTGTGTGTGTACGCATATATATATATATGTATATATATACACGTATATACAGACATACAGAAACATACACAGATATACATATCAAATATGCAAATATTTATATGATTATATCATATCATATTATATTACATATTCAAATATACGCACATATATATTCGAATATGTTCCCATATATTCTCATTATATGTATATATATATATATGACATTACGTTGCATAGCCTTCCTTTTGCTGCGTTGTGTTTCCCCACGGTTTTTTGCAACGGCAGGTGAGAGCTGGAGGTGTCTTGACGGCCGGGGCGCTCCTTCTCTTGATCTTCATTATCTGGGCACCCATGACCCTGGGGGCTGGTGCTCGGCGTCTTGAGACTTGAGACCCTGGTTGATTCAGTTGATTCAGGGAAACGACATGAAACGACGACTGCGGATATACAGTAGGTGAATGGTATGCAAATTTGCCTCTCGGTTTCTTGCACATCTGTGATTTCTTCTGTGATGTCGTCAGATTGAACAGAGATCGGTACTGCTTAAAACGATGAAAAGCAATTGTGTTGTCAGGAAAACAACATCTGTGGGCGGTGAAAACTGACCAAACAACATCAAACAACCACAGAACTTGACGCCATACCCCAATGCGAGGAAGCCGCTGTAAAGATCTCATGAGCGTTGGTACAATCGATGAATCCAAGAGAAAAAGATAGGTATATATAGAGTCTAGACCATCCTAGACCCTCAAAATATCCACTCAAAGTAGCATGATCATTGGTATTTTTGTGTATGTGTTTCCCTTAAAGTAATTGTGTTCCAATGGTTTGACATGCTTTAATCTGTATTTTTGATGTTTTTTGCTTCGATTTTTTTCATGGCCATTGTAGACGCCGCCTTTTTAGGCAGCTGGGATCTGGGTAAATCTCAGTGATATTACCCTCTGGTTATGACTAACAGTTCGCCATGGTATAGATGGCCCATAGAAATACTGTAGATGGTTTACCGAACTTAATAGCATGGTGTTGATTTTCCATGGCGAACTGTTAGTCATAACCAGATGGTACCTCAAAATTGAGCCACAGAATCACGGAATATTTCACTGTCGTTGAGCCAAAAGGTTTAAAAAGACATGGATGCCATGGTTTTTTAACAGCGGATGCTGGCAGGATAGCCACGTTCTTGGACAAAGTGGAACCCTTCATCGTCAGCGTGCAAAATCCACAAGCCAGACACCTTCTGCAAGGTGCGTCATGGAGAATAGATCGCAGAGTTTTTCCACGTTTTTGGCCGTTTTGGGTCGCAGCATGTTGGCCAATTTTTGGGTCACAGCAACTGGGTACCCTCTGGTTATTTAACATAGCCATGGTAAATGGCCCATTTATAGATGGTTTAAATGGTTTACCAGTTTACCTATTAAAAATGGTGGATCTTTCCATTTATAGATGGTCTACCCTATCCTCACTGGCGATGCCTTTTTGCAATCCGCTTAGAATGGTAGAAACTTCGGAACTAGAGTTTTCTGGTGGTTTTGTTAACCGAGTGATTTCAACACCATAGCCGCATAGCCAGAAAATGACGACGCCAGGTGTGATGCGAACCGGTGTTGCTTGGCACCTTTATCGCCCCTGTTGATGTGGTGTGATGAGATAAGAGTACTTTTCATGGTGCAACTGACAACTGCTGTTGATCTTGATGTGTTTGAAGGCTTCCAGAAAAAAGGGGGACATAACAACCACTGGAGCAGAGTCAAACTTTCTCAAAATCCATCTTGAACTGAATTTTGGTTCAGCATCTTTTGCTTCAGAAGCCTTCACTTCTTTGCTTTTTTGGCAGGTCTTTGCCGCCTTGCCGTGCAGTCGGTCCGGCAGGTTCTCAAGATGTTCATGAGCTGTTTGCCAACATTGTTCATGGCCATCATACACAACTTTCTGACGCTGAAGGCATGCCTTGTGTGGGCGATGGGGCAAAAATCTGTGACCTCCCAAAGGTTGGAATTATGAAAAATCCCCGTGTCGCGTGGTTTTCCCCTCTTATCTCCCACGTCAAACGCATGTGTTCGTATGTCTTCCTTGCGCAACACTGTCAGATTCTGCCAACACCAATGGGATCCAAGTTTTCGTATACATGTTCCAAATCGCCCCTCTAGTCTTCCTGCCAGTGGTCAGTAGCCCCAATACCAGTGGTATGTTATATATACATATGTCACCTATGTCCATGTGTCATGATGAATATTTGCTTTTGTGATGTTGTGAAGATAGCATTTCTATGCATTTGTTCAGAGGTGAAATGTGATCTTGAAATGTTCAACAAATCATCCAACACCCATTGTGAACATGTTTGAGCTCGATTTGCGATCCAGCTTGAAATGTGATTCATCTTGACAATTGATCCAAGAACATGTCAGTGTTCATCAAACATGTTCAAATCCCATGTGTATGGCATTTTTCTGGAGTCCTGGCACGGCGAAATATTTCACAACGGGTGGGTAGCTGGTCAGGCGGGTGCCTGGGCACAGCTGAAGCTTCAGGCCGTGCAGTGCCATCTCTATCTCTGGGATGAAGACTCATAGTGGACTATACATTATGTATATGCATTTATATGTGATTATATATATCTGAGATTATTTGTGTGTAATTATTTACAGCTATTATTATTACGATTATTACTATGATTATTACTATGATTATTACTATTATTATTACTATTATTACTACTATTATTATATGTATATATATATGAAATGTGTATTGCATACTACATATGTATATATATATATTGTGTTTTTATGTGTATACATATACATATTATATGTATATGTGTGTATGTGTGCGTGTTAAGTGTTATATCATATAATTTTTAGCGATATGCAGACAAACTGGATATTTTCTATACATCTATTTTCCAGTTTGTTTATCTATGCATATTGATTACCGCATCTGTGACTCTACCATCAAACAGAGCGTTGTATGTTCCATGTTTTTACAAGCTTTTTAGACGCTGATCCAGCTGAGGTTTGCCAGTGAGTATCTAGCGGACAATTTCATATTTCTAATGAATTCTAATGGTTATGACATATAGTTAGCCCACTTCTCAACCACATCATTCAACACAATTCACTAACCTCAGATCAAACTGAGCCCTCTTCAGGACTGGTTCTTTGCATTCCAGTTGGTCTTCATCTTGCTTGTGACGACCATCGTGGGCACCGTATTGAACGTGTCACTGGGCTGGTGCATTTGGCAAGCTTCTCTAGTCGCTGAAACGCAGCAAAAACATCCAGAATCATGGGAGAATCCGTGAAGATTCATGGTTGATTCATGTTGATTCATGTTGATTCATGGTTGTGGCCTTAATTTTCTGAACATTTATGGGGTGTAGTTATGGTCCACCATGGTCCTCATGCTGATCGCAATCCTTCGAGGTTGGAGAAGCTTCTCGCTCACCCGGGTGAGGCCTGGCGCATGGCCTGGCCTGGCATGGAATATATTGATATAAGGCTGATCCCATTAGCTCGATATATCACCAACCATAGTTATTGGACTTATAAACAACATTATACATGAAATTACATTTGAATTTAGGACAGCTGTCCTGGGGTCCTGCTCTATAAATTCTACAGTGTTATCAGTATGTACAACTCTTTGAACGTGTTTTCCATGTCAAAATATTGATGCAAACATTAATTTGCATATTTATAGATGATATTTGTAAATGTATACATTCACATAGAAGTTTTATTGTTTTACTACAATATGCTTAAACATATGTTATGGATCAAGCCTCTATACATTTGTATTTATATACATCGTTTTCCCACTACCATTTTGACTTGGATACGCATGTATATATATATAATATATATATAATATATGCATATATAATATATGCATATACGTTAGTTGAAAAGTAGGATTAAGGATTAAGCATGCATCCTGATCGGTGGTGTGACGTCGTTTCGCTGGCCATGACCTGGCCATCTCCCGCTCGCGCAAATACATATGGCAGGACTAGCCTCTGGTCATTTAACGCCGGCGTTCAACATGGCCATAGAAATAGTTGGTTTACCTATTAAAATGGTGATGTTCCAGTTCGCAAACTCTTCGGTTTCCTGGAAAATCCCCGTTTTGTATAGGTAAATCAACTAGAAATGATGAGTCGTCAAAGCTACATACTTACATTACATTACATTACATTACATTACATTACATTACATACATTTCATTACATTACATTACACTACATTACATTACATTACAGTACATTACATACATTACATTACAATACAATGCAATACAATACATTACAATCATACATACATACATACATACATTGACATACGTAAATACATCAGTACACCAATACATCAATACATAAATACATAAATACATAAATACATAAATACATACATATACAATATATGGGTGTATATATATATATATCAAAACTATGACATGTAATTTTGTGTGTACCTACTGTGTAGTATATAGATGCACATACATACATGTACATACATCACATAAGTTGTTATTAACTATGTGCACATATGAATTATATATTTGATATATTATATTAGAACATATATTAACCTATTAGTTTTATATTCCAACATATTTATATTCCAATATATTACAATATATTTGAATAAACATACTATATATTATAATATAGTACACATGTGTTTGTGCATGTTTTTTTTTCAAGAGTCCCTGGAGTCCAATCCGATATGTATCTTTTGAATCAAAAGTCATTATTGGACTGCCAGATTCTGTGAATTATATGTCAAAATAATATGTCAAGATATGATCTGACTATTATGTTTCTTGTTTAATTGGCTTTAATTGGCATTGTCTAGGTTGTTTGATCATGTTTGATCGACTTACCTGAATAATTGAACGTCGAACCTGGTGTTTCAGCAACATTTAGTCGCTCCGGACTATCCAAAGTTTTCATTCCGTTGATTCTAATGACATAAGATTGGTTTGTTTGCATGTGTATGCAAAAAAAACAAGTAGTGTAAATATTCGAACTGTGCACATGTGGAAGCATGTATTGGGCCTGTTTGTTTGTTTAATGGCTCTAAAAGGCTTACTGTCCTCGTGGTTAAGATTTTTCCTCAGAAGCTTGGGACACATTTCTGTTTCTTATGGCTTCAGACTTCACACAGATCTGATCTGTATAGAACCTCCTCCCAAAAATCTAGAAAAACAGAAAATACCACTATTTTAGTGATATAATTTTTCACTGTTCGGCGTTTTTTTGGGTTACTATTAATGTAGTGATAAAAACGCCATAAAAAATTCCCGGTTCTGGCTGTCGAAAATATGGATGATCCAACTGCTCATCCCGGCGATCAGGTGGTGTACATTCTGGCAGATGCATTGCCTGGATTCTCCAACTTCTACATCAACTACATCTTGTTGAGCTGCTTCCTGCAGGTCCGACAAAAAAACGAGGAAGAAATGCGTGGCAAGTGGTTTGTATGTCGTTTTTGGTTTAGTTTAATAGAGATGAACATGCAGTTTAGCAAGTTTAGTATGGTTGTATGGGGTTTAGAGATAATATTGGGATAATATTCATGGGATGATGATAGGATATGATATTTCATGAATTTACGCGGTTCAGTTCGCTGGGAAGTTTTCATCGAACCGTTGGTGGATTTTCCCGCCACAGAGCAGATGACATCCGAGGGATTCCGATGGTAGGATTCGAGACTAGCCACGTGATGAACATTGAACATTAGAATACAGATACGGATAGATATATATTGTTAATATTCTGATTATGTATTAGATATTCATAATATGGTGCCAGACATTCTAATGGATATATTCTAATACATCTATAGATATTTTTTTGTTACAGAAGACTGGAACATCTGGAACGAAATCCGTTGTCCAAAAGGCTGATATTCTTTGGAGAATTCGCCGAGTTTCCAATGGGGGGATCCTACAGCTACGATGCGTCATGGATTTCTTGTCGTGATGCAAAACTGTGGGGGATAGAAGGCAGAAGTTGACTCAAAATTATAATGTTTGATATATATATATATATGGTTTCTCAAGCTCATTTCGGAGCCCGAATCAACCCTAATTTGAGAGGTCCATTTTTCATCCTAGAGTTCCTGATGCGTAATTTCTGATGTCAAGGACAGGATGACTGCATTTGATCCTTGTTTTTATGATGGCTCTTTTACCATCAGCAACTTTTGCCCATGCACCAATCACATCGGGATGAGTGACCATATTTTTTCAAGTTGGCAGCCGTTTATAAGCCATGAATCGGGGACTTACTAGGATGTACTGGGTGTAAACAAATGCTTTTCATTGTAGATGACTATATGTGACGATCCACTCAACTCATCTCAACTTATAGGTTTTTTTGCTATTGGAAGCACCACATCAATCAAGAATCATGCAGAATATATATATATATATGTAGATAGATAGATATATATATATATGTAGATATGAACAGAGTTTTGCCCCTCCAGAAAGATGCGCTTAAAGAACTCCAGCTTTTTCAGGGTTGGAACCGGTTTTCGAACCTTTGGAGCGAGGTCTTTGATTTGCTGCGGACCATGAACCTGGCTCTTTGGACCATGAAAATAGGAGTGGTGATGTCCGTTTCAGCAAAGACATCATGAAAGAATGGGGGATATGAATGGATATGATGTCCAGATATGTCCAGTAATGTTATCTTCAGAAGCTCCGAGAACCATTCGGAAGCCATGACAATTATCTGTAGTTGCGTGTGTGATACTAATGATACTCTGCCTGAAGTAAACAAATAGAACAATCAAACATTCACATGTTGGAAATAATCATTGTTTATAATGTGGTTAAAACAATAATAAACCATCCCCAAAATCACCATAAATGGGTGGTATAAACCTTCCCAAATGAGTAGTTTATTATTGTTTTAACCAAATTATTCATGTTTTCTTCACAGCATTTTTTTGGAATTTCTGGGAGGGATACAATGTGGCCACCATTTTTAGGTTTCGTCACGAGTTGTGTCACGAGTCATTTGTGGGAGAACGCCACGGAGGGCAAATTGGAAAATCAACTAAACTAGTAATACATAATAATACATAGTAACACATAATAATACATCATGATACATAATAATAGTACATAATAACACATAATAATACATCATGATGCATAATAATGCATCATGATACATAATAGTGCATCATGATACATCATAATACATAATAATATATTTTAATACAACATAATACATAATCGTAGATAATAATACATAATAATACATAATAACACATAATAATACATAATAACACATAGTAATACATAATGATACATAATAACACTTAATAACACATCATAATACATAATAACACTGAATAATACAACATGATACATAATAATGCATCATGATGCACAATAATACATAATAACACATAATAAGAAATAACGATACATAATAATACATTTTAATACATAATAAAAGATAATAATACATATTAAAACATAATAGCACATAATAATACAATATAATACATATTAAAACATAATAGCACATAATAATACATAATAACGCATAGTAATACATAATAGTATATAATGATACATCATAATACATAATCATACCTTTTTTGCTTGTCTGACATGGCACTTTTTTCAATGGACAATCACCAGGTGTATTCAACTTGCCAGGTTTGCTTACCGATAAACAAGCAGGCAATGGAAGATCCTCATCTTCCAATGGATTTCAACTACTGATCGACTCTCAGCTGAATCAGTTGTTTTTTTTGATTCACTGGGCGATTTTCCCTACGGCCTTTTCACTGGGTATACACCATGTATACATATATATATAATATAATATAATATAATATAATATAATATAATATAATATATATATATGGCTATGAATCAATACCTAGTAATACCATTTTTAGAGGGATGAACATCTATTTACCAGCTATTTTGATGTTCACCAGGGGTACAAGGTTTTGACACACTGCCATATATAATATATATATAATATATACATATCTTAGATCAGCTTAGATATCTTATATCCCCTTGGATTTCCCTACTTGGCACGCGAGGCCAAGTACCTCTTCTGGCGCGGGCGCAACGCGGATCCGGATGAAGCCAGAGACTTGAGCGAACCCGAAGATCAGGATGCGGGGGCTTCAGCAACAAGACCCGGGCCGCACGGGGGAATAGCTGTACTTTGCTAAATGTCAATGGCAACTCCAGGGGATATACCCTCTGGTAATTTAACATAGCTATTGAAAATGGCCATTTATGATTGATTTTCCCATTAAAAATGGTGATTTTCCATAGTTATGTTAGTTTACCAGAGGGTACCCCCAAAATATGGCCTGATATATGGTACTAACGTACCTCCATTTTAGGATTCTGGAATTCCCATTGAAAATGGGAGGATACCATAGGGTACCAACAAAGATGTGAATTCATGATTGAGAAGTTGATAAGCTATCAATCCACTTTAGTTAATTAGAGTTAAATAGTGTTAATGATTTCATAATATGTGGTTTTGATGTTGAATGGATTCAGGTTTCACAGAAAACCATTCAACCAGCGCTGCATCGCGGTGAAGACCCACGCCATGAAATGCCATGAATAGATTTCTTTTCACCATGAGGTCAGAGCGTCAACCAGCCAAAGTTGGAAATTCACCCAGAAAAATGGTGATCTCCAAAAACACCAAGAACGGGAAATTGCGATAGCGCCACTGGGTAGAGCTTATGTTGGTGATTGATGTAGGCTGATGTAGCTTATGTTGACCCATTTGAAGGTCATGACGTCAGTCTGTCACCAGCGATCTCGCTGGGACATCGCTGGGATCATCCATGGAGGGGTCTATGGATCATCTTACTGCAACCGCCAGCAACCCATCCATTCCCTACGTAAAACGCACCGGTGAGTCATATCTCAACATGTTAAGTACTGTAGGATGTTGTACCCTCTGGTAAACAGTCCCAAAAAACGATGGAAAGATCCACCATGCATTTTTCATGGGTAAACCCACTGTTTCGACTGGGCCATTTGAAACATAGCTATGTAAACGTTTACCAGAAGGTAGGGTATCTTGGAGGCTAGCCATGTGTTTTTTTTTCCGCAGGACAGCGATGGTATGGGATCCCGATGCTTGGCTTGGCCACCAGTCCAGTTCTGGTTACTGCTGAGGTATTTTTAAAACTGAACACACAGGGTTGTGGTATGAAACAAATTTAAGTTTTCGTGTTTTTTTTCGATCTTAAGACAATTATATAGGTAGGTTTGAAGTTTTGGAACATGTTGAAACTGAATGATATAGGTACAGGAGACGCCTAGATACGGGATCAAAACCAGGAGTTCTTTTAAACATGCCATTACATCAATCCACATTGGCAACAGGTGGCGACCAAAAGGACAATTCATCTCCACGAACTGATGAAATCTGATGAGGATTGATGACCATTCGGTGAAAGGTTGGACAGACTCGGCTCAGCTGGAACTGCACGGTCTAAATCTTCCAGCGAATCTTCCAACATGTTTTCATATTTTGCCAAAAAAAAAATTGCCGCCCATGTATTATCTGGCATGTTTTTTTTTCCGAAGCTCTTATATAGTGACCCTTTTTTCACATGAAACGCCGCTGAGGTATGGCGAAGGTGGCGATTCACCTGGTGGTGTGTACCGTCTTTGCCAGTTGCTGCCCTGTCTCCTGGCATCGATCGATAGAAATTTTAAGGGATGGCAACCCGGCAAGCCATCAAAATGGGGATAAAAATGGGATGGTTTACGGTTTATGACATTGGGCTTACCACAGACATTAGGATTGTCTAGGTCTTTGAAGAAACTGACTGGAAATTCATGTTTAAACGGACTTAGACACTCAACTTGCAAATCAAAATACAGTAAGTAAAAAGTATAGGGATCTTGGCTGAAGTCGCATCTTCTTGTTGAAGGCGCATATTGAATATATTGAGAGACGCCAAGAAAAATCTGAGTTTTCACATGTTTGCAATGGTATCCTGTGACTCGCTACTTGGCCTCGGCTTGCCTTTTTTCTATGGTTGACCTAGTTCCATACTTCTTGATCTGTGTTCTTCGGCGTTGGTGTTTTTTCTTCTGTTCTTTTCTTGTTATTCTTCTTTCTTTGGTTTCTATTACTGTTCTTCTTCTGTTTCCTCTTATTCTGCTTCTTGTCCTTTTTAGTGTTCCTTTTATTTTTATGTTTTTTTCTTCTTCCATCTTTCTTCTTGGCCCCTTGCTTCTCGTTCTTCTTCTTCCTCTTCTTCTTCCTTTTCTTTTCTTCTTCTTCTTTTTCTTCTTTTTCTTCTCCTTCTTCTTCCCCCTCCCTCCTTCTTCTTTGTTTTCTCGTAATTATTAATGATTATCTCTCTTGTGTTTCTTTTTGTTTTTCCTGTTCTTCTTCTTCTTCTTCTTGTCCTTTTCATTATTCTTTCTCCTTGTATTTTTAACGTAGAAAGTGCGTCCTGACAGCGCGTGCGCGATGTTTCTTGCATTTCCGCTAATGTCTCAGATTTGCGAAAATCATTAGCGCCTGAATGAATTGAGACATATAACAGCACCCTTACTGTATATTATTTCATATTATATGGGATTTCCACAGCCTCTGCTGCACACAATGTGCCAATAATGGCGGCGTCATGTGAGTTGCGACTGTCAACACCTTGTACCAAAATGTTTTTTGGGTAGCACAGAAATCATTTGCCCTCCGCAAAAGACAGACGTGGTTTGGGTATAGAAAATCGCTTAGTTGGATGACTTTGGTATCATTTGCTATCTATGGGCTCCGGCGGCTACGGTATTTCTCAGATTTGTGAATCATCCCTCAAGTGCCATAGATCAGTAGATCAGCCAGCAGGAATCCAGTAGACGTTTCAGCCAATTTCACCGCGGTGCCAGGTCATCCTGCTTGTGGCCTGGCTTTATTTTGCTCTTGGAAGATACACCTACGGATGCCCGACAGCAATGCTTAGCTGGGTGGAACGTGGGTGATGTGGGAATACGGCAGTGATAAAGCACAGAGGAATCACCGCAATTGACCAGCTTTCTACTTTGGGATTGAACAAGCAGGAAGAACCATACCAGGCCATACCCAGGAATAAAACTACCGAAATAATTTACAAAAAATAGTGAATTCCATTGAATTCCCACGGTTTTCTAGGTTGATTCCTGGCTCGCCCCCCTTGAAGTTTAACAAAGGTCTGTGATTCTTCCTATGCTCGATTTTTTCCCCCTCAAACAAACCAGCATCTATTGAGGCAAACCCGGCAAATCACGGAAATTGAGGGAAAAATCACAGGTCATTGGCGCAGTTTACCCCCGGTGACAGTTCTCCAATTGAATCTCATATATGCATGGAAGTGGCCAGCGTTTTTGCAAGAATCAAGACTTGTCCACACCATCTCTTTGCGTGTCCAATCATTTGGGTAAAAAGAAAGGACCAACAAAAATGTGAGCAGTGTTCAAAACCCTTGTTGCCAAATCTACCCAATATATTGAGGATTTATAGTATGTACTGATATTTACTGTATATTCACATATTTGCGAGAGATGAACATCCATTTGCTCTATTTTGGGGTTCAGCAGGGGGACTCATTTCCATCTGACGTTGAGTAACGCCAAGATCTCACGAGACCCGAAGCAGTGTTCAAAACCCCTGTTGGTTGATGATTAATAGGGGATTCTACCACCCAAATCTACCCAATATATTGGGGAGTATAATAATCCATAATAATCCAATAGGGGAATCCCTAGAAAACCAGCCATAAACCAGCCAGGATTACCCTCTGGTTATTTAACATAGCCATGGTTTTACGATGGCCCATAGAAATAGATGGTTTACCGTTCTTAAAAGCATGGTGGATCTTTCCATGGCAAACTGTTAGTCATAACCAGATGGTAAATGGAATGATAGAGGCATTAAGCCTTTCACACTGCTGTCGCGAAGGCTTCTTGGTGATTTTTGCGGAGACCAAAAAACCGGTGCCGCGGCGAAGGTGGTTTTTGGGGCTTTTGGAGCTCGCAGCCTTGACACCCTCTGGTAATGACTAACAGTTCGCCATGGTTTTTCGATGGCCCATAGAAATAGATGATGTAGCTATTAATAGCATGGCGGATCTTTCCATGGCTATGTTAAATAAACAAAGGGTAAAATGTCAATAAAGTGACTAAAGTATACTAAAGTGTCAGGAAAATTTGGATGGAATGTATGATGAAATGTCACATATGAATACCATATGACAGATAAAATGTCAAAAAGTCAAAAAAAAGAACAGATATATAGGAATGCCAGATGAAATGTCACAATATAATATGAGGGACAAACTGTCAAAAAGAAAAGGGCAGATAGAATGTCAGATGAAATGTCACAGGTCTCAATATCTGACAGATAAAATATCAGATTGAATGTTGGATGAAGTGTAAGAATATCCGTCAGAAATTATGTCAGATTAAAATGTCGGAATATGTCAGATAAATGACAGAATGTATGTCAGTTGGCGGGGATCACTCACAGTAAAGCAATTAAACAAAAAAAAACATGGTCAACATGGAAAGGAATTTAAACGGGATTTGACAGGGATCTGGGGAAAAAATGGCACCGTCATTTGATGTGTAACCAACTTTATGATATGCTGGGTTTGATTGAAAATGGGGGATACACCTTGACAACAATATTATCAGGATATAATGGGATTGATCCAACGATATGATATATGGCGGTTTGTTTGAAAATGGGTCGTACCCCATGGCTATGGCAAGTAGATGAAAAGGGAAATTGAAAAGGGAACATGAATGAAAATCATGGATGAGATCTTCAAAATTCAAACCTTCCAAATCTTGGGGATACCCTCTGGTAAACTAACATAGCTATGGAAAATCACCATTTTTAATGGGAAAATCCACTATTTCGACTGGGTCATTTTCAATAGCTATTTTGACATAACCAGAGGGTATGTATCCCATTGACCCCTTTGTTTTGGATACATACCCTCTGGTAATTTAACAAAACAAAACAATTTCCTGCCCGGAGCCACGGAGCGGCAGGTCTTGGGGGTTTAGAGGACACCACGGGATCATGGGATTTTGTTCGCCTTCTGCATCGATGACAGAGGCACTGAGAGGCAGTTCCCCGGTGTAAGCCGGTTGGAACATGTTGGAACTCTTTGCGAAAGTTTGCACATTAGCCTTGATCATTCTACTGTTTCTAAATGTTTCTAAACATGGTGCTTTGCCTAAAACGACCAGAGGGTATGAGCAAATCAATATTGACCCATAGGAGATGAGGAAAACATAGGCAAACCCTCCAAGGACATGGGCGGTGCCTTTTGGGTCAAGAGTCTGCGCCATCTCTTTCTAGGCCCTCGGCTTGCTTTTCCGCCGCCGTTGTGGCCACACAACTGAAGACATCTATCTATGGCATTCTACTCCTGTTTTGGAGCCCATCATTTTCCTATTTTTTCTTCAATGGCGTGATTAGCAAAAGAACTTGAATCAGCTGGTCCCGGCGGTCTGAAACACGGCGATGTCACTGCAAGAACTTGTGTTAACACCGTTGGGATTGGGGCATACCTGGAGTCTGGCGAACTGAGAACGGATACTATAGACTCATCCCCGGAATGTTGCTAGTCGGGTTGGCTCCAGATGCTGGGGCTGTTTAGGGCTAGCTATTTCTCCTGTGGCTTTGTTGCAGTCCTTCACTTTATTTCTCTTTTGAGCATTACCCAGATTAACAGTTTCGTTCTCCCCACCTATACGACTATATTAGAAGTTAACACATGTATATTAATGTATCTTATAGTTAAACACACACGTGTATATATATATATATAGGAGGAATACAACATGCAGCTCTGGCTGTGGCGCCGGGCTGTGATGATGTTTTGTTTCTTGAAGTCAACGGTTTGATGGTTTGGGGTTTGGTTTGGAATGTCCGGACATGTATACTGTATACTGTATATAATTGTTATTCAAAGCAAATATCATGGATTGTTATTTTTTTCATCTGTGTATGAATGTGGTAAACCCGATGTCACATACCATCCACAAAATCACTAGTCACTATTTTTGTAGGTGGGATTGAAACCATCCCCAACTGGTAGTTGTTTATGGCATTGGGTTGCCCACACTTACCATTTTTTATAGGTAATCATCTCTAAATGAACCATGGCTTCACAGAATTGGATGAAACTCATGGTTTCCGGTTAAGATGTTCCCTGAAACCGATCCATTGCTGTGTCCAGAAAGTGTGTAGATCATTCCCTTAAACTCATCACATTATCCACCATTCTCCACCATTATCCATCAAAAAAATCTTAGAAATGTCACAGTGTTTTTGCACCGGCGCAGGCGTTTTGATCTACATCCTCTTGATGGTGGGTCTTCTGAGTCGCACTAGAGACCTGGCAAAGAGAGACGGAATGGGTTTGCAATCGAGACACACCTAGCAGATGTTTTTTTTCGCGACAAAAATGGTGGTTTCATGTGGAATATTAATAGTAATAGTAGTGGAATAGTAATATAATACCAGTAGTGAAATAGTAATGGAATAGTAATATAATGGAATATTAGTGGAATATTAGTGGAATATTTGTAAAACAATACCAATAGTGGAATATTAGTGGAATAGTAATATAATACCAACTAGAATAGTAATAAAAGTAGAATAGTAATAGGGAAAATGAGTGGAATAATGCGGGTGAAACAATGCCATAAAGCACCCCCCCAAATCATCATTTAAATATATAGGTGGTATAGACCATTATGAATGGGATAGTTTTTTATGACATTGTTTTACCCACATGATCCTAAGAATTGCTATAGTAGCTATAGTTAACTTCAAAAAACTGGTGATACACCCACTGATTTATATTTAAAATTTCTGGTTGGTGATATGGGTGACATTTAACAACATTGAAAAATCTCGACTGGGATCGTTGAGCCTAGAAACAAGGTGGGGAAAGCTCGGTGATGTTCTGCCATTTTGGAGGAGAAATATGCCATGACCTAAGAAGAATGTGCTCTATTCTAGGCCACTTGAGATATTTATAGATTTTTATAGACATGTGCTTTTTTTTCCGATTCGTCATGCCAGCTGCAAACTAACTCGATGAATCTTCACAACTGTTGATGCATCCCCTTTGATTCAACGCAAATGCCTAGATGAACTGATTCCTTCCTTTGTTTTATGTGTGTCTGGTGTGGTTGATTCCCTTCCCCCTGGTTGGTGAAATATGTATCCGATATATCCCCCTTTTTTTTGCAAAATCTATTGTTGAAGTGATTCTTCATGCAACTATCAGAGTGTTTTCTTGATTCTAAACTTCCAGTTTCCATTGTTTTGAGGTAAACCAAAGACCACAGCTCCTAGATACCCGATAGTCAGTCAGTCATATTGACAAGAATCATCAAGAAAGTCATTTTTTGTATGTATATTTTGGATAAGCCTCAGGCTTAAGTCATGTTTGTTGGCTAAATCTCTTAAACCTTACAACAATTATTTATTATGTAATGGATATATTGCTTTGTTCACTCATCCCATGGTTGTCAGTTAAGCCAGGCCCAGATCGTGAGCCCATGCTTTGCGCTTTTGCCTCTATCCTGGCTTTGGGATTTGGATATTTGCGCTTCAGCAACTTGCTTAAAAATGGTGAATGAGTGTGAAACTCCATGGGTGTCCCGGATTTTTTTTATCGACACATGGCGGATTTCCAACATGTTCACTGGAGGGTACACAGCTTTGAAATGGGGAAAGCCATGGAAAGCTACTGCAGCTGGGTGCTCAATTTATTCAATTTGCATGTGTTTCAACCCACAATTAGATTTTTATCTGACCAAGACAAACAACGAAAAAACCTAACCCCCACAAAGAAAAAACCATGAAAAAGTATGATGATCAGGATTCACTTTCATACATTTCGGATGTGTGAGCGCCACCAATGCAGTTCGTCAGTACACCGCAGAACACATCGGACTGTTGTGTGAGATACTATAAACCTGGTTGGTGGTTTGGAACATGTTTTTTTTCCATATATTGGGAATTTCATCATCCCAACTGACTTTCACTCCATCATCTTTTAGATGGATAGGTTCATACCACCAACCAGAAACCATCCCCAACTGTGGTTTAGCATTGGGTCTACCCTCTGGTAAACGTTCACATAACTATGGAAAATCACCTTTTTTAATGGTAAAATTCACTATTTCTATGGTGATTTTCCATAGTTATGTAACAAATTACCAGAGGGTACCACATTTCCCCATCTGCACAGCCAATGCTGATCAATGTCCAACGGGTCCCTTCCGTTGGTGCATCCAAATGTGATTTTTTGTTCTCCTGGAGCGAATGGCGAATGGGAGGTCTTAAAAAAAGGGCCAATGTTGGTGGATTGTTTATAACCAGTTTGATGGGAACGTATACATACTTGAATGAAATATTAAATATTATATATATGTTGCATACATATACATATATATACACACAAGATTTAGGACATGTTGCTTTCTGAGAGTGGGGGATTTAAAACATCACCACGCCAAGAGATCGTCGTTAAAGATGCTGCCCCGGGCCAGGGTAAGGACTGGTGAATTTTGTGGGTAAAAATGTTGGTACGTTGGCAATGTTCTATGGCTTTCATAACGATTGCCCATAGAAAATGGCCATAGAAATAGTTGATTTACCCACTAAAAATTGTGATTTTCCATAGTTATGTTAGTTTACCAGAGGGTATATGCTATCCAACGGCTCGTTTTTCGGTTGCAGCAGTCGGGTTCGATAGGCAGCTTGAGCTGGGAGGCACTTCCCTTTGAGGCGGAAAGCGGTCCCCCTTGGGAGGTAAACATCAGAAAAGACACGCCAAATCTGCTAAATGATTTCTGTGAAACAAACAAAAATATGAGGAAATGATACGACACCTGTGTTACCCCATGTTAAAGGATATCAACACCAAGTAGATAAGTAGAATCATCAATTTCTGCGTGCTCGAGAGCATGTCTCACGTCTGATGGAAAAAAGAAATGTTGATGCCTAGAGCAGTAGGACGGACCTGGCGTTTTCGAGAGTCCTCAGTTGGTCTAAAACATTCTTTCAATGGACACAATGTACATACGTGTGTGTGTGTATATATATACACACATACACAGATAGCTATGTATATGTGTACATATTACATATGTATATTATATATATATGGATATATATATATAATATTATTTGTACACAGACAGATTTGTCTGTGTGTGTATACATTATATATATGTGTGTGTGTGTGCGTGCCATGGTCAAAACATTGCTTATTCTCTCATGACACGGGATGGTCATCCCCCCATTAATAAATTTATTACCCAAGGATTCCCAAGATGGAATGGATACCCCATAAACCATGTTTTGACCATGGCCCGTATGTATTTAGTGGTGATGGGTCAAGAAAGTTAAAAAGTCCATTGTCAGAGTATGTCATATCAATGATTGTGATACCAAAAAAACATACTACAAAAGAAATACTACAAAAAGACAATTTTTGGTATCAAGATACTTGATTTTGACTTATACCAAAATATTTCATCTTGGAAGAGATTTCAGTGGTTTTGATATGATCACCATTGATTTGCCGGCCCATGAGGCCCATATATATATACATTTATATCGATTAACGATAGAACATGATAGAACAATGATATCAATCATTATGTTCCTCATGTTCCCCACACTCATTCCCCATTTGTGGCTGATAATTAAATGTTAAAGGTCCAATGTTGGTGACGTATCTTCACCATTTTCACTGGGTTGATCCATTGATATTTTTCCACACCGTGAAATGGAGATCAACTCCTACAGCTAATGAACGGGGATCTCTATCAGTTAAAGGGGGTATCAATTTCACTGACATGAATCTGGGGAAATTATAACGACCTCACTACGACATCACTGGAAATCATAGTTAGTAAGGGGAATCATCCCCAGATGGCCTTAATTCAGATTAGTGAATTATTATAATTTACCCAGATCTCATCCCCCCACTGACATGAATACCTAGACGGAGGACTCTCCAAGTACCTGGAAATTCATGAAGCAATTTTTCTGACTTGGGTGTTTAATCCATTTTCAGCAAGGTACAAACGGATGGTCTAAGTAGATCTTGAAAACTACAACCCTGGGTTGCTTCGGGGGGAATTCATATTTTTTCCTCCCCAAAATTCCTTTTTCGATCCTATGACTTGGGCTAATCCCCACTAAAAGGGTAAAATAAGGGTAAGCAAGGAGTCCTTTAGTAGGACGCAGGTTTCAGGCTCCACCCCCTTTTAGAATTTACACAAATCCAACATTGCTGATAATTTTTCTGATTTTCCCAGCTATAAACCACAAACTGGGGATGTTCCCATATTTTCCTATACTTTCCTCTGATTTTCCCATCTGTAAACCTCCATTTCGTTGGGGTTTTCCCCATGGTCTAGGCCGTGGCGGAAGTGGATTTGCAGCACCGGGAGGTCTCGGGCGAATATCGGCAGCCGGAGTGTGGACGTCCGCGGGAGGTGCCAGGGGGAAAGCACCGGAAGATGGGGGTTGAACTCTCCATAGTATTGGTTATTACCCTCTGGTAATTTAACATAGCTATGGAAAATCACCATTTTTAATGGGAAAATCCACTATAAATGGCCATTTTCAATAGCTATGTTAGTTTACCAGAGGGTATTGGATAATAGTGAATGATAGTACCATTAGTGATTGATTGGTGGTTTGGAACATGAATTTTATTTTTCCATATATTGGGAATCATCATCCCAACTGACTAATATTTTTCAGAGGGGTTGAAACCACCAACCAGGTGATAGTGAACAATAGTGAAAATAGTCAGTAACATTAGTACCAATATAACTTAATAGTCAATAATAGTCCTTAATAATAGTCAATAATAATATAACCAACAATAGTGATATCAGTCAATAACATTAGTACCATAAGTGGGATAATTAATAGTTTGATAGACCAATATAAATCAACTTCCAGATGTTTGAAATTATTGGGTAATAGTGAATATTGGAATCATTAGTGATAGTGAATAAAAGTACCATTATTGGTGATAGTGATTATTATTGGGTAATAGTGAATAATACTACCATTAGTGGTGATAATAGTCCATAGTACCACAATATCTAACACCATAAATAGCATAGTGAAATTCTAACAGCATAATGGGACTATTATCCACCACAAATGGAAATTCACTATGGGAAATACTGGGACTATAGAGTCGAATATAGTCGATATGGAGATTTCAATCCCCCATTAGTACCGTATTATTGGAGAATAGTGAGAAATAGCATTATTAGTTCAATGGGAATTTCAGGATCTTAAAATGGAGGTACTGTACTACTGTATATAAGGCCATATTTTGTGGGGATATTCCCTCACATAGGCCTTATATATATATATGGTAGGTACCTCCAATTTAGGTTCCTGAAATGGCCATTGATTAGTGGTGATAATAGTCAGTACCATGATAGGCAATAGTACCATAACAGTACCATTCACTAAATAATCCATACAATAGTAGTGATAACATTGGTGATCATGGGGGTTGGGGTTAACTATTACTGTATTGATCAATGGGATTTTTATGGGATATAATCCCCATAAGGAATAGAATGATTAAATTCATAGTTATCTAACTTAATAGTCCGATACAATCATATGCATCCCGATAATCGTGGCGATATCTCACTATGAATGATTAAAAATAAATATTATTGGATTTAAATATCCATATTGTATTATTGAATATAATCATGGGAATTAGTGAGGATTTAGTGGGGATAACAATAAGCAATAAACTATAATAGTAATGAAATATTCTATATCTCCCTATGAATGGGATATGATCCCCACAGTGGTTAATAATCATCAATGATAACCATTAATTAATGATAGTCATGACTGGTGGGAATATCCGAATAATAGTTCTATTATTGGTTTGGAATTTTCCAAAAATAGTGGTTCGAAAGTTGTGATTCATAATCACATCAATATGGACTATCACTTCCCCCTGTCTTTATATAAAGGTTTATAAATATAACCAATGGGCCAATGGGATAAAGTGGGGATAATAACAACCAATAAACAGAAGTTATATATATATATACACATGTATGTCTCTTAGTCAAGTGGTGATTTAGTGATAATGTACTCCATCATTGAATATCTGACGTTCAATCCGTTATCATAATCAGTAAGAATAACCACTGATTATTAGTCATTAATAGTGGTAATATCCCAATAATATTGGTTTTGAATTTAACATGAATATTGGAATATGATCCCGTTGGAATAATCATCAAAAAATATACTATCCCCAATCGGATATAGTGGGGATAATACTGGTATATCATTGCAACATATTGCAACCAAAAATAGTGGTTTTGATCTGGATTGACTTTGAACATGACCTCATGTCGATGACGGAATCATCGGGGAAACATCCCCAAGTGGCCAATTTACCCAACTGAAATGGACAGTTACCCTCTGGTAAAACTAACATAGCTATTGAAAATGGCCATTGATAGTGAGTTTTCCCACTAAAAAAGATGATTTTCCATAGTTATGTTAGTTTACCAGAGGGCAAGTATGAATATGGATTTGATAACTTGCATTAAATATAATACCAGAGATGGAAGATCGCCTCCTAGATCGAGCGATCGATGTAGTCCTTCCCCGGCGTTGATTCCGCAGTGAATTCAGTATTTGGGTGTGCAGTTGAGGTTACACACGGGGACAAAAACATGGTTATAACATGTTATAACCGCCCATAAGTTGAGATATAACCGTTATAACTATGGTGATATATCCATATACATCCATATACAATAATATATATATATATCATATATATATATGATAATGTGTTATATATATAATATCATATATTATATATATCCCTTTCTAACTGGAATTACACTTTCAAGTAGGGTAGGTACCACAAAAAAAGTCCCCCTTGAATTCTCGGGGATCCATGGGATCAATATCATGGGGTTATATTCCCCTCTGGTAAACTAACATAGCGAACTGGAAAATCACCATGTTTAATGGGAAGATCCACTATTTCAACTGGGCTATTTTCAATAGCCATGTTAAATTATACCAGAGGGTAACATATATGAACATTCTATTAATATTAATCTGTATGGGGAATATATGAACATATGAATATGAATATCTAAGATATTCAGATGCTATCCCCCTTCATCATATATGTATGGGGGATAGAATGGGATATATTAACATATATGAACCATAGTTCATGGCTGGAATCGATCTAAACGAAAAGAAAACAGCGAACCACAACAACCCAGTAGTACACTGAGGTGGTTCTGACCTCGACTGGTTTTCCCCTGTTGGGGAAAGACCTACTAGTAACAGAAATTCGTTGGATTGAATCAGAGTCATGATCCTTGACTTGCACCAACTTGCGTTGGTCCACTTGTGAGGATTGTGTTGTCTGGTGATACCATTTGACACCACAAAAAACAGTATTTTTGACCCAGGTTGATGGTTTCAAACATATAAATTTCTTGTTCAAACGGCCTACGGCCTACAGAATTTCAGCCATTTTCACGTTGAATCCTCCATGGATATATCATCTCGCCAGGGCCGCCGCGAAAGTGTGGGCAAGCTGCTTGGCGGTGGCGGTCTTGACATGGATAACTTGGTTTGGGGAGAGAGGGCCATCCTGCAAAATGTAGAATTGGTACATCATCACAGGATGGACTGCAGCCGTCTATACTGAAGTATACTTTTTTTTGTTGTTTTAATGTTTCTGTGTTTTAATCATGTTTTTTTGGGTGGTTAAATGGAGGACATTCTGTCCCACATTCCACAAAAGGTTTTAAGAATGACTCAGGGGATCAACAGATTCCATTCAATATTCGAATCAATCAATTCTTCGTGATTTCCAAGATATGATGCCTGTAAATTTATACGTTGATTATTGGACATAATTATACAATACATTATTTATTCGAAGCAATACATGTTTGTTCTATTACCCTCTGGTAAAGTAACATAGCTATGGAAAAAAACAAACACAATTGTTTATCATCAAATCAACTGTAAATGTTCAATAGCTATGTTAAATCGCCATTTTGTTGTAGGTAAAATACTATTTTTAACAGGTAATATTCAATAGCTATGTTAAATCACCAGAGGCTATGAGATGTTGTTATGACATCTCCAATTTCAGGCAATCCCGTCATCCCAGCGACATGTTCTTGCAGGTATTATATGATGTGCGTATAATATTATACTATAATATATATATAATATAATATATGTGTAATATATATATATTGCGATATGTACTATGTATATTTAAATGCAATATAATATAATATAATACAATATAATATAATATAATATATGTATGATATATATATATATATGTTTATGCTATATATATACACTATAATATATATATACACTATAATATATATATACACTATAATAAATATATATATACACTATAATATATATATATATATACACTGTCTATATATGCATATACACTAGAAAAAGTCTTTGTATAGAGGGTAAACGGATTTAGACGTATGTATACAGTGTACATATGTATATGTGTGTCTTATGCATACAAATTCCATTATGTATGTATTACAAATAAACCACTTACATCCATACACATGGGTTTATATAGAAAGAAATAACATCACAGAGAAGGGTACATCCCATACGTTACAAGCATGGTGATGAACGCCATTTCAACCATAAATAGGGAAGCATCATATCCAATATCCGAAGCTAAAGAGGCTTTTTTTTTTGAAGGGTAGCTCCGTTTGTACCAATGAAAATGAATAAAAGTCCATAGTTCCAAGTCGTTATGGGTATATTAGCTGTACTGCTCGATTTTTCAATGTGCTTGGAGGGTCTAGCTGTGTGTTTGTTTTCAACCCCCCTAACGTTCACCAATCTTTGAACAGGAGATCCAGACTCAACACACGTCGATAGCCATCGCATTCCCAGGAAAAGCGACGGCACGCATTGAAGCACTGCACTGCGATGGAAAGAAAGTGCTGAAGCCTGAAGCTACACTAGGTCCTTCTCACGAGGTAAGCCCACGTTCATGAACGGTTCATGTGGGGTTCACCTGGGTAAACGTGTCCACATGCTCATCCCAGCCGAAAGGATCTGTCCCTTGCAATGGGTCCAGTTAGATCCATTGAAATGATGTTATTATCGAAAGATCGACATAGAGAATGGGAAGTGTCCAATGCCAGGTTTAATTGATTTCGGTTGCCAGAGGGTTGTGGGTAACATAATGATTCCTGTTGGTGCCAAGATGATCAAGATGTCCTGTTCATGCTGCAGACAGGGTTGGCATGTCTGGCATGGAAGCCTTCCCTTTCTTTCTGTGCCTGCATATCATGCATGTCATATATCTAGAGCCCCCAATTTGCCCTTTCAATGTAGAAGCGTTACCTGTTTTCATGGGTCAAGTGAGGGTGAAGGTTTCCCATAATTGCCTATAATGTGGGGCCCCCCAGTTATGTTTGTTGGTTTATAAACCCCATGAATACTATAGTTATTTGCGTTGGTATCATAAACCATAGTGAGTTATTGGAGTTATAAGTTGGGCCCCAACTGAACGCTACGCGATTTCGGGGCCACGGGGGACATCCTTAATGGCTTCGCTGCCCTGGCAGAGGTTTTCGCTGGTCATCCCCTAAAAATGGATCAAAAAAATGGCGCTCCAATCAGTAGACCATTTTAGTATTGAATGGGATACGTCTTGGGGATACCACATTTGAAAAGAAAACTGCAAATTCTATGAGAATTTGCCTTGTAGAATGTCCAAAGTTTGCCATGATCAATGGCCACTTGAAGTGGCCGCGGCCAACTTTGAAGCACTGAAAGATGGCAGCCATCACACAGCACCCTGAAAGAGATGATAGAATATAGAACAGACATATGATTGCAAAAAATCAAGGGCGTACTATATATATCATATTAATATAAACATAATCATATATATACAAGCATATATATATATACATATATTATGCATATATTAATCATATATATAATCATATATATATAGCCATATGACGATACTGACAATAGCCAGGCAATGGGACAATCGTATCCCAGTCATCCTGTGGAAGCTGTGCAGCTTTTTCCTTCAAGGTTATACCCACAGAAAAGCAATATCAGCAAGGTCAAATACGATGAGATCGTCTTGGAAATGTCTCCAAGATTCGCTTAGCTTTTTAACTATCCTTATCACAGCCCAGAAAGCGCTTAGCTTTTTGGTCACTTTGACGAATATCCAATCTAAGGGAGAGCGTAAATTTTGACCTCGGACCTTGGTCGTTTGGCCGGCCTAATGGTGCTAAATTGCCATGGGTGGGTACTGATGGGTAGCCAATTGAAAGTCTGCATGATGTGACGGGAAAGTCAGTTGAGAAATCACCCTTGGTTTCGCGGACGCCATGGTGAAGAAAACGCTTCACACAGGTCATCATGCTGGTTGTTGCGGGTTACAATCATGGTGCGTGTCTGAAAATGGGGGATACCAAAAAAATAACTTTGATGTGAAGAATGATGATAAACCATGGTATCTTGAGATACCCTATCTTCAGACAGAGCCTTTTTTTGGAGTTGGAAATAAGACAACGTGAAAACGTCGATGAATCATGGATTACTGTTGACCCAGGGGTCACAGGATCACCAAGGAGACTGGTTTAAGCCACGACAACGGGTTGCCAACAACGCTTAAATGGGGCTGTGAAGCAATCGAACTGGATAGATAGATAGAAAGGTGGTTTAACCAAGGAAAGTTGGCGAAACCACACAAGACTAGACATCACCGCAACAGGATTTATTGAAGCGACCAAGATGAGACACATCTCCACCTTGGATTATTTACTGAACCAATTGCCGCTGCCAAGCAACGCGGAGACTGTCGACCCTCCAGTCATCCAAGATGGTCTGATATTAAGGTCATTAAAGTAAGTCAATTACGCTGATAAACTCAGAATCAGACATTACCACAAGGTTTGATTAAATGAAGAAAATGGAGAGCAAAGATACTTAGTAGGTTCTGAGTAGAAAACCTTTATAATTCCGTTATACATGTTAGTACCAACGATCTGGGGATTCGTGCGACCCTGAATTTTTGAGCCCAAGAAGTCCGGAAGTGGCGACCACTCACGTCCAGGTCCAAATTGAGAATCGTCAAGTCTTACTGTAGAGGATGTAGAGGAAAGTAATCTCCCAACCCCCTATTTGTCAGGGTCATCCAGGATCTATGTTTATCGAGGGGATGCGAAATAAAATGACTTTGCCCATACGAATGCCCGGCCCAAGTGCTGAGATTTGTCACCTGATGAATCATCAACGAATGTGATATTCAAAGTTGATGTCTACATTGTCAGCTAATATTGAAGTGAATTCGCCAAGAAGAAATACAATCATAACATGGCCATGGGTCAAAGGCCATGGGTTTTCACATCAAAACAGCTGGCAAGTATGGAATTTCAATGAATTTCATCGCTGCCTTACCCTCTGGTAATTTGACATAGCTATTGAAAATGGTGATTTTCCATAGTTATGTTAGTTGACCTGAGGGTAAATGCTGTGAACATGGTTTTAACATGTTCGCTGCAACCCTCATGTTGCGCCGCGTCTGACTTCAGGTGGCTATGAAGATAAAGTTGATGTTATTACTTAGCTGAATCCCAAAAGCCTCCAGGGCTTCTGTCTATAGGAGCTGACGAGGGGGCACGTATACATATCCTAAGTGGCCGCGCATGCAAAACATATGTAAAACTCATGTGAAACATAAATTTTTACGTTGGTGGAACGTATGTGATGCGTATGTGAAGCGTATGTGCAGCGCAAGTGAAAACATATGTGAGCCGTATGTGAAATATATGTGAAACATATGCGAAATACATGTGACATATTAACGTATTTTGGGACTGGATTGCGTTGTGTTTATGTTTTACTTATGTATACGTTTGTGAATTTATGTGTTTTTTTATGTCGGAGGAAAAATAAGACCTTATTTTGTGCAAATCACGCAAAATAAGGCCTTATTTTGGAACGCACGTAAAGAGAACATAAACAAAACGCAAACGAGAACGCAAACACATTTTGTAACGTTTGTGTATGTACATGTGTATATGGTTTATGTTTTATTTATGTCGGGAGAAAAATAAGACCTTATTTTGGGCAAATAAGGCCTTATTTTATCGCTTACGTAAAAGAAACGCAAACAAAACATAAAGAAAACAACTAATAGCCGCAAATTCTGGATATGTCGGGAATATGCGTTTTGTTTGCGTATTTGAAGCCGTTTATGTATGCGTATGCGCAGGCCAGTCCAAGACGGGCTCTATTGTGAAAGCCTTTGAAACCCTGCTAAGTTATTACCCCAATCTACAAATTGTTCAAAGGGGGGGGGGGCGAATTTTGATCCCTTATGAAGATAACGCTGATGTTATTACCCCAATCAACATATTGTTCATAGGGGGTGGCGAATCTTGATCCCTCATGAAGAGAAAGTTGATGTTATTACCCCAATCAACATATTGTTCATAGGGGGTGGCGAATGTTGATCCCTCATGAAGATAAAGTTTATGTTATTACCCCAAACTACAAATTGTTAATAGGGGGTGGCGGATTTTGATCCCTCATGAAGATATAGTTGATGTTATTACCCCAATCAACATATTGCTCAGAAGGGGTGGCAAATTTTAATGTGATGATGGTCATGATGTGATGATGATGATCATGATCATGATCATGATCATGATCATGATGATGATGATGATCATGACGATTGTAAGTGTGGAGCAACGTCCGAGTTGGGGCGAATGTGTTTTAACCATTTAATCAGATTTCAACCATCCCCATAAGATCAAATGATTCACCCCTGGCAGATGTCTTCGCACTGCCCAAGAGGCCCGAGTCTCAAATGGGGTACATTGGACCAACGCTGATCATGTCTGGGGTAATCCTAGTGATGGCTACTTTGTCAGATATTTTAGGATATTTTGGGGGTTATAAAATATTACAAAATCCATAATTACTTACATATAAGTTCATGATCTTGTTCCAGGCAACAGTTTTTGTTCAATCCATGATCCTCCTCTAGCCGTCATTGGTTTTTGTTTGCCCAGTGGATTTTGCCGAAATGTTCGTATCATCACGTCAAGAGGGTCAAGTGACTCGTGAATACTGTGATTCATGTACCAGTTTAAGATAAACCATGTTTGCTCAACGTCTAAGACCGGCAATGCCACCAACAACTTTGGGATCTACGGGAAAAATCAGACGGTCAGGGGAAAAAGGGATTCAGATGAATTCAGTCAGCTAGGGAGAAGAGGAAATCAACCGTTGATACATGTTGATACATAACCAGCAGTGAGGGTATCACGAGATTGTCACCATGCAAAGCCGAAAATCGCATCTCACCTGCTTAACGACTTAACGATGATCCAAATTGATGCATCTCTTTTGGCACCGGCCCAAAGAACCTCTTCGCATTTTATTGCAAACACCCGTCCGGGGGTGACGAAATGGCTATTTCGTGTTGGCAGGGCCAGTCAAAGTGGCATCACATTTTTCAACATATTCAACATATTTAATCAAACCATTGATTTATGATGTCCTTTTCTCTAAGTCTCAGTGATTTTTGTTCGCGTTTTCATGTCTTCTCGTGTGTGTTTTTCCAAGCTTCCATTTTTTCAACAGCAACACGTTGGTGGTCCGTTGATCATGATCAACCCAATTTTCTAACGGTTTTGCCAGCTTGAAAGTAACCAAAGATCAGCGAAATGTAATAATATATATATATATAAATGCACATTAGATTTATGATGGGATTATGTATGGGGGATTTTTCATGGAAGTTTCTGTAGTTGCACTTGTTGTTTGCCAACTTTTTGGGTTTGGGGCTGGAGAACTGCTTCAGTGAAGGAAGAAACCGAAGAGGAATCGGCCCGGAGAATCCGAATACAATCGAAAGAAGAAGGACGAGGCACTGGAAACCCTTATTGGGTTTATCTGAGAATTGGGTACCCTATTCACATCTACCCTCTGGTAATTTAACATAGCTATGGAAAATCACCATGCTATTAATGGGTAAATCAACTATCAATGGCCATTTTCAATAGCTATGTTAGTTTACCGGAGGGTATTCACTATTCCATCTTTGATGGTGGTTTTGCACCTCATTCTCCCCATGAAAATTGCCATTTTAAGGGGGGAAAATAGTAGACAGTGCCCCATTTTCAGATGGCTTTGGGGGACCCCACGTTAGACAAACCTATTTGATTAATGTGGCCTCACAAAGTCACAAAGTAGACTGACTGTATGACTGTGTCGTTTGCTGACAACTTCAACTTGATGTGCTAAAACTCTATGCATAAGTTTTCAGAGTGTTCCGATCTCATTCTGTAAGTGTCTTACAATGTCTTACAGTAACCAAGGTTTCACTGCAAGAAAAGACTGCAAGTATATTATATACACTCTGGTTATTTAACATAGCCATGGAAAATAAGCCATTTATAGATGAATTATGATGATTTACCTATTAAAAATGATGAGGTTCCATGGCTACGTTAAATAACCAGAGGGTATATTATATATATATATATATGTTCTCCCATCAAGGTTAGCGGCATAATCAAAGCCCCAACTGGCCTGTTGATACCATACAGAAGTTGTTCCGGGGATGATTTCCCACGGTATGCTTTTTGTGATCGGAGGGATGGGACCCCCATTTTTCAATGCCAAGCAAAAAAGCAGTTCTGGAAAGGCCTAAGATAGCGATTCAGCTATCTTCAGAAGTCATGATGTTGGAAAATTCCAAGCAGTTGGTGATTTTAGATATTTTTCACCTTCCATTTCAAGAAGTGGTAGGATCATATGATATGATATGGAGGTTTCCGTTTTGTCATGGGGGTACCCCAACTCATACAGTCGTCATGACCATGACTCAGTATTGGTGAATTGGGGATCCCCCATTTTAAGAAACACCTTTTTTGGAGCCCAACTGGGACAACTGCCTGATTCTTGGCTCCAGCAGCGAAACAACACTGACATGGAAAACACGGGCTGACACGGGTAAGAACTGTCACAGTTCTGCCCTTGTTTTTAAGTCTGAGGTTTGATTCAGATTGACATGTGTTTCATGTATCCACAGTTGAATATTGAATCTAGGCACCAGAATCAATGCACCGAACTGGCGGGTAAGTTCATTCACGTTGATCGTCCATTTCCATCCTGAAGCTGTCGCGCTTGGCGGCGACTCAGCATGGGAACAGAGCTGCTACTGAAGGCCGGCTGGAATGACCATGAAGATCCGTCGAAATAACAGAAACTGCTTGGTGCTTTGGAACATGTTTTGTGACTTTCCATATATTGAGAGTAATCATCCCAACTGACGAACTCCATCATTTTTCAGAGGGGTAGGTCAACCACCAACCAGGAAATGGTGATGTTTTTCATGATATAACCAATGATTTAGCCGTCAAGAATGGTGGTTGTTCATGGTGGTAGAATGTGGATAGAACGGGGACAAATCTGACCATGTGGAAATACCTCACTGCGATGGCCCTTAGCAAACTGTGAAATTACCGTGATTAGATAGACGATTAGATAGACAAATATTTGATAGATTTTGATAATATGTGGATTACTTTCCCCAAAAGGATGTCCAAGTGTGTCCTTTTCACAAGGATGGGGAATGTCACTTAGACCCAGCATGTATGTTGATGCCTGGTTGCTTAGCGATGGGGATATCATTTTGAAATATAGGTTTCATATGGTTTCATTGTCGTTGATATTGAAGTATATTAACTTTAAACAGTGACTTGCATACGATACTGGTTTTATCCCCATGAGAGTTGTCTGAACAGAAAGTACTCCCCAAAGTCAATGTTTTTCATCATTGTTCCGATTCAAACAGCCATTACCCTCCAGTGTCATCAAGTATGACAATTGGAAATCGTAGATAAATGGTGTTTAGGTCGCTGAGAAAATCATCAAACTATATAGTAAATGGTGGCGGATGTTCCATTCCACGCCATGTGATTGATGACGCCAGAGGGCTTACCTTTGGGGCAATCCCACTTATATCGTTATCCCATTATATCCCATTACATATAAGTTATATATAGTTATATTCTATATTATAATGGGATTCCATTGCTTCATTATGGGCCTCATAATTTTATAATGAATCCCATTATATTCCACATAGTATCCCCATTGCATTCGAACGGAAAGCATGGAACCTTCCGCAGGCGTCTGCGGAAAGCACTTCAAGGCCCGATCCAATGTTGATCCAACCGTGAACTCTGTTGGGGGCTTGGAAGGCTACCTTCCTTTGTAGAAAATTGGTGAATTTCTTGGTTAAAAGGTTGGAAATGTTGGTTTGGGAGATGGTAAGAGCATTTGTAAGAGCCAAGTTTGTTTTGGGGATAAAACATGTTGGAACTGAGAATTTCTGTGGAGGTGAAGTGGGTTTTTTCACCAACAATCTGATTTGGGGCTCAAAACTAGGTCGACCACCGCCCATAAAATTGGTGTTTATTTTGAGCCATGCAATACCCACCTGGGTTTGTTTAAAGATGTGGGGCATTCTCACCTAAACGTCTATGAATGGTGAAAGTGATGATAATGCATTGGAATTGTGGCTACCCTGTTTTGACAAAAACATAGCAGTAGGCCTTGAGATTCTTAGTCGTTCATTTCCAGAATTATTGTTCAATGGTTTTCAGATGTTTTCAGGGAAAGTCCACATAGTTCAGGAACCCCCAAGAAGCGTTACATACCGTTGCATGCTCATCATTTCCTGTAGATCTGTAGGTTCTCCATGAAATTCCCTTTTAAAGCTTATTACTCTTGGATTTCTTCAGTTTGCCCTTTAAAGTTGTCTTATAATCAAAAACCCTACCCTCTGGTAAACTAACATAGCTATTGAAAATGGCCATTTATAGTGAGTTTTCCCATTAAACATTGTGATTTCCCATAGTTATGTTAGTTTACCAGAGGGTATCCAGGTATCATAGCGTTTTGAAGTCTTCCAATGTCTTCCAATGTCTGCTGCTCCGAAACCGCCCGCAGGTTTCATCGCCTTTTACAGGATCTGCTCGAAGAACACGAAAAACAGCAGTCTGGGGGCCCAGCCCCGACGCAGTAAAAATTGATCTGGGGAGAAAACATCAACTGGATATTCCTAGATACTCGTGTGTGTATATATTATATATATATAACTATAGAACATTATATATATATACATACATTATATGATCATACTCATATGGTGGACATTTGATGTGTGGAGATCATAAAGACCGACATTTACCGACCTCACCCAGTTTCGCCAGTTTCTCCGGCATGAGATGTGTGGGTGATGATAGGTGATGATTGAGTTTGCTTACTCTTCGGTAATTTTCATGGCCCATTTTGCCATGTACTTCGATGATTTTACCCGAGAAAATATCAGACCTAATATTGCTGACTTTGAGCAATTTTTTCCATGAGTTTCAGCCGCTAAAAATAGATACATTGTAATTACATATTATATAATAAATTATATAGATCATGGGGGCTGGGGGGGGTCTATGGAGGGGGGGTCTATGAGCTTATCATATAAGGTCCTGGTAAAAGCCGGTTAGTATAAACACTTGTTAGGGCCTTATTAGTTTAGACCCCCCATAGACCCCCCTAGGTTTCCATGAATAGAATCAATAGAATCCCAAGGTTCATCACACTTTTCCAGACTTTTTTTGTGGCGAGTTCCTCTCTGTTTCTGGCGTTCGAAAGGTCGCTGCTCCGTCGCGAGATCCAGCGGCTGGGCGGCGAAGCCTTCGACGCTTCCGGCACCAGCGGAGCCCTCGGCGCGTCCGGCGCCGGCGATGCTTTGGAAGTCCTGGACCCAGAGAGGCCTTCGGAAGATGAGGACGAGACATCAAGGGACATCAAGGGACTCAAATCTGATACCTGGGATGAATCCCACTTTTTTGTAGGTGTTGAACCAGGGTTGAAACGCCACATATATATGTAGGTTCATGATTTCTGAATTTGTCTTCACCATCGTGATGAAGGAATAGTTCGTATTTCACTGAGCATTTACAGAAAACAAGTGTGCGAGTCTCTTGCCCTCTCGTTCTCTCATACTGTACAGGATCGTAAGTAATGGGATGCCAATACATTGTTCTACGATGGACAACGAACTTCTTGACAACTCTGGTCAATCACAGATATCGAATGCAAACCCAGCAGCCAATCAGCACCGAGCAGCTGGAATGCTCTGGAAAAAAAACCCGGGACATCAGCACATGTGGATGGCTCCAAACATGGCTAGCTAAAAAGAAGCATCCCTTCAATGGTGTTTTTCATGTGTTTTTTTCCGTGGGAGATGCAAGAAATATCCTCCATTGGCTTTACAACAGCATAATTCAAATCATCCATCAACCAACCAAATAAAAACTGTGTGTCCATAAGATTAGATGAGGATGGATCTCGGTGGGATGTGCATGCCAGGATACCAATCTAAATTCTTGGGCAGTTGATGTGGGTTTTTTGGGCAGTTTTTTGATGTTTTTGAATTCCAAGGTCTGAAAGAATCGGGGCGCCTTCGCCAGAATTCCCAAGTACGACTCAGCAATGTGGGATTCACCCAATGCCATAAACCTACCACTTGGGGCATCTTGGGGTCTGGGGATGAACCACTTGCCACCCATGTTTGGGGATATTGGGGTTGTTGTATTATTGCTGGTTGGTGGTTTGGAACATTTTTTATTTTTCCAGATATTGGGAATGTCATCATCCCAACTGACTTTCACTCCATCATTTTTCAGAGGGGTAGTAGGTCAACCACCAACCAGATACAACATGTATTAACATGTTCTATACTAACTAATAGCCTATTATCCAATCTTATCTATATCTATAATCTACCACATGACTTAAAACCACCACGGGTTTTTTGTCCAAGTTGTGATCTGTGCGAACCGCGAACCGCAGGGTGGATTTGGAAGTTCCCTCCGAACGCCGGGAAGATGACGTTGTGTTGGCCTTGACATATGAGGCCGGAGGAATGTTGAAGTGGAAGTACCCTCTGGTAAACTAACATAGCTATTGAAAATGGCCATTTATAGTGGAATTACCCATTAAAAATGGTGATTTTCCATAGTTACGTTAGTTTACCAGAGAGTACTTTTTTTGGACCGTGATAGTTTTTTAATGGTTTATAGATGTTTATAGCTGATGGACCAAGCCCCATACCCGAAATGGTGTCATCAAGCATGGCAATTGAATCTCTTCTAGGGAGCTAGAGATTTTGGCTCTTCTGTTAATTACTGCTGAAATGAAACATCCTTTTCAGGGGATAATTTTGACTCAGCCCATACACATTTCAATGGATTGGTTTAAGGGAAAATCTACAGGAAACCATAGATTTTCCTATTAAATCTGGTGTTTTCATGTGTTTTCCTGAAAATGTTCCCTTAAACCAATCCATTGAACATTTGATGTTTCGGCGCATGCTCATAGTGTGACGAAATCTGTGGGCCTCGCAACCTCGACAAATCTGTGATCTTGCCCGACCTGCCAAGCAGCTCTTGACTTCTTGGGAAGTCGTCTGCCAAGCAGCGTCCAATTTGTCCAACAAAAAAGTGTTTCCAAGGTCCTTCCATCTCAGATTCCAAGAACTACTAAGATTGTGGGTATCAGATAGTATCCGTCCCTATGACTTCCATGCTTTAGAACACCATGGAAAAAATGTGTGGGTGTTTTGGAAAAATCTGGTTGTTTTTTTTGAAATCCCATGGTTAAACCCTACGAAAATCGTTGGGATGGTTTTTTTTTACATCCCCTTCGAAAGCCATGAAACAATCCAAATGTTGGAGATGTATCAGCTGTTTTTTTTGAAATCCATTAAACAATATGTATCATATATTAAATCCAAAAATGGCAAAGAAATCCTATATCATCTGGAGATGTATCAGCACATATAGCCATAAAATATCATCTAAGTAAGAATTTCTATAAACATCTAATTATGTGTATATATATATATCATCAGGACATATAGCCATACAGCTGAATCAGATAATTATGGATATCCTATGTTTAAACAATCCAAAGTATGGAAAATCCCCAGGACCTGGGACGAAATTTCCCATTTCAGGAGCCACCGAGCCTCGAACCCCTGCCAGCGCCAAAAGACGAGCCTCCGAGTGGGGCACCGAGTGGAGCCCAGTGAAAACCTTGGGAATACCACGGGAAAACCAGGGTATCATTCAGAAAATCGCCGGAAAACCATGGTATCAATGGGAAAATTCTATGATTCATGGTCCTTTCTATTACTACGTTCGCCACAAAAAACATAATTAAACATGTGTAAACAGTAAACATGTAAATATGCAGCTGATTTATGTTCATTCCACTGGGATGTTCGTGGAATTCAGAGGGGGAACAGAACCATTCTTGATGGGTTGGAGGTTGCTGCAGGTTTGGGTAAAATATCGGCCTCCCATGATCCCCGAAGCGTCGATTTTCTTGCCCTGAGAGTCGTAGCCAGTCCCAAGAATCTGACGAACTCTAAGGATGTCATCCCTACAATCCATGGAATGTGGAAAGCCCATGATACGCAGTGTTGCGATCTAAGGTCAGTTGGACAAGGTCAATGGAAAGGGAGATGGGGGGAGTTGGGTCAAGCAACTCGGAAGTCAACAAGCAGAAATTCATGTTTGGCATCCCCCAGATAGATAGAATAGCCAGAAACCTGGAAAATATAGAGGGAACATCATCTATACAATCCCGGAAACACGTTTCTATTCCGGGGGGGTGCTATACATTGGTCAATGGCAGTTGGTGACATGGCCAACATCCAGTGCTTCCAAAGGGAACTGAAATTCTTGATGGGTTTGAGAGGCTAGCAATGGGACAAGTGAAGTTGGAATACAGAAAGTACTGGTTAAGCCATATTAAATTATAATGTTATAAATTGTTATAATATATAACATATTATGTAGCTCCGGAGTCAAGGAATAGAATACAATAGAATATGGTTTTTCTTTTCTATGAGATCCCATTCCCATGATTTTTGGCTGGTGAAACCCCAATCAATGCCAAGATCAACGTGCAGGAGACAGGGTCGCTCACGTTGCCACCGATCCCAGCCACCAGCTCTGAGATTCTGCAGAACATGAAAATGGACGAGGCCTGTAAAGAAAACGCAAAAACCACATGGTGGTTGGATAGGCATCGTGTTTTTTACCGAGAACTTAGAGAAGCCATTGAAGACTGTTGCTTTCAATCACTTTATCCATATACTTACTATATAAAAAAAAACTGTGGCGGGATACCCTTCAATGTTCATGACATGAATGTAGGGCCCAGCCCAAACTAGGACTCAATGAAAGTCCCACAGAAATCAGTTTCTATTTTGGGACCACTGGGCCAGGGGACGGGGAAGGGGTTCGCTAAATAGCCAGGCCCTGATTGTTGTGACTCGGGTGAACTAGCTACATACCTCACTGGTGTTTCCTTGTGCCTGTGGAAGGTAAATCATGCTAAATCGCTCGCAGACTGGCGATAAATATTCGTAGAATTATCCCAAAGGTATTGCAGCCCGGTGCTTGTCGCATACTATCCTTATTTGGGCACGCCCTAATTCATGAGCCGGTTTCTTTTTATTGTTCAATCCAGTATGTGGGCTAATTGATATTAATCATTCTAAATCAACATGTTATATATATATCATATTATATATATAGTTGTATTTATCATGATCAATCCATGTATGTATATATATATAGATAGATACATGAATCCATCTCTGTGTATATGTATGTGTAATTATGTGTATATATATATGTAGTTCATATACATTACATATTATTTGTTAGTTAAAATGTGTGACTTATCCATCTTACCAAGACTGGCATGTTGTCCGGTGCCAGGGTTGACATGTTTCGGACGCCGCAGGGAGAAGAAGATTCAGAGACCAGGAAAGGTGTTAAGGCGAGGGCCGGCGCAGGAGCGCAATAGGAGGTGACCCAAGGGTCAATATACCATGAAAAATAGGGATTTTAACATGAGTTCACTAGGGAAACCAGGGAGATGTAGTGGAGATATGATAATTGGGTTTAATGGGTATATAATGGGGTTATAGTTAAGCATATATGATAGTTAATGAGGTCATTTGGATTTGCCGAAGATATTGTTTTTGATTTTCCGGATGAGAAATCCATTACTTGCGGAATCTGTTTGGGGTTCCCTAGGTAAATCCAGGTTAACTGGGAAGACTGGGGAGATACAATGGGGATATCGCTAACAAATGCTATGGTCGTTGGATTTGCCTGCCAATGGGTGGGTTCTTTTCAGAGAAACCCAGATGACAATGAAACAAGCATGGAACCAATCAAGACCCATGAAATCCAACTTAATTCATCCTACAGGGCAAACTTGGGAACTCTCACCATGCTGTGCAAGTTGGCAAGTTGCGGCCTGGATTTTTTTCCTCCTGATCTACTGGTCGAATTCGACCAACGGACGAGTAGCGGTGAACTCATTGCTGGCCGCTACTGTAGCAGGTTTTACCATGATGCAATGCTGATTTTGGGAGGTACCCTCTGGTAATTTAACATAGCCATTGAAAATGGTAATTCATAGTGGATTTACCCATTGAAAATGGTGATTTTCCATAGTTATGTTAGTTTACCAGAGGGTACCTTGTTTTGAGATGTTTGCTTGTATTTCTTTGCAACAAGGGGTTGTTCACGGTTGAGTGATAACAAGCCCACTGAGCCAATAGGTCAGGTAAAAACCCCACTGATGCCGCGCACCAATCCACGTAAGAGAGGAAAACAAGAACGATGTTCATTTCGTCTATGGTTCTCTTGGAGCTTGTGACATGTTTCACCATTGTTGAAAAAACGCAAAATCTGTTGAGACCCAGATTCCACTGGTAGCTGCAACATGTCACTGACAACTTGGTAGAGTTAGCTTCTGGCTTAATCCCATCTAGTCCTACTAGGTGGAGTTGGTTAAGTTATGTTTGTTGGTTAAGAAAACCCCCCATGAGTACTACTGTAGTTCGTTTATATCTACCATGAACCATCATGAACCCAGATATTGGAGATATTTGGAGATAAAAGCCAACTTAGCTAAATCCCATCTAAAATCCCAAGAAAAATCCCATGAAAGTTGCTATTTGCACCTGCCACCACACTGCCTGCAGGCAGTGGCTTTCTCCTCCGAAACATCAAGGTGTGGGGATCAAAACCAGCCTGGACGTATGGAAAGAGCGTAGGGAATGTCGTGTACGACATGGATTTAAATGGAGATGTGATATTTATGTATCTACATATGTATATTATATGTATATTATATGTATATTCTTATACACTATATATATATGGGAGGGATTTTTGTTGCATCCTGTTGATTGCGGAAATCATGTGGAAATGTCATGTTTTTTTTCAAAAAAACACGAGCCTGTGAGAGAAGAAATCGGGATTCCTGAAAGGATGCCCGAAATCATCCAGTCACTGGACTGGGGATCCCCCACGACCTGTACGGACACCTCTTGGTGTAGCATAGCAAGTCCTGGGGACAAGGGAACTGGTGCCTCCACCAAGATTAAGGGAAAACTGGAAAACATGGAAGAAACCCGCGCGTGAGAGTGAGAATTTTAGTACAAAAATTTCGCGAGTGACTGTTGGTAATACTACTCATTGGCAAAAACATGGCCTATGGGTGCCTTTACCCATAGTATAAAAATCACGTATACCATGGTATACCCGTATCATAGGTAGTATGAAGTTGATGAATTTCCATTCTTCCCGCAGGTATGGTGGCGACTCAGAGGCGAACCGGGTGTCAGTTTTCATAGGTGATTCTTCTCGCCACAAAGGCGAGGTTTATTTTGGAAGACCCCCTTGGTTGCCCAAAAACGTCCGGTGGCAGCAACCCATAGCAACAGCATGGTTTTTTCCACTTTCAACAACCACTTACTATCGTTAGGCACATCCAAGAGGGGTGACCACCAGAGACCACTTACTATCTATGTGCTGTTCTTTTTGTTGCGTTTTACGAGGTGATTTTACGTTGTTTTCACCGGGAAGCTGATCCAGCTGGATCCACAGATGTTCCAAAGTTTTGTTTACTCAACCCGACTGTGTGTTCCATCTAAAATTCTGTTGGTGCATCTTCAAGTGGTGTTAAACACCTCACAACGTGAGCACAACCGACGGGCTTGTATCCATTCTGCGAGCTAGTCATCTCATTAACCCCATGATTTTTTTTCCATGTTTTTCAGCTGGTTTATTTTGTCATATCTCCAAATGGCAGGCAGAGGATAGGTATACCAGGTATGGTTTCTTTTGCGTTTACCTGGCTCATTAGAATGCTGATCGCAAGTTCTTGGTTGCAACTGGGTCCCTCAATGATCCTCCACAAAAAAGATGCCCTTTGCCATTTGCGTTTAGGTGGATGCACAGACACCCAAAAGCAAAGCCAGTGCGCTGGAGAACAAGGTTCCATGGGGCCCACGGGGCTTGGGAGAAATGATGAGAAATGCCATGTCTCAATTCCACGGCCCAATTTGAGAGTGAAGTCATAGTGGGAATACCAATGGACTCACAAATGGATGGTCATGTTTATATTTGGTTGGTGCTGTGGAACATGTTTTATTTTCCATGATAGGATAATCATCCCAACTGACTTTCATATTTTTCAGCGGGGTTGAAATCACCAACCAGATATGGTTTTTACATGTTTTTACTATGAAACATCTGTCGACATCATCTCCGGTTCGGAATCCGGGCCTCACAGGGTAACCTGGATGTCGCTAGAGGAAGAACATGGAAGAACTGGATGTTTCAGCCAAGCCGAAAAAGGGTCAAGAAAGGATCGAGGTTTTAATGGGTGTAAAAACAAGTTATATCATGTTATATCTGTTGATGATATTTGATGATGGTTAGTGAATGTTAGTGATATACCTGGTGAGTGCTATAGTTAATATTTGATAAATTAACCATACATTTATAGCTATTGATGATGGTTAATGGGCTACTTTTTCTTCGGGAAATTGCTGATTTTCAGCCCAGCTTTGAGCAGGGCTTCAAGGTAGGCAAGGAGTTGTTGCAGTATGTATACTGTGATATACTAAAATTTTATACAATTAATGATAATTAATTACAATTATATAAGTAATTATAAACATATAGATATATTATGTGCATAGTATATATATACATAATAACAGATTTTTATACATTTTACAGATGGGGACTGAGAGGACTTGTTTGAAGAAGTTATCTGTGCAAAAATCCTGCTGCTGATTCGCTAAGTCACTGGATCCGATGTAGCTTCTAACTTGTAGCAAGGTCTCAAGGTCTCAAGGGCCATGCTTTTGGATTGTGAAAAACGGGAACATCTTCACCGGAAACCAGTGTATTTGACCATGAAATATAGGCTTTTCCTGAAAAAAGTTTCCTGTAAATGTTCCCATCATCCTCCTATTTTCTATGTTTTCCTATGTTTTCCCATTTTTCCATCATGCCTTTGGATGTTTCTGGATGTTTTTTTTGGCCCCTTTTCCGTGCAGGTCTATGCGAAGCGAGACACCTGGGCGATGAGCACCTTTGGAATGGAAGACGGTCGCCTGCCGAAACGTTTTTTAGGGCCTAGGGGGATGCACCCGTATGGCTGCCTAAAAGCATAAGATCCAACTTGGTCCAACATGTTTATATCTGGTTGGTGGTGACTGGAACCATGGAATGGATTATGACTTTCCAACTTTCCATTCAGTTGGGAATGGAAAATCATCCCAACTGACGAAGTCCATCATTTTTCAGAGGGGTTGAAACTACCAGCCAGTCAAGAATGAAGTCTACCTCTATCACTTTCCATATCTCTCCATGTGTCCTTTTTTCCAAAAACGAACCGTAATGAAGGGTTGATTTGCCCTATGTTATGCCGAACTACTGCTCTACCTATATAACTCATTTGAGCTGTGTAATATATTTTAACATATGGATGTTTCCTAAAATGGGGGTACTCCCAAATCATCCAAATTATATAGACCATTTTAGTATTGAAACCCATGGTGACTTTGGGGGTCCCCCATTTTAAGAAACCCCCATATCAGGGTTGAATTTGTATGATTATAGGGTGTGACGACTTTGATCATGTCAAGTTCTGTTCATTTGATAATTCAAAGGCCAGTGGCCACACCTCAACTTAAAGACATCCGGTGGCATTTTCCAAGCGATCATGACACGACAATCTGCTGACTTGCCACCGGCACCGGGTCGTCGATCAAGGTCCGAGATAGCACGATTTATGCCATGGAGCATGGAGCCACACAATACCCTGCTTCATTGGTTGTATGGTTGTGACATGGGACTTATACCTAATTTATTGGGGATTAGGGTAACCCATAGTAGGGAAAGCTATCAGCCAACCACTATAATGAGATTGGATAGGGGTGTTGAATGGGTCAATTCATCAGATTTTTCCAGGAGTGTAGCAGCTTGTACATCCCAGTCGTGCAGTGTTTGACTGCGTCCAAGTTCTTTGATTTTTACCCGACTTATTGTCAATGGCCATTTCAGGAACCTAAATTGGAGGTACCTACCATATACAAAGCCTATTTTTCAGGCCTTGATTTCAAAGAATATCCCCACTGTTCACTGCCTAGCAGCTAGCAATGATAGATATTGTCCTTGTTTCATATTATTTCATCTTATTTTGCTATTTCATATTAATTCATATTATTTCATCTTGTTTTACTATTTCAAATTAATTCATATTATTTCATCTTATTTCACTATTTCATTATTTCATATTAATTCATATTATTTCATATTATTTTACTATTTCATCTTAATTCATATAATTTCATTTCATGTTACTATTTCATATTAATTCATGTTAATTCATATTATTTCATCTTGTTCTACTATTTCAAATTAATTCATATTATTTCATTTTGTTCTACTATTTCAAATTAATTCATATTATTTCATCTTGTTCTACTATTTCAAATTAATTCATATTATTTCATCTTGTTCTACTATTTCAAATTAATTCATATTATTTCATCTTGTTCTACTATTTCAAATTAATTCATATTAGTTTACCTGATTTTACTATTTCATAATTGTCATGTTATGTCATATGTTTTTGTGGTGCGTTCCTCTCCAAACATTGGTCGGATCTGCCCCAGATTGGTCGCCCCAGCGCTACATCATGACCTCTCAGAGTTTGAAAAAGACCCTGGGCTGCTGGTGAAGACCGATGTGGGATTCACTGGATATTGATCCATTTTTTTTTGGGATACTATTGATATATCCAATATTATTTATATGGACATTATGGATATATTGATCCAATTCTATGTGGGATTCAATATCCATAATATCCAATTGCCATGGATATTGATCCATATAAATTGCCATGCTGATTCAATTTATGGATTTTGGAGCAGAATTCTGCTGGATCCAGCAGTGAATGCAGGTTATTTGTTTCGAGTTTCTATCATTTTGGATGGGCAGAATTTATGAATGTTTATGTTATGGCAATGTTTCTTCTGGTGCGTTTTACGCAGGGAATTTTCGGGAATGATCTGGCGAACTATCAATTTCATCATCCCAGCAACCCCCGGCAGCCCATGGGATGGAAGGATTCATCCCGATTTGAAAATCACAGGATATCTAGCTGCTCTAGCTGTTGATCACCAATAAGAATGGGTACTAATTATAGTGGATTATTGGAGAATCCCATATCACTAATATCCCATATCCCAATATTCTCTAGCTGGTAAACGTTTACATAACATACATAACGAACTGGAAAGATCCACCATGTTCAATGGGAAAATCCACTATTTCGACTGGGACATTTTTCAATAGCTATGTTAAATTACCAGAGGGTAGAACTAGTGACCAAAATTTGGTTTCGCCAAAAAACTACCCCCGTTGCGTGGTTACGTGGGGTAAGTGTTCTCAACGAAACAAAATGTATGTGATGCGGGACTGAAAGTCTTTCTTAACCAGAGTTACCCTAGGATGAACAAACATAGATGTGGAAAACCCATGGTTTCCCTAGGAAATTTCTAGAAATGATGGCTTTTCCACATCTATATGTTGTTTTACAGGAGGGTACTGGCGTCACCTAGGTATGATTCCTGGGCTAATTCCACAAGCATAGGGACTCGTTGGCCAATTTCATGGCGGATTTCTTGGCCTGGTGCTGCAATCTTGTGGGTTCCTTGACCCATGAAATCCACATGTCTAATATTATAATGTATACGGCGTGGTGTATATTCATATTGACTTTCACTACTGAATTTTGTAGCAATAGCCATGACTTTCACACAGAAACCGCTGAGGAAACAGCAACAGAACCTCTTGGTGCGAAGCGTCTTGGAAGATGACAATCAATTTTGTGCACCCCAACCAGCTCCATTTATACCAAGCGATCAATATTCAAGATCATCCAATTATTCATTGATTTATATGTTTAATAAAATTATAGCAAGCTTTTTCGGTGAGATTCATCCAATTATTTTTGGAACCTCGCTTTCGGGGCTTTTTTGGGAGCCATGAGGAAGTGTCGTTGCCAGTGTGGCTTGGGTGGGTGTTGAGAAACCACTCAGAGATCACTCAAAGTAGGAAGGACAGCGCCCGTGTTTCCTGAAATTCTGGAACTCAATGACCTAATGACGGGGACTTAATGACATTTGCAGGACCCAACAACTCTTCGAAAACAGCCACAAGATGTCCGAAGAAATTGTTGGGTTAAGCTGAGTCTGAGTGCAACCTCTCATTTTTTCCCTCATGTCCACGCTACAATGTCGGAACGGCGTAGGCGGACAGGCACCGAATATTAAATGTGGGAAGGGGGGCATCCAGACATATCCAGACCATCCTTTCTTCGTGCCATCCCTGTGAAGAGATCCCCCCGACATAGCCCCTTTGTTGGTTCACAGTGCAACCTCTGCAAAAACCCAAAAACTCACGGGAACCACAAATTTGGGTACTGGCGGACTCGGTATGCATGTAGAGCATATATATGCATGTCCTCGACTTGCTGCCGTGCTGACATTTGCTGACATCGTTGTTGTCCCTGCTTTTTCTTTCGCTAAGCTCGGTGCTTCGTATTTCCGGTGCAGGGAGAACTCCCATTCCGAGGCACCAAAACCATGGAATTGCTCCCGCAAATGAACTGTTGCACCTCGGCCATGTCAACGAGGGCAGCTGCCTCAAAATCATAAGGGCGAGCCTTAGGCCCTAATTGTGGTGAAGAAAAAAAAATGAGGGCAGTTTAACGGATTTTATGATTTATGGTTATAAGTTTGTTTATAAACCATTGTAACCCCCATGAAAACTAGTTCGTTATATCTACCATAAACCATCATTAAGCCCCATGATTTGGCTCATGTTTTCCTGTTGCCAAAGGAATCGGGGAATACATTGCCTTGGCTCGATGTTTTTTCGAGTTTTGTGAGTGAAAAAAACACATGTTGGTTAGAGATAGATCACTTTAACAGTTGATGAATGTTGTCTTCAAAGATATCCCGTGTTCTTTTGCCAGCTTCTTTCCTGGGAAAAAAAAACAACATCGCCTAAATTGGGACTATTTGGGACTGAAAGATATCGTTTATCATAGTTTATCACCCTCTAAAAAGTGATGTTTGACGTCTTGGCGTCTTGCAGGATGTCAAAAAGCAGGTGGAAATGGGATTTGTCCTTTAAGTCGAAGCTCACCTGTTTATCCAGGTCTATCACTCAATACATATACACATACATATATATATATATGTAATGTATGTATGCATAATATATATTTAATATATGATACATATGCAATTATACTATGTACATACACGCAAACGTACATTAATGTGGGACATTCGGGCCGAGCTAATCATATGCTCCTGGGCCGGGTTCGGTTTGTTCGGTGGATCGCCTCCGCTTTTTCAGCGGGTTTGGGTCCTGACACAAACTCGACATCTGAGCCATTGAAAATGCCTTAACGGTTGCTTGGTTGTTGAATGGGGATTTAACTCGGATTTCACCATGAATTATGATAATTATGGGCGTTCATTGGAAGTTTAACTTGGTTTAAGATGGTTTAAGTATATTTAAGTATCAAAGATGTGGGGAAGATTGATGGATTTGTTATTTAAAAAATGGGAGTAAAAATCTACCGGGCTACCCCAAGAAGATGGCATGATACATATGATACGCTGTCCCATTCTTTTCCCGTCTCTGAATAAGATGTAGAACATTAAATTATCGCATCAATATAAATATATAATTATATCATTATCAAATAAATTATCCCATTAAATATAATTATAATATAATTAGATAATTATCCCATAAATCCATAAATATATATATATATATATCCCATTTCAAAATGGGATTCCAAAATGATCATCCCATAGCCTTTCCGATTTTGGGATGTTCCCCTAAGCTTTAAAAAAAAAAAAAACGTCTAGGGCGATCCCCGTTTTGACGTTTCCTGGTCCAAAATTCACTGAGTTGCGATCCTGAAGCATGGCCGTGCGGGGCCCCAACTTTGCGGAGAATGTCATACTGAATTACTTCATCTATTTATTAATGTTATACATGAATGTTATTAATAATACTAAGCTGGTATATCTGAAAATGTCATATATATATACATATGTGTGTGTGTGTTTGGCTAGAGTGAAGTTCCAGTGGTTTAAGGGATGTAGAAAACCCATGGCTTTGACACCCAAAGATGGCGGGGTTCGAAGCCATTCGAAGCCTCAGTTGTCCCTTTCCTAAATCCAGATGGTGTCTGCGCAATGAACATGACTGAACATGTTCATCCGAATTAGAGTATGGATTTTATAATAAGGAACATATATATGCATATATTCTATATTCTATAACTATGACCAAAAAAAGGGGGAAAAGATTCTGAGCCATACTCGTTTTTCCACGATGTTCTGTCGGTGGAGACAAGTCTGTGGATCTCAGGACCTATCCCACCATCCGCACCCGTTCGCTTGGCGTGGGATGTGACCGGGCTTTTTCTCATCCTGTGCCCCAGGTTGAAACAAAAAAAAGGAGCCACTGGATGTACCAAACAAACAATACCCTCTGGTAAACTAATGTAACTATGGAAAATCAACATGTTTAATGGATAAATCCACTATAAATGGGCATTTTCAATAGCTATGTTAGTTTACCAGAGGGTAAAGGGAGTGTTTCAAAGCTTGGATTTGATTGACCCTACCTGAAAGTTGAGAAATGGTGACAAGTTCAGAAAGATCCACAATGTTTATCCCAAAGGGTGCTGGAAGATGTAACAACACATGTACGCCAAAAAGGGCCCAAGTGGAGGTAAAGATGTTAAATCTTACCACACATGCAGGGAATCATAATCTATCATCGAATTTTACCAGCAAGAAAGACATACATGTGACGGTCAACAGTTGGATGATATACTGAAAAATTGCTGGATGGTCTTCCCTCACCATGAGCGAAGCATAATGGCCGATTGCCAAGAACAGTGGCATGTTTTGACCATGGCACATAGCAATACAATCAATATTTGGTTGGTGGCTTGGAATTGTTTGTATTTTCCCATATATTGGGAATAATCATCCCAACTGACTTTCATATTTTTCAGAGGGGTAGGTCAACCACCAACCAGAATATAATGGCCATGGCGGCCGCATGTTGTTTTTTGGGGGGCATGCTGGGTCCAGGTACGACATTTGCGCCATTCCTCTGGAGGCTTTTGAGTTTGAGAGGCGACACCGGGATGCTCCTTCAAAATCCCTGGTGTTTGTTTTTTTCGATTTTCTTTGGAAATACGTAATACACCATGTATTTGGGACCATAAATCTGGGTAAATTATAACGACCTCACTGCGACCTCACTGGAAATCATGGTTAGTAAGGGAAATCATCCCCAAATGGCCTTAATTCGGGTTAGTGAAATATATGTGAAATATTATAATTTACCCAGATAAATGATGGGGATTTTCTGTAATTCCCATAGCATGAATGGGAGTCTCAGCAGCAGGAATTTAAGGGCACCTCGGAAGTTTCAAAAGTTCTACAGCTTGAGACGCAGCTGTTTTGAAGACCCGCCAATGAGATCATGATGAGAACTGGTGGAACTGGTTGCATTGCAGCATTGAAACCAATCGTTTGATCCAATGATGAGATGTTGCCGCCTTGGTAATTTGATGTAATTTGACCGTTTGCGAACTGAAAAATCATGATGTTTAATGGGTAAATCATCTAAGCTGTAGGGGTACATGGGCCATTTTCCAGAGCAAGCTCTTAAATTACAAAGAGGTATGCCAGAAGCAAGCAAACAGCAACTTTGTGGTCGCTGTGGTTCCTATATGATATATGCGAGAGCTGTACATTCCACATTCTGGATGGCTACGTTCAAGAACCGGTTGTTTGCTGGAAGCGAAATACTTTACAGTAACCTAACATATCTATGGAAAGCAACCCATTGGTATATGTGTAAGGACAGTGACTTTCAATATATAGTTACTGGTTGGTGGTTTGGAACATTTGTTATTTTTCCATCTATTGGGAATAATCATCCCAACTGCCGAACTCACATTTTTCAGAGGGGTAGGTCAACCACCAACCAGGTGATGTTATGTTCAATTACCAAAAGATACCTCTAGGTTATGTTATGTTATGTTCAATTACCCTCTGGTAAATTAACATAGACCCTGAAACTGATCAATTTATAGTGGAAACTAGTCTTTCAACCCCCATCTGGCAGGGTCTATGTTAATTTACTGGAGGATACCAACCAGGTGATGTTATGTTCAATTACCAAAAGATACCTCTAGGTTACCCTCTGGTAAACTGTTACATAACTATGGGTTCCATCAGCATGTTTCATGGGTAAATCCACTATTTCGACTGGGCCATTTTCAATAGCTACGTAACAAATTACCGGAGGGTATGTTATGTTATGTTCAATTACCACCACCAACCAGAAGACGATTCGCCAAAAAATGGTCCTCCATGGAGGATCGTCCATTTCTATATAAGCGAGCGGGCGCCAAGTAAGCCTGGTGAGTCTATGTAGATTATCCCATTTATACATGGGTTATCGGATCCATGGTGCTGCTATATATATATATGGTAACATGGATCCCATCAATATACCCCAGTCATATTAGCATATATACCAGCACCAGCCGGATCCGTCATGGGATATATTTTTTTTTTTTTTTATCACCCCAGTTACTAAGCCCTCTGTTCACAAAGTTATTTACCAACTCTTTTATTGTCAGTCTTAGATTTCAATCATGTTTCTCGTGGTTCATCCATGTTCATCCAGTGTTTGGCATGATGCTCCCAAACTGACTCAGCGCTTTGTCGCTCACAAAGCTCTTCACTATCTCCACATGCGAGGATGATCTTAAATGTCAAGAAACCTCGGATACTTCTCAAAGCCTTACCCCCAATTATCGTTTGTTAGTTGATACATATACTAATACGTATCAAAATAGGTAAAAAAAAAACTTGCCCATCCCCATAATTTTCAGCACCCTTATTGTTTGGTTTCAACATGTGGGTTTCATCCCCTACATCCATCATGTCTTCTGGGGAGTTTTTTAAATTTTCACTGGCGAGGGGTATGGATATATATATATATATATATGTATATATATAATATGTATATATATATATATTATGTATATATTTATATATTATGAACATATTGTGTATATATATATATACACATATTATGTGTATATATATATTATGTGTATATATATATTATGTATATATATATATGTAATGTTTATATATATATATTATGTATATGTATGCATATTATGTATATATATATTCTGCGTTTTCTAGATATTCCTATTATGGGTTAGTTCATAAACACCAATAAACCAGCCAGTATGACCCACCGACTATCAATCCATCAACAGAGGTACCAATGGATTATTTAGCCATTATCAACCATTCTTATCCACTATTAACCACTATCAATCACTGTTAGCCACTATGAATGTTCCACATCTTCTAGATGTTATGGGGAACAAATGGAAATAAGGCTTCAAGGGCAATTTGAGGGGGTATGTTGCTGATGTTCCACATATTCTAGATGTTCCAGATATTCTAGATGTTCCACATATTCTAGATGTTCCATATTCTAGATCTTCGACATATTATAGCCATTATTGATCACTATTCACTATGATGTAATGTTCCAGTTGAAGCAACAGCACTTTGACACAGGATCTTCTTTCAGGACTTTATGGACTGGGCAGCTTTGGCTGCTTGGTCTGGCGTGGGTTAGTTGTGGTCTGTCGCAACGGGGATGTAAATGGCCTTAGATGAGGAAGATGGTGAGAAACCATGGGATTTCTGTTGTGATAAAATTATATCATGATATGATGACATTTGTATGCTCTTAGGAGTACAGCATTTTTTGCTTGTATTGCTTTATTACCATATTATATACCATTATATACCCTAATAGGTATTATAGTACCAAAGTATTGAAAACCTGTGGCATTTTTTTTGCAGCCTACAAATTTTGCGGGCTTGGGTGACTAGGGTAGACAACACACCTATACAATCCTATATATATATGCATATATATATATATATATATATATGGCTCACGGCTGCTGAGTGTTGGCGGAGCTCGCCCCCCAACTTCCCGGCTCCACAAAGCCTGGAAATTAGAGGCACCAGCAGTGGCTGATAACCCTGGTGCAGTAAGTCCTGTAGGTTAGTTGTCCCATTTGCAAGTGGGTTATGAACCAGTTCTTAGGTGGGAGAATCCTCCAACCAACGAAGCTGAAACAAACTGAAACTGATTCAGTGGCGTAACTCAACTCTTTGAAACTGATTGCCTCAAACTCTGGCATATCTACCTCTGCAAATACATATGAATATATACAAAGATATGTATAATATATATATATATATGTATGCACACACACACATATGGTGGAAATAATTAGATGAGTAGACAAGCAGATAAATGGACAAGTAGACAAATAGACAAAACGATAGCTAGCTAGCTGACTAGCTAGGTACATGGGTAGATAGATATTAGGTATACATAGATACATAGGTAGACCCCAAAGTATAGTTGTATCCTGTTGTACTTGCAAGGAAAATGATTGGGAGTCGCGTTGATTGCAGGGGACTGTTCCCAGCCCAAAGCGTGTGTCCCCGGACATCCCCCGAGCCTCACTGTGGGTGTCAAACCGAGCTCTTCTGGACATTGGATGTGATCTTCAGCTTCTTCACCGGCTACTACCACAATGGCCAGCTGATTTTGGACCCTTGGCAGCTGACTTGCCTGAAGTGGGTTTGTCTGAAGATGTGTATCCCTAAATTCACTGCTTAAATATAATATAGACATGTAATAATATATAGTATATATAATTTACTATATAATATATAACATGTCTAATAAAAATTAGATATTATACACATATCCTTATATATAATAATAATTATTATTAACAATAATTATAACTAATATGGTTTTATTACTTATGATTATACAATACAATAATACATACATGCATGCATGCATGATACATACATTACATACATTACATACATTACATACATTACATACATTACATACATTACATACATTACATTACATTACATTACATTACATTACATTACATTACATTACATTACATTACATACATACATACACACTGAAACACTGAAACACTGAAACTGAAAATTTGTTCCTTGCGTCTAGGAGCTACAGCCAGGGCCGCATGTCACGATGAATTCCCGCGTGGGTCACGCCATGATCTGCCAGGACTACTGGAAGATCGCTATCAACTACCTGTCCACCTGGTTTATCCTGGATTGTGTGACTTGGACCATCTGAAGGACCAGCTTTTGGACCTCAGATTTCGGCCTGTTCTTTTGGCCCTGGAAACCAGTTGCTGTTGATGTTGCTGTTGTCATTGTTCCAGTGTTCGTGCAGTTGTTTTGATCTCTAAATTTCATCTAACTTGGTTCATCATATGAAATTTTGGTGCATATAACTTGTTCTAAATTTCATCTAGTTGGTGTAAGTTTTTTTCCTTGACTTAACATGCCTTAAACTGCGGCTCAAAATGGAAAGGTCACAGATCAAGTTGTTCCTCATGTTGCTGTGACGGCTTTGCTTACCATCCCAAAGTTTTTTTGGGCGAAGTCGAATTTTCACATGCACGAGTCTCCAAAGCAAATGTAGGATTTTGACATATGTTGACATATTTTGACATATTTTGACATATTTTGACATATTTTGACCATCCATGCGGATGCGTGACGTGTCTTTTTCTTGGAAGCCATCAGTTCGGCACATCCATTGATGATGCACTGCGAGCTGGGGCGTCCGATTTTTTTCGATCGCTCCTAGTTGGTGGGCGTTTGTCTCGGTGAATTCTATGTGGTTTATGGATGTTTATGGTTGATATAACTGATACAACACATACAATCATATACAACTATCTGGGTAAATTTACGAACTCACGTCGCGAACGTTCTGCCTTGAATGATGGCTAATTAATAGGGCTACCCTCCAGTAATCAAACGTGGCAATTGAAATCCACTAGAAATGGGGGTCTCAATAGGAAAATCACCTATAAATGGTGTATTTTCCATTGCCATGTTTGAGTCCCGGAGGGTGTTATTTACTTACTTGTGCGTTTTACGAAGGAAATTTCAGGAATGATCCACTGGCTAACTATCAATTTCATCATCCCAGCAACCCCCGGCAACCCCCAGCAACCCATCCATTCCCTACGTTTAGCACGCACCAGTAAGATGATCACGAATCTTACTGGTGATGACTAATCTTACTAAGTGACCAAGTATCCCTTTTCAGTCATTGTAAGTCATACTTAATCTTACAAGTGATCATTAGCTATAGAAAAACACCATTTTTAAGAACGGTAAACCATCTATTTCTACGGGCCATGGCTTCCATAGTTTTTTGTACGTTTACCAGAGAGTAAATCATTCTTAAGTCCCCATTAAACACCATTTAAACACCATTAAATCACCATTAAACCACCATTAAACCACTATTAAATCACCATTAAATCACCATTAAATCACGATTAAATCACCATTAAACACCATTAAATCACCATTAAATCACGATTAAATCATCATTAAATCATCATTAAATCACCATTAAATCACCATTAAATCACCATTAAATCACCATTAAATCACCATTAAATCACCATTAAATCACCATTAAATCATCATTAAATCACGATTAAATCACCATTAAATCACCATTAAATCACCATTAAATCACCATTAAATCACCATCAAATCACGATTAAATCACCATTAAATCACCATTAAATCACCATTAAATCACCATTAAATCACCATTAAATCACTATTAATTCACCATTAAATCACCATTAAATCACAATTAAATCACCATTAAATCACCATTAAATCACCATTAAATCACCATTAAATCACCATTAATTCACCATTAAACCACCATTAAATCACCATTAAATCACCATTAAATCACCATTAAATCACCATTAAATCACCATTAAATCACCATTAAATCACCATTAAATCACCATTAAATCACCATTAAATCACCATTAAATCATCATTAAATCACCATTAAGTCACCATTAAATCACCATTAAATCGCTAAATCACCATTAAATCACCATTAAATCACCTTAAATCACCATTAAATCCACACCATTAAATCCCATTACACACCATTAAATCCCCATTAAATCACCATTAATCACCATTAAATCACATTAAAGCACCATTAAATCCACCATTAAATCACATTAATCACCATTAAATTCACCATTACACATCCATTACATCACCATTAAATCACCATTAAATCACCCATTAAATCACCATTAAATCACCATTAAATCACATTAAATCACCATTAAATCACCATTAAATCACCATTAAACATCATTTAAACACCATTAAATCACCATTAAATCACGATTAAATCACCATTAAATCACGATTAAATCACCATTAAATCACCATTAAATCACCATTAAGTCACCATTAAACACCATTAAATCACTATTAAATCACCATTAAATCACCATTAAATCACCATTAAACCACCATTAAACCACCATTAAATCACCATTAAATCACCATTAAATCACCATTAAATCACCATTAAACCACCATTAAACCACCATCAAATCACCATTAAATCACCATTAAATCACCATTAAATCACCATTAAATCACCATTAAATCACCATTAACTCACCATTAACTCACCATTAAATCACCATTAAATCACCATTAAACCACCATTAAACCACCATTAAATCACCATTAAATCACCATTAAACCACCATTAAATCACCATTAAATCACCATTAAATCACCATTAAATCACCATTAAATCATCATTAAATCACGATTAAATCACCATTAAACCACCATTAAATCACCATTAAATCACCATTAAACACCATTAAATCACTATTAAATCACCATTAAATCACCATTAAACCACCATTAACTCACAATTAAATCACCATTAAACACCATTTAAACACCATTAAATCACCATTAAATCACCATTAAATCACGATTAAATCACCATTAAATCACGATTAAATCACCATTAAATCACCATTAAATCACCATTAAATCACCATTAAATCACCATTAAATCACCATTAAATCACTATTAAATCACCATTAAACACCATTAAATCACTATTAAATCACCATTAAATCACCATTAAACCACCATTAAATCACCATTAAATCACCATTAAACACCATTAAATCACCATTAAATCACGATTAAAGCACAATTAAATCACCATTAAATCACCATTAAATCACCATTAAATCACCATTAAATCACCATTAAACACCATTTAAACACCATTAAATCACCATTAAATCACCATTAAATCACGATTAAATCACCATTAAATCACGATTAAATCACCATTAAATCACCATTAAATCACCATTAAATCACCATTAAACCACCATTAAACCACCATTAAACCACCATTAAACCACCATTAAACCACCATTAAATCACCATTAAATCACCATTAAATCACCATTAAATCACCATTAAACCACCATTAAACCACCATCAAACCACCATTAAATCACCATTAAATCACCATTAAATCACCATTAAATCACCATTAAATCACCATTAAATCACCATTAACTCACCATTAAATCACCATTAAATCACCATTAAACCACCATTAAACCACCATTAAATCACCATTAAATCACCATTAAACCACCATTAAATCACCATTAAATCACCATTAAATCACCATTAAATCACCATTAAACCACCATTAAACCACCATTAAACCACCATTAAACCACCATTAAATCACCATTAAATCGCCATTAAATCGCCATTAAATCGCCATTAAATCGCCATTAAACCACCATTAAATCACCATTAAATCACCATTAAATCACCATTAAATCACCATTAAATCACCAGTAAATCACCAGTAAATCACCATTAAACCACCATTAAATCACCATTAAATCACCATTAAATCACCATTAAATCACCATTAAATCACCAGTAAATCACCAGTAAATCACCATTAAATCACCATTAAATCACCAGTAAATCACCATTAAATCACCATTACATCACACCATTAAATCACCATTAATCACGATTAAACCACCATTAAACCACCCATTAATCACCATTAATCACCATTAAACAACATTTAAACACCATTACAATCCCATTAAATCACATTAATCACCATTAAATCACCATTAAATCACCATTAAATCACCATTAAATCACCATTAAATCACCATTAAATCACCATTAAATCACCATTAAATCACGATTAAATCACCATTAAACCACCATTAAATCACCATTAAATCACGATTAAATCACCATTAAACCACCATTAAATCACCATTAAATCACCATTAAACACCATTTAAACACCATTAAATCACCATTAAATCACCATTAAATCACCATTAAATCACTATTAAATCACCATTAAATCACCATTAAATCACCATTAAATCACGATTAAATCACCATTTAAACACCATTAAATCACCATTAAATCACCATTAAATCACCATTAAATCACGATTAAATCACCATTTAAACACCATTAAATCACCATTAAATCACCATTAAATCACAATTAGATCACGATCAAATCACCATTAAATCACCATTAAATCACCATTAAATCACCATTAAATCACCATTAAATCACCATTAAATCACCATTAAACACCATTAAATCACTATTAAATCACGATTAAATCACCATTAAATCACCATTAAATCACGATTAAATCACCATTAAATCACCATTAAATCACCATTAAATCACCATTAAATCATCATTAAATCACCATTAAATCACCAGTAAATCACCACTAAATGACCATTAAATCACCATTAAATCACCATTAAATCACTATTAAATCACGATTAAATCACCATTAAATCACGATTAAATCACCATTAAATCACCATTAAATCACCATTAAATCACCATTAAATCACCATTAAATCACCATTAAATCACCATTAAATCACCATTTAAACACCATTAAATCACCATTAAATCACCATTAAATCACGATTAAACCACCATTAAACCACCATTAAATCACCATTAAATCACCATTAAACACCATTTAAACACCATTAAATCACCATTAAATCACCATTAAATCACCATTAAATCACGATTAAATCACCATTAAATCACCATTAAATCACCATTAAATCACCATTAAATCACCATTAAATCACCATTAAATCACCATTAAATCACCATTAAATCACCATTAAATCACCATTAAATCCCAATAAATCACCATTAAATCCCAATAAATCACCATAAATCACCATTAAATCACCATTAAATCACCATTAAATCACCATTAAATCACCATTCAATCACCATTAAACCACCATTAAACCACCATTAACCACCATTAACCCACCATAACACACCATTAAATCACCATTAATCCACCATTTAATCACCATTACATCACCATTAACCACCATTAAACCACCATCAAACACCATTAATCACCATTAAAATCACCATAAAATCACCATTAAATCACCATTAAATCACCATTAAAATCACCATTAAATCACCATTAAATCACCATTAGAATCACCATTAAAATCACCATAAAATCACCATTAAATCACCATTAAATCACCATTAAATCACCATTAAATCACCATTAAAATCACCATTAAAATCACCATAAAATCACCATTAAATCACCATTTAAATCACCATTAAAATCACCATAAAATCACCATAAAATCACCATTAAAATCACCATTAAAATCACCATTAAAATCACCATTAAAATCACCATTAAAATCACCATTAAATCACCATTAAATCACCATTAAATCACCATTAAATCACCATTAAATCACCATTAAATCACCATTAAATCACCATTAAATCACCATTAAAATCACCATTAAAATCACCATTAAAATCACCATTAAAATCACCATTAAAATCACCATTAAAACACCATTAAATCACCATTAAATCACCATTAAATCACCATTAAATCACCATTAAATCACCATTAAATCACCATTAAATCACCATTAAATCACCATTAAATCACCATTAAATTCACCATTAAATTCACCATTAAATCACCATTAAATCACCAATAAATCACCATTAAATCACCATTAAATCACCATTAAATCACCATTAAATCACCATTAAATCACCATTAAATCACCATTAAATCACCATTAAATCACCATTAAACCACCATTAAATCACTATTAAACCACCATTAAATCACCATTAAATCGCCACTAAATCGCCATTAAACCACCATTAAATCGTCATTAAATCGCCATTAAATCGTCCTATAAACCACCATTAAATCACCATTAAATCACCATTAAACCACCATTAAATCACCATTAAATCACCATTAAATCACCATTAAATCACCATTAAATCACCATTAAACCACCATTAAACCACCATTAAATCACCATTAAATCACCATTAAATCACCATTAAATCACCATTAAATCACCATTAAACCACCATTAAATCACCATTAAATCACCATTAAACCACCATTAAATCACCATTAAACCATCATTAAACCACCATTAAACCACCATTAAATCACCATTAAATCACCATTAAATCACCATTAAATCACCATTAAATCACCATTAAATCACCATTAAATCACCATTAAATCACCATTAAACCACCATTAAATCACTATTAAACCACCATTAAACCACCATTAAATCACCATTAAATCGCCATTAAACCACCATTAAATCGTCATTAAATCGCCATTAAACCACCATTAAATCATCATTAAATCACCAGTAAATCACCATTAAATCACCATTAAATCACCATTAAACCACCATTAAATCACCATTAAATCACCATTAAATCACCATTAAAGCACCATTAAACCACCATTAAACCACCATTAAACCACCATTAAATCGCCATTAAACCACCATTAAATCAAAATTAAATCACCATTAAACCACCATTAAATCGCCATTAAATCACCATTAAACCACCATTAAATCACCATTAAATCACCATTAAATCACCATTAAATCACCATTAAATCACCATTAAATCACCATTAAATCACCATTAAATCACCATTAAATCACCATTAAATCACCATTAAACTACATTAAATCACCATTAAATCACCATTAAACCACCATTAAATCACCATTAAATCACGATTAAATCACCATTAAATCACCATTAAACCACTATTAAATCACCATTAAATCACCATTAAATCACCATTAAATCACAATTAAACCACCATTAAATCACTATTAAACCACCATTAAACCACCATTAAATCACCATTAAATCACCATTAAATCGCCATTAAACCACCATTAAACCACCATTAAATCACCATTAAACCACCATTAAACCACTATTAAATCACCATTAAATCACCATTAAATCACCATTAAATCACCATTAAATCACCATTAAATCACCATTAAATCACCATTAAATCACCATTAAATCACCATTAAATCACCATTAAATCACCATTAAATCACCATTAAATCACCATTACATCACCATTACATCACCATTAAATCACCATTAAATCACCATTAAATCACCATTAAATCACCATTAAATCACCATTAAATCACCATTAAATCACCATTAAATCATCATTAAATCACGATTAAATCACCATTAAACCACCATTAAATCACCATTAAATCACCATTAAACACCATTAAATCACCATTAATCACCATTAATCACCATGAATCACCATTAATCACCATTAATCACCATTAATCACCATTAATCACCATTAATCACCATTAATCACCATTAATCACAATTAATCACCATTAATCACCATTAATCACCATTAATCACCATTAATCACCATTAATCACCATTAAACCACCATTACACCACTATTAAACCACCATTAAATCCCATTCAATCGCCACTTAAATCGCCATTAAACCACCTTAAATCGTCCATTAAATCGCCATTACAACACCATTAAATCACCATTAAATCACCATTAAATCACCATTAAATCACCATTAAATCCCCATAAATCACCATTAAATCACCATTAAATCACCATTAAATCACCATTAAATCACCATTAAATCACCATTAAATCACCATTAAATCACCATTAAATCACCATTAAACCACCATTAAATCACTATTAAACCACCATTAAACCACCATTAAACCACCATTAAATCGCCATTAAATCGCCATTAAACCACCATTAAATCGTCATTAAATCGCCATTAAACCACCATTAAATCACCATTAAATCACCAGTAAATCACCATTAAATCACCATTAAATCACCATTAAACCACCATTAAATCACCATTAAATCACCATTAAATCACCATTAAAGCACCATTAAAGCACCATTAAACCACCATTAAACCACCATTAAATCGCCATTAAACCACCATTAAATCAAAATTAAATCACAATTAAACCACTTAAATCGCCATAAATCACCATTAAACCACCATTAAATCACCATTAAATCACCATTAAAATCACCATTAATTACCATTAATGCACCATTAAATCCCATTAAATCACCATTAAAATCACATTAAATACGCATTAAATCACCATTAAACCACCATTAAATCACCATTAAATCACCATTAAATCACCATTAAACCACCATTAAATCACCATTAAATCACCATTAAATCACCATTAAACCACCATTAAACCACCATTAAATCACTATTAAACCACCATTAAATCACCATTAAATCACCATTAAACCACCATTAGATCGCCATTAAATCACCATTAAATCACCATTAAATCACCATTAAACCACTATTAAATCACCATTAAATCACCATTAAATCACCATTAAACACCATTTAAACACCATTAAATCACCATTAAATCACCATTAAATCACCATTAAATCACCATTAAATCACCATTAAATCACCATTAAACTACATTAAATCACCATTAAATCACCATTAAACCACCATTAAATCACCATTAAATCACCATTAAATCACCATTAAATCACCATTAAACCACTATTAAATCACCATTAAATCACCATTAAATCACCATTAAATCACCATTAAATCACCATTAAATCACCATTAAATCACAATTAAATCACCATTAAACCACCATTAAATCACCATTAAATCACCATTAAATCACCATTAAATCACCATTAAATCACCATTAAATCACCATTAAATCACCATTAAATCATCATTAAATCACGATTAAATCACCATTAAACCACCATTAAATCACCATTAAATCACCATTAAACACCATTAAATCACTATTAAATCACCATTAAATCACCATTAAACCACCATTAACTCACAATTAAATCACCATTAAACACCATTTAAACACCATTAAATCACCATTAAATCACCATTAAATCACGATTAAATCACCATTAAATCACGATTAAATCACCATTAAATCACCATTAAATCACCATTAAATCACCATTAAATCACCATTAAATCACCATTAAATCACCATTAAATCACCATTAAATCACCATTAAATCACCATTAAATCACCATTAAACACCATGAATTATCCCCAAATGACCAAATGACCAGGCAGTGATCATCCCGGAGTGGTTGACCATGTTGGGCTCGGATAGCTTCGCCTATGCTGGGCAACTCCGATGGTCCGGGGTGTGGAAAATCTATCCCATGACGGATCCTAACGGTGCTGCTATGGTGTGCCATGGATCTACCATATTTTACCATCAAAAAAAAATCCAGTCATGTTAGCATTAATCTACCAGCACCAGCCGGATCCGTCATGGGTATGGTTTTATATGGTTTTATATGGTTTCATAGGGAGAATTTTGGGATTATTTTGTGAGATCATAGGATTTTTGCATGGATTTGCCCGATGTTTGGTGTCATCAAACATGGTAGGCCGCTGGGAAATGATGAAACAACATGTTTTTGTTGGGCTTTGTGTATTTTCAGACATGTTGCCACATCTTAAGATATACTTGTAGACAAGAATCCAAGAAACATAAAGAGATATATATATATATGATATATCTTAATATTTTCATATATCTACCACTATCAATGGCAATTGCACAACTGGTACATCCTCACTTTTCCCGGGGTTTCAACGCGCCATGGGTTGCAATGCTTACCATGTCCCTGGAAGGTCAAACCACCTTTTTGTTCATGATGAAGCCTCCGTTTCAGAGGTCAAGGATGGTTAAGACTTAAGACATGTTAAAACATGGTCAAGGCTTGAATTTTTCTGGGATCAATTTGTGTTCGGCTCGGACGATTTTATTTCGCAACCTCACTGAGCACTCGAAATTGAGAATTTGTGATTCATCATCATCATCATCATCATCATCGATTCAGGATGGTTGGAATTGTGGAACAATCCCAAATTCAAAGGCACAGCAACACCTACATGAAGCGATCCTGAAAAATCGATGGAATTCCACCTGAGGATCGGCCGTGCTTTGAGGCATGGGGATCGTTGGGAGTATGCCTCAGCTGTGAATTTTAAGTGTGGCTATTTTGATGATTTTTGATGTAGGGGCGATAGAAGATCACGTAATTTTGAGGATTCTGATCCATTTTTGGGGGGGGCGGAAATTGAATGCCCCTTGTTGCAATTCCCAATTTTGATGCTTAAAATTGGGGTCTCCAACCATAGCTGTTTTGCAAGTGAACCCTGAGCCAAGCATTTCACCCTGAAAAACTTATGTGGATTGGAGTTGACCCAATGGTAGAATGCTGGAACACTTAATGTGTGTTTATGACTTTATAACACATTTACGTTATGAAAGTTATGTATACTACTTGTATGGTGTAATTATAAGATCATATCCCATATTATATAATATGTAAAGACATACACACGTTTTTTTCCACACACATCACACGTATAGTCACGGCGCCAGGGTCATCACAGTCAGTTCGAGATAGACCAAAGTCGCCTTTCACAGCGCTTTCCAGGTTGGGAAAGGCGATGCGTGTCGTGGCATGAAGTGTCTCTGAAAATGGCTTTGAAAACCCGCAAATCCCAATGGTTTATCATCATTTTCCCAGACTCTGAAGGATCTGATGGCAATGGTTTTGGCCATTCGATGGCATCACATTGACAGTGGCTAACTTGGGTAAGCTCTGCAAGCTGCGGGGGTGCATTTGATTGCTGCCCAGCCCCGTTTCCAGAGGATTGCACCCAGATCGACAAACAGATCAGACATTAGAGAAGATCATAGTCTGTTTTTTGATGCTTTTTTTTTTGAAAAAAAACTGCTGGCGTGGAATTTGAAGTTGTCAACTTCCCCTGACTCGAAGGATCCTCAGATAACTCAAACCTTCACAGCATCGATTCGTTCCGCCGAGGGGTCGTGCGTCTCTTGCGTGTCCTGAAGTTGAGGCACGGCCGCACGGGACTGGTCTCAACTGGGAAATTATCCGAACGAAACGATGGGAAAATCATGGGAAAATATAGGAACATAATATGGGAAAATACACTAAGACTACAAATTAAATCGATTAAATAGAGGTGTATAACTCGGGAAATCATCGAACTTCAATGGGGAATTGACATGGAGCTGATTACCAGAGGGTAAGTGAGTGTGGAAAGTGGGTTTACTCAAAAGAAATGCATCCCCGAAATCAGATGATGGTGGAAACAAAAGTAATTTCCTGAGATTGGTTAAACATGGTTAAACCATCAGTTAGTGTTTTATCTAAAAGTTAATATAAGTTTACTGGTTGGTGGTTTGGAACATGTTTTATGTTCCCATATATTGGAAATAATCATCCCAACTGACTATTATTTTTCAGAGGGGTTGAAACCACCAACCAGGTTTAAGTGTTTAACTACTGGGAACCGGGGAAAAAGCCCTAAACTATCTCAACGTCCTACAGTAGCTCTGGGGGTTCAAGCAGTATCCAATGAGCCATGGGTCCTTCTGGGTCCTGCTTGTGCGTTCCAGTAGAGATGATCCTTCGTTGGCCAATATGGTTTTCATATGTTTCATACCGGGGCTGAAACATAATGGTGTATATACCTGTATATATCTAGGTTAGCCGTTTGGACATTTTTTATTTTTTTGCGTTTTGGGTGGCTGGAGAATTAAAAAGCTTGCTTCCTCATTCGCTTGGCCGGCGTCCTTCAAGCTCAAGACACAGGAAGAAACACACAGCACAGCAGTGCAGTAATGTGTCACGAATTACATTCTAAGCCCTGCATTCCTGTGAGCAGCTTCCCAAATTGAGGCGCGCCTCCGTCGTGTGCAAAGGAGGGGTAAACAAACCTTTTGGTTGCAGATGTCAACCCTTCCCTGCCATAATTCTTAGTTTTGGATAGGGAAGGGTGGATTCCATTCGTCGAAGGGTTTCTAGTCTACTATCATTAGTTGACTTGCGGGCCACGTCCCCTGTCAGGTGTTTTGGCATCTGCTGCGGCTGCTGTAGCTGTTGCGGCTGCTGATTTTGCGGCTCTTGCGGCTCTGAAGGGCGCTGCGGCTTTTGCGGCTCTTGCGCCTCCTTCCGCGGCGTTGCTCTGGCCTGCTGCTCTCATTCAGGTGCTGTTGGGGGTGAGCAGCTTTGTCCCTAGTTGCCTCCATCTAGATAATCTACTACTAGGTATGGTTTCATGAGAGCCACTCAAAGCCAGATCCATCCATTAGAGTCCCCGAACCTTTTTGCCACCGACAGCCCGCTTGTGCAGGTAGCCAGCACGCTCTCCAGAGGTGCTTAGGGCCGTTGATGGATTCTCTCAGTTCTAATTTTCTGTGTTAATGACTGCTTCCCTGAGCTTGGTATAATGAAGTAATAGTAAGGAAGTGCATGATGATGATTCGATGCTGATGATGATGATGATGGTGATTGTGCTAATTTTCATTCATATTCTGTGTCTTGTAAAAAAACTATTATATATTATTATATTATTTTATTTAAAATATCATATATGACTACTGACTACAATAACCAATAAATGCACAAATTAATCACAAATTAATGTCTTTTACAACTTGTGTATATATTATATATAATATCTTTAGAGGGAGGTACATATGCAATATATGGACTGACTATTCCTGGCTGGTGTGGTGAAAAACTTATTACAGCTGCTGTTGGCAGAACTAACCGGACCTGTATCACAATGCAATCAGAAGTTCGCGGCATGGACATATACTTTTTAAAATGGCGAGCCATCCCCCCATTCATCTACCCTGTTGGTTCCCGGCCCATCTTGGCATCCTTGTGTTTCGGCAGGTGGTTGCTTCTGGCACTTGCGGCAGCGCCTCTTGCAGCACAGGCTCGCCCCATGTGAGCCGGTGTGGCTGATAGTTTCCATGCTGGTGTTTTGGGGATAAGAAATTTGGAAGACAGCATCATCTTTCATCTGCCAAGATCCTCTGGGGAGATTTTCACATACCTCCAGCAGTGCAGCCCACCGGCTCAGCGTCTCCATCGGCTTTGCGGCTTTTTGTTGGCTGAATCGCTTCAATGGCTGCAGCATTTCGCGGTCTTTTCAGCGGAGGAAGGCAATCTGCCAACCGTGCTGACGTTGCGAATGAAGACGGGCCGGCACCAGGAGATGTGGTTGTGACTGGTGTTCCTGTGGATTCCGAAGTGGCACAGTCTGAAGCGGTTTCTTCGGCTTCAGCGGCTGCAGCGTCTGTGGATCTCACGGTGATGACGCAGCAGGTGAGAGATCAACGTGCTGAGATTGCAGAGGCTTTGGTGCGCAACATGAGGCAATTCCGCCCCAACATTTGCCTCCTGAGCAATGACCAGATCCTGCGGCACGCCTGTGACATTGCCATGGCTCCAGACTGGATGCAGAACACCTACAACACTGAAGTGGACTTTACCTGGGCCTTTGCTGGCTTCAATGTCCTGCTGAGCTCCTTCTTTCCTGGCGGCACCAAGACCAAGGCGGCTATGGATGAAGTGGCTGCAAGTCCCTAGTACGCAAAAAGGGGGGCAGAAAAAGGATTCAAGGTGAATCTGTTTTTCGTTAGGTTGATTATGGTTATACTACTCGCATATGATCATGCACACATATAATAAGATATTCGTGTAATATAATAAATATATTTGTTTTGCTATTTCAGAGACCATGACTGGGGTCAATTGGCCAGTGCTTCTTAAGCCAACGCGCGAGCTGTGCTCGTCTGAGGTATGAAGTTGCCTGATCCATCGGTGGTGGACGAAGCCAAGAATTTGCTGCAGGTCATGCCAATGCGTCAGAGCGTTCCCCCCCGCTGGCAAGTCGCTGCTTGGCTGGATGGGCATCATGGGTTTGAATTTTGGCTAAGCATTCCAAGTTTGTTGGAACAAAAATGAAACAAAGCTTAAAAGATCTGGGCAATGTAATCCGTGTGTGTGTGTGTGTTGTCCAACCTTTCAATGACCCGCGGCCGCTGAGATTGCATCTTGTGCCCGGGAGATTCTGGACCAGTTTTGCGAAGTTACTCCCGCAGAGCAGGGCACCGTGTACACGGGGAAGATTCTGCTGCTGCCCTTTGTGATGAATGGACAGGCCAGAGGCTATGATCTTCAAGAAGTCGAGGACAGGGTTCTGAACAGCTGCCAAACATGTTGATTTTAAGTTTTCAAGTTTCGAGCACCGTGAATCGTGCGTAAGGGCTGGAACTCATTGGCACAGCCAAAGCTATCCAGAACAAATAGTAGGAAGTTGCCTCTAAACTTAATAATAAAGAAAAACACCCAGCATCAATCATCGCTACTTTTTTCGTTTTCACTGGATGTTTTGTTTTGCCATCTTGCAGGCAGACGGCTGGGCTGGGTGGGCCCTCCCGTTCAACAGAGACGATGGCAAACTCATGCACATCACAATCTACGCCAGGGATTGCTTGCATTTTGTCAAGGCTTTCCTGAACAAGTCTGGCTTGGGAGTCGGACGGTCTGAGCCTCGCAGCTTGCTTGCTCTTCAAGGGGATGAGGATGAGACGGTCGCCTTGGAGGCTCGCAACAAGATGCTCCTGAAGAACAGCTTTTTCCATGCCGCCTTCGAGCCGCATCGTCAGGAGATGCACAGGGCTGGATTGCTCTTCTCAGCTGACAACGACAAGACCGTCCGCAACGAAATGCTCTGCATCCTTTCCACTTTGGAGCCTGGCTTTTCGCAGCTTGTGGACGGCGGGGTCGCAATGACCAACTCGTCAATTTGGGTCACATCCAGCGGCTTCTTTTACGTGTTGCGTTTTGCACCCATCCAGACGGCCAACAAGAAATTCGTGACCCCGCTGTTCACATTGAAGGCTGGGGTGACATGATTCAATGTTTGGGCGCGACCAGAAGGACAATAGCCATCATCATTCATAATTTTATAGGCAACAACACTAATAATTATTAATAATAATAGTTAAAATAATGACAATAATGGCGCAAAAAACAATTTCAATTACTTTACTTCGTGTGATCCCCACCATGACATTTATACATTTTCTTACTGGCAAATCTTCTGGCATTCTATCTGACATATCTTCTGACATTCTATTTGGCATTCTATCTGGCATATCTTCTGGCATATGATCTGGCATATCTTCTGGCATATCTTCTGGCATTCTATCTGGCAATTCTTCTGGCATTCTTTCTGGCATATCTTCTGGCATTCTATCTGACATATCTTCTGGCATTCTATCTGGCATATCTTCTGGCATATATTCTGACATATCTTCTGGCATTCTATCTGACATATCTTCTGGCATATATTCTGACATATCTTCTGGCATATCTTCTGGCATATCTTCTGGCATATCTTCTGACATATCTACCTGGCATATCTTCTGGCATATTTTCTGGCATTCTATCTGGCAAATCTTCTGGCATTCTATCTGGCATTCTATCTGGCATATCTTCTGGCATATTATCTGGCATTCTATCTGGCATATCTTCTGGCATATCTTCTGGCATATCTTTGACATTCTTTCTGACATTCTTTCTAACTTTCTTCTGCACATTCTTTGTCCCATATCTTCCTACATGAGGTCCGGCAGGGAACACTTGGCGTGGATACTCGCGGTTGAGGTCCGGCAGGGAACACTGGGCGTGGATGGTCGTGGTTGAGGTCCGGCAGGGAACACTGGGGGAGGATGGTCGTGGTTGAGGTCCGGCAGGGAACATTGGGCGTGGATGGTCGTGGTTGAGGTCCGGCAGGGAACACTGGGCGTGGATGGTCGTGGTTGAGGTCCGGCAGAGAACACTGTGGATCGCGGGTCGCAGTTGAGCAAGGACGACGAGGACGACGAGGACGACGAGGACGACGAGGAGGACGAGGAGGACGAGGCAGGAGGAGGCGGAGGAGGAGAAGGAGGAGGAGAAGGAGGAGAAGGAGGAGGAGGAGGAGGCAACTGACATAAAATCTAACAACCCTCACCTGGCAGGTGGGGAATCAAGGTTCAAAATTGAATATGAAGATCTCAGGGCTCGCCTCATTTTTTCCATTTTTCAGGCTGAGATTGTGAAGGGGGACTTCGTCAACGATGACTTCATGGTCCGACAGAAAAGGGAAGTGGACGTGATGTTCGCCGGGGGTGGAGCAGATGATTTTGGATTGGTGTGGGATGGCTACCAGGTGGATTCTTGGTTTGTTTTGGGCCAGGGCTTGCAGAATGCGCCCACGCTTTTCTATTCTGTGCGTATCTGGAAGGCAGTTTTTTTGGGATGTTCAAATTCTTTTCATGGTTGCACAGTGGACTAAAACAAGCTTCAATGGAAGATCGATTTCATTTTTTGACAACAGATTGGTCTGGTTTTGATGGTGTTGCGTTTCAGGAACGGGCTATCGCAGTGAAGAAGAGCGGCACCTGCCACGTGGTGGCCTTGCAGCTTATCCGCCGCTTGGATGCTGTTGGCGCGCCCTACAGCATCTGCGTTGCTCGATGCCAGAGGGCTCCGGGAGGCCTCCACTTGGGATTGCTGCAAGGAGGAGCCCAGCAGTATTGCGCGGACACGATGCGGCAGACCGGAGATGCCAAGCAGAGCCGCGCTGCAGCACAGAAGGGCAGCGGCAAAAAAGGCTGGGGCAACAACAGCGGCTGGAGCGGCAACAGCGGCTGGAGCGGCAACAGCGGCTGGAGCGGCTGGGGCGGCTCTGGCAGCAAGGGCGGCTCTGGCGGCTGGGGCAAGCCAAGCGGGCAGGGCACTGGCTGGGGAGCACGGTTAACCACGACCTTTCAAGGGCCGGCCCAGGGATGGCAACTCAAGCGCCTCCTCAAGCAGCCTCTCAAGCGGCTCCTCAAGCGGCTCCTCAGGCTTCTGCGGCTCCTGAGGCAGATCCATGGGCCGGATGGGAGACCAATGACGATGGGGGCAATGATGGGGACGGCAACGATGGCGGGGACAGCGGCTTTGCGGATCCATCTGATGCCTGGCAGACACATCAATGATCTGCTGGCAGACGAGCTGCATGAGGCAGCATTTTGAACAGACTTCTTCCATGGCAAGCGCGTGGAAAAGAGATGGGTTGTCTGCCTCCCAATGTTTCCCATTCAACACCGCCAAAAGGGATCAAGACGCATTTCCTTGCTTCCAAGCCCAAAAGTAAACATTCAAATTATGATAACTACATCATTCTTAGCGCCAAGAGCACAGGGAATTTTATATTCTACTACTACGTTGCACAGCAGCTGCAGTTGGTTTGGTTTAGCCGCTTCTTCTGTCAATGCAATGTGCCTTGTTTTGCATGTTTCGTTGCTGGTCAGGTGTGGCCCTACTGCAGCTCTGCAGCTGCGCCTCCTCCGTTGCAGGCATGCACAGCCAGGAGGCTTCTGTTGGGAAGAAGCATATAACAATAATTAATCTTATTTCATGTTGTTGACATTTTTTCAGAGACTTTGCGTTGGATTGCTGCTCAGAGGCTCAGAGGCGATTTGGCAAAGATGTTTGTAGGTTTGTAGGCTTGAAACTATCATTGACATTCTACATTGGGGAGTAGGCAGTGTAGGAAATGAATAAATTTCAAGTTAAAGCAAATCATTGTGAACTCCTGCTGTTTTCATGCCGCCACCAAACCTCGGAAAGCGATGGGGTTTCCCCCCTGCAGCATCTGACATTGGACCATCTGAGGCTGCAGCTTTGCTGGTTTGCTATGGCCTGGGGAAGGTGGTTGCGGAGAAATCTGCTGTGGAGACGCCGGACAGGAAAAACTGGAATCCAGAATCCTTCCTTTGGTTCAGTGCTGCAGCGAGAACCCGAGCTCTTTCGTTAGAGGTTTCTGGCGATGTTGCCAGGACAGAATTCACAATGTCAAAAGACTTTGTTGAGACCTTGTCACGTAGAGTACAACGTTTAAAGTTTCAAAGGTTTGAAGCAAAAGATCCCATCCATATATTGCAGATTCAGATGTGTGCCAGGTGTGGGCTGGTAGCTTCAGCATTCAAGATATGTGCTGAAGCTCGTGGTTCGGCTTCACACTTTAGGCAAACCAGCGACTGGCTGCAAGCATACCAGCAAGAAGGTGCCTGTAAAGAAGGTGGTGACATGGAAGGACTTCTGTTCTTTTGTGCGATCAATTCGCATGCTTCGCCGCTCAAGGGGTGTGTCAGGTATGTTCTTGACGAAGGTTGGATGACAGTGAAGAGCACTGTCATGCTCCGGCCTCAACTTGGGGGTTCTGAATCTTAGCAAAAAAGCTCCCCCTTGCAATACGCCCTTGGTTCTTAAGAACCAGCTGCGTATTATAAAGGGGATTGCCCTTCACATTACGCATCACCTCAGTTTCTGAATTCCTAAAGTTAGCATGCTTCTCAATACGCTCCCGGTTCTTAAGAACCAGGCCCGTAATCAAGAGGGATTTCCACCATGTAATACGCTCCTATTGCATATGTTGCCCCTGTGCAATACGCCCCTGGCTCGCGAGAACCAATTGGGCTGATGTTTGTGGTTGCCACCAAAGGTCAAGCCATGGAATTGAAAGGTGTAAAAACTCATTTTTCAAGCTTTTGTCATCGAAAGCTCAGAGGACTATACATTGAAAGGTAAAATGGGCCAATACGAGCCTCCAAGGCTGCACAGCTGACATTGAAGGGTTGCTTCCTGCGCCAGGCCATGGCGCCAACGCCTGTTGACCCTGCTGCTGCCGTCAAGCTTTGGCTAAAGGTTGCAAACTCTGGGGAAGCTAGCGACAAGTGGGGCCGTGTCCAGCGAGCTTCTTGGATGGTTTCTTGGCTTTGGATAGGGAGGTTGAAACGCAATCTGTTTGAGAAGCTGTTTCGCTGGATCCTGCAATCTTTTTGCGCTGAGGCTGCTCGGAGCTGCGTTAAGGGAAAGGATGCCAACTTGCTGTCATTGGTGCAATTTCTTTTCAGGGATTTTGACCTGGCTGTAGTTCCTGTTGCCACTGGCCTGCATTGCATCGAGCCCTGACTGCCAGAAAGTTATAGTAGTTTTGTGCTTGGCCTCGGATCCAAGGCAGCCCTGGCTGCCTACATGACTTATCGAGCCGGTTGTCGAATTCCACCCCTAGGGAAGGACAATTCCAGATGTCATCATGTTCTATCATTTCTATTATTTGCATAGGTCTATGATATTTTACTGATACTGATTGACAAAGCATAAGATTTTGTCATGGCACCACCTTTCAATGTCCCTGTGGGACCTTTCCCTTGCCATGTAGAAGCAAGTTGGGCATAGAAGGGTTGCTCGCAGTCAACCAAGGGTAGTTCAAGAGGTTATCGTGCTGCAGTTAACTTTCTTGGCTAGCTATTCCTGAAGGGATCCTGAGTGAAGCACCTTGGGAGGATCCTGACAACGTGATGCTGCAGATCTTGCACACCGACAACCCTTTTTTGAGACTGGAAGGGGCCCCTTTTACCTTTCTAGACAGCTGTAGAGGCAGCTTCTTGCATTCATTGATGAAGCACAGAGCCTTGATTGCGTTGATTGCAAGGCTTAGATGCAGAGGTGTAGGCATGCAGGGCATGTGCCCAGGCATGCTTCTCATGAGCGCAAGCAGTTGCAATTTCTTGCTTTGGTCTGGGGGCACTACAAAAGCCATTCCTTTCAGAATGCTTAGATATTTACCCTTTGTGTTTGCTTTTGACTATCAAACCGAACTTGCCCGAGTCTTCCAGTGATGTGTCCATGTGTGTTGCTCATGAGCGTATCCATGGCATCATGTAGCCCTCTTGCATTGTGAGTTGTCTTCTCCTTGAGGAGGTGACAAGGTGACGGACTATTTGGTGAAGATCTTGGCGACGCCACATGTGCAACGACTTGAGAGTCGTGAACAGCTCGGGCTTGTGATCATAGTTACGTACCTTAGGTCCCCTGATTTTGCTCAGTATGTGTTTGAGACATGCTCTCAGCAAAGGATTTCATTGCTCGGTGTGATCCACCAATTCTTCCGAGACACCAATGGCGTAGGACAACGAAAGGCTTACATGCCTTCCAGAGTGATTTCCAAGCATGGCAAGAAGTTGCGACCAAACCGTGATCTGGGGCAGTTGCGCCTCGCAGGGGCATTGAGTCTCTGTGGGCAATTTTTGGATGGCACGCTAGATGCCATTTTTGTGAATGACAGCAAGAAATCATGGCTTGTGGATCCAGATTTGCTTCTTGTCAAGGAGCGTACTTTGTGGTTACCATCTATCCCAATTTTGGCAATGCGAAAAAAGCATGTCTCCAGTATATGCATGGGCATTTGATTTTCAAATTGGCCCTGTGGCAAGGTTGGATATGATTCAGTGTGATGCATCGAAACTTATGGGTACGCATTTCCTACAGACTTTAGAAGCCCTGGGACGTCTGGCGCGAGCCAGCCAGGAATGCAGCTCGCACTGGAATCACGGCTAAAAGAATTGAGAAGCATCAGAGACATTGTTTTCAAAGCACTTCATACAATGTCTCGTCAATCTTGTCAGGAACGGTAATTATAGCAAACTCTTTGGCCGATGGTGTGGCTCTGCAGCTGACGATGTCTTGGACAAAGTGGTTGAGCATTTGCAATCTTGGCCGAACCAGCACTGTCTGAAGATGCTGAACCTCCAGGCCGAGCTAACCAGCCACATTTGTGTTGTGAATGCTTGCAAATGCATCCACGTTCTTAAGACGCTCAGCCCCACAGTGACCTGAAGCCCTGTTTTGTTCCCAAGTTGGCATTTTTTCACTTATCACGATGGTCCTGAGGAACTTTGCATTTCACAGTCGCTGCTTCTTGCCTTAAGAAGGACAATGTGGCTGCATGTGTACATGCGCATGGACTCTTCAAAAACCAGTAATACCCGCTGGAAGCCTGAGGCAACTGGAAAGCAAAGGAGGTGCCTACGGTTGCCCCCAGAATCGCGGCTGCTCTTGGTTGAAGCAAGCTAGGTGCTCAGTGAAATTGCAGCTTCAGCTGCAGAATGGATTATGGTTTCTTTATGTTTCTGTGCACGCGAACTTGTCCTTTCGGTTCACTCCTGCAACCTTTCAATGCATGGTTCATCTCCTTCTAGGTTCTGAAAGGTCAGATAGGCTCCTTGAAAGGTTGCTTTTTTCATGTGGACTGTAGCAGAAACAGAGCTGATTTACCAGCATGCAGCATGCTGGAAAAGTCAGACTTTGTATATTTTGTTGCTATCTGATTCAAGCAATGTGCAATTTTCAGGACTTGAGACAAGCAGTTCCTTTGGAGACACAAAAGCCCCTTCCAGAAGCTCCAAGCGGCCAGGCCACATGTAATGGATTATTTCCGTGGCTCGAACATGACGGCTTCGCTTGCTGGTGCTGGTGCTGGTGCTGGTGCTGCTGGTGGGGTGGTGGTGGTGGTGGTGGTGCCGCTGCTCCTGTTTGTTTGTTCTGGTTCTTGTGCTTGCTCATGATCTTGCAGTTCTTCAGAGTAAAAACAAAGGTGTGAGGTTGCTGAGGATTCTGATGTCGATGATCATGTTGATGCTTTTAATGCTGATGCCGCTGCTGATAACGAGGTTATTTGCTGATGGTGGTATGGTTGCTATTATTGCGCTCTCTCTCTCTCTCTCTCCCTCCCTCCCTCCCTCCTCGTTCTTTTTCCGATCATGATGAAGATGCGGATGTGAGGAGCGCAGTCTTGCGCAAGGGATGTGCTTCCATGGTAAAATACGGGCTCAGTAACGTTGCTGATTTCCGAAGCCATCAAGAACATATTCTTCGCACATACAGCTTTCAATTGCATCACCTGAAACTTGCAAGGAAGAGGCGGTGCTCGCTCAGCCACAGTCAGAGGAAATGCACTTGGTCTACTCAGGGGGATGCATTGCGCGCGCTGGCCGCATGCGAAGGATCCCTTTGGGTGCTCGCAAAATCGAAACAGCGGCAGTTCGCTTCCCAACACAACGGGTGCGGGTGAAGACATCCAAGCGTGAAAATTTCACGTCCTGTGGAGAAGCCACGACTTTTCAAGGCAGCTATAGTGGAGTGGAGTTTCGGTCCTCCTATGAACTTCCCCTGATGTCATTGACTGAAAAAGCACAGGTCCTCGGCTCTGCGGCTTCTGCGGCTCCTCCGGAGGACTGGACAGATCGCTTTGGGGACAATGCAGTGCCACTCTTTTGGCAAGAGTCCAAGCCCATCAGCTTTTTCAATGCAATCCTTGACGAGTACAAGGTGACCGCAGTTTTCGATGTGACAGCCGGCTCCGGCGCATTCATGGAAGCCAGCCTCACCAGAGGCGTTGTCTACCACGGCCTGTGCTTGAACAAGGAACACCAGCACTGGCTCCAGGCCATTGCGGACAGAGCCGCCTGCGGGCTAATTACCTTGGAGGGATCAACTCTTTTCAATGAAGCTTTGGCAGGAGACGTGAAGAAGTTTTTCCCAGATGTCCTGGAAAACTTGGCTCCCAAGGACAACCCTGAAGAAGCCCCAATGGAACCAGACAGCCCCGGTGAGTGAGCCGCTTTTGAGGTTACACGGCTCAGCGGCACTCAGCGGCTCACAGGCCTTACATTTGCAGAGAGCCGATTTTGCTTTGAGCCAGTTTGTTGAGATAGGTTTTGGACATGTCAATGGTGATGGCGCTTGCACAAAATGTCAGCCAGGTATAGCCAAGTAATTCACTTTGTTGGGACTGCTGTGCTACCAGTGAAAGCATCTCAGCATTCCATGTGCCAACACTTGCTCATTGTTTCCGAGCCCATGGCAACGAGCTTCATGCTGAGGCTTAACCTGCATTGCCAACTTTGCATCACCTTTGCGTGTCAATGGAGCATTTTGAGGTGCTTCTTTGTGAAGACCACATTAATTATTACTAAAATAATATTAGTATTAAACCACCCTTCGGTGGCATGCTACCATCTTTCCTAGTCATTTGATGCCACGATTGCACAATGAAAGGTTAGCTAAAGACGTTGAAGGGTTTGAGTGTGGCCCCTGTGCAGGCACTGGTGCATCATTGGCTGCGTCTCCCACAGCTACTAGTGGTACTGCTGCTGTGGCTCCTGCGGCTCCTGCGGCTGCTGTGGCTCCTGCGGCTCCTGCGGCTGTGGCTGCTGAAGGGGTGAGTGAGCGAAGAGTTTGGCAAATTCATTAGACAGCATGCAGCAAGAGATTCCACAAACTTCAAAAAAATATCCTTGCTCACAGATTTTTCCTTTTGAATGTTTGGTGACAAGCATGATCACCCAAAGTAGTAGGCAAGAGGATCATGACGACGTTAAAAGGTTGACACGCGGAGATCCGGAATCAAGATGAGGCATGATTGTTTTTCATTATTATGTTGATCTTCAATAGTGTCCAGTGTTTTTGATTTTATGACATCGCCTCAATTCGCCTCACATATCTTGATTCGGAAGCCACACTCGTGTCTAGCTAATCCAAGCAGTCCTTGATGCAAACTCCTTGCTCTGAGCAGAAGCTTTCCTGAAGCGTGCACCTTGCAGAGTTTTTAGATTGCTATTTTACCGAAGTCGTATGATTTTCAGCCCCGCGAACGCATGCTGTTGATGCAAAGCTTGGATTTTGTCCCGTCAAAGCCTAGAAATTGATGCGCTCATCTAGAAAGAGCATGAGCGTGTAAGGCACGGTGTCAGGTGAGCAAAACTGATAGGGTTAAAGAAAGTAGTCTGTTAGCACTTAAATGCTGATCATCATCAGTTTGCTCCCTTGGACTTGCTCCTGCACATTCTCACTAGTAGCTGATAACCTTGGATCCTGCTACTGGGCAAGTTCTCAGCACAAAAACTGACTGCTGCACGGAGCCTTAGTTGTGCGTCATTGATGCTGGGACATGTCCACTAATCTGGGATTAAGATGAAATTGTGATGAGGTGTCGACAACTTCCATGAAACATTACAAATTTTAGCCAGATCCCTTAATATTTTTCGGAACCACTGAAATGCTAACCCAGATATATATATATATATATATACACACCGTATAATATATATATTATATATATATATATTATATATATACTGTATAATATATATACATACTGTATATAATATACATACATGTGTATGTGTATATATATATATATATCCATATATATATATATAGATATATATGTACATGTACGTATATTATTGGTATATAGGGAATAACGCTCTCTGGTGGGTTTCAGTTGAATGTTTGGTTTTCGCAAAAATATGGGGAATGGGTGAGGAATATCCACCGATAAGGTAGATAACAGTAATTAAAGAGTCAAAAACCCTCCGGTAATTTAACATAGCTGTGGAAAATCTAGCATTTATAGAGGATTTACTTTTTTTGAATCGGAGATCTTCAATAGTTAATGTAAAACAATGCAATAAACAATTCCCCAATCATCACCATTTTGTAGAAGTGGTATGGTTACCATTCCCAAATGGGTGGTTGATTGATTTACCCACATGATTTTGTTCTGTCTAGCCATATATACCTTATAAACATCATATAACCCCCATTTTTAAGTGATGGCTTCACCCCAACAAGAATGGCCACCTTTTGACATAAGGTAAGAATGGCCACCATCCCCCAGTCATGGCTGGTAAAAATGACATTTGTTTTACAGAGAATCAGCCTTATGGCAGTTTAGTTCGCTGGGAAAATCAACTATCAATGGATATCAATGGTGGATTTTCCAGCCATGGAGCTGATTACTTTCTGACTCTTTCAGTCACGGTCCCCGTAGGAATACGTTGCCTGACATTTTTCGGGCGGCTGAACGAGAAACCTGATCTGTTTGCCGTTCCAGGTCACTATGGAAGCCGAATACTAAATGTATTGTCATTGCGAAGACGGAAATCCCGCTCCCAATCCCCGGAATTGATTCTAGAAATGAAGCAAAACACAAACAACTACAGGGTAAATGACAGGGTTTCCTCTAGTTATTTCTCTAAAATCAAGCCATTAATTGTATTTAATTGTCATATATGTGCTGGTAAATCAGTACATGTTTCTCTATGTTTCTCTGAGATTACTCCTCTCTTAAATCCATCATGTTGACAGTTAACCAAGTTAACCCACTGCTTTAAATTTGGAAGAGGTCGACCTCTAATTTGGCTGTGGTCAACGACAGGCGCATCATCGACGCTTGCTTGGAGTACATCGAGAGTGAGCCTCTCGGAGAAAAGAAAAATCACGGACAGCGCCTGAAATGGTTTGTTCTATTTAAACATATTTATCCACTTCTATAAACACATATATATATATGTATATACATATACACAGATATACATACATATACATACATATACATACATATACATACATATAATACATATACATAAGTTATACATTCATATACATACATATACATACATATACATACATATACATACATATACATACATATACATACATATACATACATATACATACATATACATACATATACATACATATACATACATATACATACATATACATACATATACATACATATACATACATATACATACATATACATACATATACATACATATACATACACATACATACACATACATACATACATACATACATACATACATATATATATAACTATATCCATATACATGAATATACATGTATATACATGTATATACCTGTATATACATTTATAAGTTTATACATTTATACCGTTATACCTTTATCCACATTTGCATGTACATGTATATGTATACATGATTTGCATGTATGTATATATACAATATTAATATGTATATATATATATATACATATATACAGTATATATACATGATAACTGTCTACGTATATAGTAAGTGCATATTTACACATGCATGCACATGCTTGCATCCATACATACATACATCCATACATTCATACATTCATACCTTCATACATTCATACATCTATTTACGCATTCATGCATGCATACATGCATATATATAGACTATATAGATGCAGATTGGAGTGAATATAGAAATCGCATCGTCAGGATTTTGTTCAAAAGCAAAGACTTTCATGAAGCCGTGAGGCCAGATTGGATCATTGCCCTGCGGCATCCCAGGTTTACATTCCTGGTGATCTCTCTCTTGCGTTTGTTGCAGCCTGGCAACCGCTTCCCAGTTTTGGGCTTCGCAAAAACTGGGCCTTAAAATGGGCCATATGGTAAATTTACAGGGAAAATGGTGATACATCAAAATTGGGGGTATCCATGGGTCTCCTAGAGACAGGCCCATTTTCCAAGGCGAAACTGTAGGAAACATGGTGTGCATCTGTGAGTCAACATCTTCAGAACGTGAACTCGTGGAAAGATGCAAAACATACGCGGGACGACGCTGGTTTTCTTTTTGTAGTGGATTGCCATATGTATGGATATCAATATATATATATATCCATATATATATAATATATCCATATTATCCATATTATTGTACAGTATCCATATATATATATGTAATTATATCCATATTCTTTTTGTTTGACCCTTTTTTTTGAGTCAAGGATTGCCACCATCCCTGTTGAAAATGTTGGAATCGTTCGTTCAGGGATCCCTTTTGGGGAACTTCACTGAAATGCGGCTCCGCTGAATCACCGGACTTTTTTAGAAAGCCTCTGGTACCATGGTTTTTTCACCATGGTTTTTACCATGGTTTACCCTCTGGTAAACTAACGTAACTATGGAAAAACACCATTTTTAATGGGAAAATCCACTATTAATGGTTTATATGAATTTATATGATAGATCTGATAGATTTTGACACATGTTGCCATGTTGCCATGAAACCATCACCGAATGGTAGAGGTTGACCTGAGGTTCTTCATTGTTCTGCTGAACCATGTGATCGCCTGCCTGTTCCTTGCCGTAGAATGGGGATGGGGAGGTGTCCCATTTATATCATCGTTCAGTTAAGTCTAAGTGGACGAATGAGACTAATGTCAAAGCAGTATAATCCGTATAAGTAAACGTTTAAACCCCTGGGCGGTTTCATTGGGGTACAGTTAGCCAAGAAAACGGTATCACTGAATTTTTGGGGCTGTCCGCAACTGGTCAGGGTGTGGGTATGTGTTTTCCGGTTGCGTTTGGCACTGAGAAAGTTCATAGCAGTGATTGTGGCATCAAACGAAACCACGCATCATGTACGGATCAACTTTGCGCATCTGATGTTTGTGGATATGAAAATGGTTTGATGCAGTTGTATCTTTGTGCATATTTACAACACATTCATACACTTTTATGATTTGTGGACAAGTATGAAATGGATACTCGGAATAGAGAGCAAACGGCTGACCAGATAATGTACGGTAGATTTGGAGGGCAATGTGAGATTGAGAGGCTTGTAATAGGAATACTATGGCTTGTTTGTGGTTTCAAACATTTTTTATTTTCCAGAAAAAAATGGGATAATCCTTCCCATTGACTTTCATATAGATGGTTAAAACCACCAACCAGTATGGTGCTGTTTTGCAACACCCCCAGCCGGCAGATGTGAAAGTTGGAACGGAAGCCCGGAAGCTCTGACCAAAATATCATCAAAAAGAAGGGAAACACCAGTCATTCTTCGGAGACCCGCCATTTACACATCGAAACACTTGGTAGTTTGACACCCCAATTTACAGGTGGCCTTGAAAATAGGCAACCCCAAAATTTGACAATCAGAACATGTTGAAAACCTCATTTTCACCGTTCAAATTGTTATTTTGAGGCTGGTTAAATCTCTCATGTTTAGGCAGTTTTACTCAAATAAACTGAGTCAGGGAATCTAGATATAGATATCTATAATTTTGTGTATACTTCAAACAACATCAAAAGTTGTTGGAGGTTTCTTGTGCTTCGGCGCAGGTGGTATCTCATTGGCAAGGAGTCCTTGGCTGGAGAAATCGTGAACTGGAGTCATGGAAGCGTTTAGGTCCAGGTGGTGCTCCGAGATTTCAGAAGAGGCTTCCCCAGTAACCATACGCGCAAACACCCCGATTCGCCCACACCCCTTCTATGCTGTACACTTGGGGATATCAAACGTTAGACTTTACATTCAATTGGGAAGATCAACCAGGGTATTTAGGGAATGTAAATTTCAGACCCCGGTTAAACTTCTACATTCATTGAAGATCTTCAATAAGGGTTTAATTCTCCCACCCCCGTTAAACTTCTACATTCATTGAAGATCTTCAATAAGGGTTTAATTCTCCCACCCCCGTTAAACTTCTACATTCATTGAAGATCTTCAATAAGGGTTTAATTCTCCCACCCCCGTTAAACTTCTGCATTCATTGAAGATCTTAAATATGGGTTTAATTCTCCCACCCCCGTTAAACTTCTACATTCATTGAAGATCTTCAATAAGGGTCTGATGATGATGATGATGATGATGATGATGATGATGTGTAAGAGACTCGCACAGGTCCCTATGCTGTGCGTGCCGATATACAACATTAAGTTAGCCATGATGCAAACAACTCCCATTTTTACCACGTTTTCAGCACATACGAAGATGGCCGCCGACAAGCGCGGGCAAATCGAGGTGTTTGCCCGTAACCATACCCATAGGATCCATGGTGCTGGTATATATGCTAACATTGGGGGTATATTGATGGTAAATGTTACCATATATAGCATACATGGATCCTATGGGATAGAAAACTATAGACAACCACGGAAAACTTCCGCAACTGGATGAAAATGATGTTTGAATGTCTTGAGATTGAAAAAGAGGGACAATCTGACCAAAAGCAATCTACAGCCATTGAAGCTGTTAGTCATCCGTGGTCTCCAACTTTAAGGGTGAAGCTTGTCGTCCAAGGATTGAGGTTGGCGGCTATGAAGCAGAGGTGAAGAGACCATTTTTGGCAGTGGCGACTTTGGTGGAACCACCACAAACGTCATAGCCGTCCTTTATATGGAGTCATCAACTGTAATAAATACATTGGTGCACATAGACATATGATGACGTATGTATATAATTTGTAACTATATGTGTATATATATATGTGTATATATATATATGTATATATATATGTATACATATATATCCATATACATATATATATATATGTATGTATACATTATTGTGTGTGTGTTTGTCTTTGTCTTTGCATGCCGATGATCCGATGCTCTGTGTACTTTCACGCACATGGGTATGGGTCATTAAGACCCAGGGGACCACATGTTTTAGTCTATTGTTAACCATCTAATTATTGGGGTAACCAATTTTGACCCATGCCCATATGTATTTTTATAATATATATATATATTATACATTATATATTAATATTATATATATGCATTGAATCTATATATATTGTATATTATATATGTGTATGTTATATATATTATATCTATAATATATTAAATATTATATATTATTTATTATTTGTTATATATTATATATTATATATCATCTGTTATATATTATATATTATATGTTATATATTAAATTATATATATAATAGACATACATTTACGTTAGAACTTGAACTGTGACCAGTTTCTGCAATTTTGGTAACTTCACACCCTTTTGATTGGGTTGCATTGATCAAGGGGAAGGGAGAAGTGTTACTGGGGATGGATTGGTAACTATTGGTAGCTATGAAACACTGTAAAATTCATGGGATAGCTACATGGTAGTTATACCATAACTATTGGTAAATAATGGTAACTTTTTTGTAATCTGATTGTTAACTATTGGTAAACAATGGGATATAATCAGATTTTGTCCATCTACCAACTCGTGCAGGAGTTCGCAACCATCTTAAAGGTTGTATACACTTAAATGATCTTTCGGGCTGGCTGACTAGTAACTAGTAGGGGGTTCCTACTGGACAAGAAGAATCACCTTGGGACAGGCTAGCAGAACGATATACTGAGACTGTAATCATCAACCAACACAGGTTTGGGGCATTACTCATATGAACAGATTGTGAACCTGATGGGAAGTAGAATGCAGTAGTTAAAGCTGACCAGATTCCAATGAGATTTTGTAAAATTTGCAGAACGGACCATTCAGTGGCCAACGCAAAGCAAAAACGGCCCATCCATTGCAATATATGTTTGATATAGCCGCGCATGTTCGTTGAGCTCTTTGGCAAAGTGGGTCTGAGTCAAAATTCAGTACCCACAGTCTTTAGTGGATAAAATAATACAAAATATAGGAACTGTAATACTAAACATTGTCATTTCATGTCATTTCATAGATGGCGCCTGGGTCTAAAATTTGGACCTGTGCCCAAATCCCCAAAAGGCTGAACGTGATGTGAGTTTAAATATTTCGAGACCGACCTTTTCACTAGTCGCATGGTGACCGCACCAGGTGAAGCTATAGACAGCTAGTATTTTTCGTGACCTCACTGTGACAACACTGGAATGATGGTTTAGATATAGGGGAATAATTCAAATAGAGGTCAATATACCCTTCTGTCAGGTTAGTGAAATATGATAATTCCGATAGAGATACTGTAATGGTTCCATGAAATTGAATAAACTCCAGGTGGGGGTAGCTTAGGATTGCCCATGAAGTCTGTCATGTCAGCAGGGATGAGTGCTTTATTAAATCGAGGTCGAATATGTCGAATTACCTTGGTTGTTAAAAAATGTTAAAAAGACATTCAAATCATTCAACATTCATTGGTTTTTCTATTACCGTTGGGACCTTGACATCGCATATGTCTGCATATTTGATATATTCACCAGACAAATCTTCAGCAAAATTCAAGCCCATCCCCGGTGACTGGGGACAGCATGTCGACATCGCAGACCGCCACCTACAAGTACTTCACGTCTCTTCACTGGGTTTGGGGACTCGGTCTTTCGTTGGCCCAGGAATTACTTGATACTCCCGTCCCTGATGCCGGTGATCGAACATAGCTATGGAAAAAACCACGAAAAAACACCAAATGTTTATCAATGGTTCATAGGTATGTTGGAATACCTATTAGCGGCTTTTGGGTTTTTCATGGTTTGTCTTCAGCAAAATACCAGGATTTTTGCTGAAAATGGGTGGCCATGGGGCCCATGGGGCCCATGATGTCAATGTCATCTGGCTGTGGCTTGAGTCCTTTTTTGTGCCGAGACAGAAAAATAGACAGAATGCTTTCAGTTGAGTATCCAAGAAAAGTAGATACCCTCTGGTAAACTAACGTAACTATGGAAAATCACCATTTTTAATGGGAAAATCCACTATAAATGGCCATTTTCAATAGCTATTTTGACATAACCAGAGGGTAAAGTAGTCAGGCAGAGATTGGGATCGGCTCCTCGGCTCTGTTTCTCACTGAAAATCATCGCCAGGCGTTGACACAGTTCACTCCGGCTTCCATGGATGTGAGTGCGAAGAATGTTGGGACCTTGGATCATGTCCAAATGTTGGTCAATTTTTTCCAGAGAACAGCAAATGGACCTGGTCGTGTTTTGTACCATTTTTTTAAAAAAAAAAAAGCATTCACCGTCATTCACCTCGTGTTTTGACTTCTTTGCTCTTCATTCTCAAGCTCACAACTTTGACAGCTTGGAGATAAGTCACAAATGCATAGAAATGCACCCAAGGATGTGACCCTGCCGTCTGAAAAGATGATCCCTCCTCCATCATCCCTGGATTTGACACCTGGGATTTCCTCCATGGAACTTGGAGAAACATCCAATGGATTTCAGCACATTGGGTTCCTAAAATGGGGGTACCCCTGTTCATCATCCATTTTAATTAATATAGGATTTAAATAGGACTTCCCCATGGAAATGAACCATGAAACCAATGAAACCCCATGACATAAATAGGAAACCCCAAAATCAGTACAAGTCAGTACTGTTGTGGCAGGTCTATGAGCGCATGTTCTCGATTGCAGTTCTGTTCTTTGCGATGGTGGCATTCTCCTCCATTGTAGGAGGCGAGGCCAAGCGATCCGCCGATCCGATTCCTTGGGTGTTTTTCAACTGGAACTCAGGAAGGTACCTTTATAGAGACAAGCCTGAGTAATTCTTGTGATAATTCTTGTGATAATAGAGATAAAGGACGATAAAGGTACTTTATTCTGATAATTATTGATAATTATATATAATTATTGATAACCCCTTTCATAAAGGCATATAACGGCGGCCGCTGAGATGTCAAACCAGCAAAAGCTAGCAGCCCAAACCAGTCAACCAGTAATTTTGGAGGCTTTGAGCAGTGCTCTAGTTGCTACTTCTGCTGAAGTTGGGGTAGTCGCTATAGTTGAGGGCGTGACATATTTGGCACGTCCTTTGACTAGCCAATGATAATCCAAGGTATTACAATGGACAATCCTGATTTGCACATGGTGCCTGTATATCCCCCAAAATTACGATTTGGGTCGGGAAATTTAATTGTCCTCGCAAGTCTCCCTTACAAGAATTATTAATATTAGTGTGTACAAACATGCTCAGTACATGTGAGCAGTGGCTGCTAAACTCCTGTTGATGACTAGTTCGGGGGTTACTAGGTAATTATGCCATTTAGATTCATTGTGGATGATCGTAAACGCCAAAAATACAGAAAAGATCCTTAAAAAGTCTTTCCAGGAGGGCAGTTCGATGATAGGAAAACTTCGCAGTTATCAAACATCGCACGGAAAAATCACCGATAAATAAATGATTTTTCACGGAGGTTATTATAGCTGGGAGATTATGAAACTGAATGATCTGAATGATCTGATTTCGTAGCAAGCCATGTTTGAGGACACCATTGAGGTCCTATTTCCAGATGTCCCACTTTTCTATCTGGGTAAATTTTAGTGACCTCACCATGACCGAACCCGGAATCATGGTTAGGATTCGGGGAATCATCCTCAAATGGTCTTATTACAGGTTAGAGGAAGTTGATTGGTTGAAACGGGAGAAAAGATCCAAGAAAGATCCAAGAAAGCTCTTTTGGCAGTGCAAAGGTGTCGAAGAGGTGGCTGAGGTTCATGTTTCACAGTCCGCTGAGTCATCACTTGGGCCTGAGGGCAGGGTGATGGCTTCTTTCTAAAGGTGAAAGGCCGAACATTTCAGGTTAGTGAAATATTACAATTTACCCAGAAAATCCCAGAAATCTATTTTGAGGTGGTTATATCATAATCCATTTTCAGCATCGAGATGAGTGGCACGTTTCGTAGGTGTCACGGCCTCAATGACTCAACTGCAGAATCTGTCCCTTGGGCAGCAAAGTCGGCAAGGCAAGGCCTGGGGAATTCTTCGTTTTTGCAAGGGGAACCGGGTGAACCATGGTTGTTGAGTGGTGAGTTGGGTTATCAAGTTATCAAGAAATATATTGTGCTTAGATCTTGGAATGATGATGATGGACCGTCATGGACCTTTTGGTGATTTTTTTCACGGGTAATCGACAAACTTCGCATGTTTTTTGAAGATGTCAAACATACCTATAATATCCCATTTATCTACATATGCAGCGCAACGCTCGTTTTCAGAAAACTGCTCGGATTGTCAAATAGTGTATCGAAACCCTGTTTGAGCATTTATGTTTGCTCGTGTGAAGATCTAGGTGTGTGTGCATATATATATATACACATATATATGTATACGTAATTATACGTACATATACTGTCATGATTCAAAAATGTAGGTATACAAATACATTATAAACATAATACTCTTGTGCTGGATGGTTCAGGAATGAATATTTGGCTACCTAGGTTGTGAACGCCAAACAATGTATTTTTTAGAGGAAAATGTGAAACAATCCATGTAAAATGATGATAATGATGATATAATTCACATGAATGAGTAGATATATATATAATATGTATATAATATGTTATCTATGTATATATAGCTTTACCACTGATTTTCGACTGGTTGCTGGTTCCAAAGGTAAGAAAAAAAAACTGTCCTCCAGCTGCTGGGACATCCAAAATAGATCTACTTGATAGGTATCCATGAGTTATGTTGAGTTTCGGAGTAAACCCCCATTGATACTGATTTACCTGATTTTATATTGTAGTTTCCCATATTTTCCAAGATTTTATATAACTCATCTGTACTCAGAAACTCATGATCTAACCTGAAGTTGATGTCCTTTTTGGTCCTATGTGGTTTGCCATGCTCGCGTCAAATGACTATGCACGTCTATGCACGTGTCTTTTTCTTTTTTCTGGTCAACCGCCAAAAAACTGAAATGAAATTGGGATGGTTATTGACCCACCCCTGGTGGTTTATGGTTGTATGTTAAGCTTGCTCTTCCAGGGGTGAGGCGATTGATTTTTAACTGACTCATACCAAAATCATCCTTTTTTTCGGGTAATCAAATGTGAAATTCCCTACAAATGGAGGTTTAGTTCGCTGGGAAAATTCTCCAAATAAATGGTGCTTGAAAAAAATCCATGGAGCTCATGGAGAGTTTTTGTGGTTCTGGTTCAAGATTCTCAAATATGGGCCTGAAAATAGGGTACCTCAAAATCACATAGTTATACATAGTTTATCAATGTTAATCATCATTCAGGGGAAAAAGTTTAACATGGTTTAACATGGTTTATCATTGCTTATCACATGGTTGATCATCATTTTCCCGTTTTCACTCGCCATAGTTTTGGGGACCCGGTCAGACCACCACCCATTTTCCGCGGCAACTCTTTGACCACTGAGCCATGTCCGGATCAAAGATCCCATGGGGCTCCCTACACATCGCTGGAGGTTTGTTTTCCATGGAAAATCCATAATATCTGGGTAAATTATAACGACCTCACTGTTCTCCCTCACTGGAAATCATGTTAGTAAGGGAAATCATCCCCTTTTATGGCCTTGATTCGGGTTAGTGAAATATTATGGCCTTTACCCAGATAATATATACGCATATATATATATGCAAATCGGATGATGACTGGGGGCCGGGGGTATCTCCATTTTAGGATACCCCTATATACATATATATATATCTATATATATATATCCGATGTAAGGGAGCTGGTATGATATGGTGAAAGCAACCAAAAATTAAGGTAAACTTGGCATATACAGAACTTATACAGGTAGACCCTGCGCCTCCATATATGCCTCTATTATCCTCTATTGTTTTGGTAGTCCTTTCCCTGATTTTTTTTACAGATCCGGAAAGAATCGCTGAGGCGCAGTAATCACATGAAGCAGTTCTGGATGTTGCGGCGCTATTTGAAGCAGAACCAGGTGAACAAGGACGGGCATCCGCTCGATAAGACTGGGTTCGATAAGTTTCTCTGAAAATGAGGAATACCATGGGATATCCAAAATGGAGGTTTCCTAAAATGGGGGTACGCCAATATGCATGGTTTATAATGGGAACATCTATTAAAATGGATGGTTTGGGGGTACCCCTATTTTAGGAAACACCCAAAATAGTTATTTTAATGGGAAGATCGAATCATGAACCATCCAATTTGTGGGTACGCCGGTTTTGCGCAAACCATGGGAATGTGTTGATGGTCTGGAGAGAGGCCTCCCCTTTTTCAGGATACAAAAGTAAATCACTATTACTGGATACATTATAGCCATGTATAGTCTAGTATAGTGTCATTTTTATTTTGAAGGGTCTTGAGTCTTGATGGTCTTTAACTGTTTTTCGATATTTACTACAGTCTACGCGGGGGAACCAAAAAAGCCACAGTTGCGGTCAGTTGTTTTCTTGTCCTGAGTTTTTAAGCATCCAACATGGGTGCACCAACGGAGCATGCCTTCCAAATAGCCATTTCGTAGGGAAAATGACTGGTTGGTGGTTTGGAATATTTTTTATTTTCCATATATTGGGAAGAATCATCCCAACTGACTTTCACTCCATCATTTTTCAGAGGGGTAGGTCAACCACCAAGCAGATGAACATGACAATCAACCAATACAATCCATCACATTTTGAGAGTCGGATAGCCATCTCTTCTTTGCTTCGTAGCATCCACATTCATCCGATTGGAAAAACTCATCGAATTCACCGATATCATATATATATACACACATAGATAATCATATTATGCATGTATGATTCATCTATGTATTTATATATGTATATATATATTGGCAATTCATCGATGTTGATTTGATAGATATATACATATATATGTATACATACATGTATCGATAACTATTGACTTGGTGTATGTTTATTATTATTGTTTTTTTTATTACGTGTATATATATACGTATATATAATATTATATATACGTAATGTATATATGTATATATGTATATATGTATATATGTATATATGTATATATGTATATATGTATATATGTATATATGTATATATGTATATATGTATATATGTATAATTATATGTATATATGTATATATGTGTATATGTATATATGTATATATGTATATATGTCTGTATAGATATATGCATATATATATGTATGTATAGGTATACATAGATAGATAGATAGATAGATAGGTAGATAGATAGATAGATAGACAGATAGATAGATAGATAGACATACATATTATATATATGCATGCATATATATATATGCTATCCCCCTAAAACCTACCGTTTTGACATGTCGACTTGTATTTACATGTATTTACGGTGTGTCTTGCTTATTTTGCAGTTAAAAAATGACCCTTTGTTTTGAAGTGATTTTTTGTTTAAGTTTTCTCAAAGCAGCCTTACAATTATACAAAGGCAGTATATATGCATGCATACATGTATTTAGATGGCAGCTCCCATTGATCCCACCAATGAATCTAAACATATACAATGGTAGGTTTGGGGGAGGGCTTACAATATTTATATATATGTATATAGAGATTTAGAGGTACTAGCACTATTGATGATGGTATATTAACCCCCATGTTCATCAGGTTCATCAGGGTATGACTTTTGGGATCAGCATTTGAGGAGTTGCAGTTCCGCATTGAGAAGTTCCTGGAGTATCGCATCATGAAGGACTCAAAGAGATTCCCTAAATCGCTGGTGGCGGATGTTGCGGACGAAGAGTTAGGGTTTTTTTGTACAGGATGGTCCCCAAGTCGATAGCGTTCAGTTGAGATATAAGTGGCTTAACTATGGTTTCTAGTAGATATAACTATGGTTAATGGAGTTTATAAACAACCAAACATAACTGGGGGGCCCCATCCTGTAGGGCAATAATCAATCAAACCGTTGGTCACAGGGGCAAATGAACAGAGTCTAAGTAAATTCATGTCACTGACAAGGATGTATATTAGTCCGCTGTATCATACAATGTATCATATCGTTTGTATTCATTTCCCTACACCTGGTACAGTGGCTGTTGTAATTGTTCTTTCCATATCTTGTGTGCAGATAGCCATCTCGAAATGAGGATCCAAGACAGTGCCTCTCGAGTGTGTATTCACATATGAAGGTTATTTCTCTTCTGGCCATGTACGCAATCGTATATAGTGTGACATGCACGTGATATGAAATATGATGGATGTACGGGTTGGATGGATGGATGGATGGATGGATGGATGGAAAAGAGTTGAATGGAAAGATAGGTAGATCGACACACAGACAGATACAGTTCTTACATGATCTTACAACTATAGATATACTGTAGGTGTTAATCTTTTGATTTAGATATCCACATAGACCACATAGATGTGCGTTTGTATGTTTACGCACATGTATTTCTATATTTATTTTTGTATTGTATGTATCTATATCTCAATAAGTTCCAATATAAATATATATATATATACATATGGATAAATTAAATGCCATTACGACCTCGCTGCGACATCACAAGCATGACGGGAATGTGGCCAGTCCCTTTTCAGGTGAATCATCCAGATGGATCAGATGGATCCCCATGATAGCCTTATTTTTTAATGGGTAAAACCCCATGATACACGATTTGATTCATCCAGATATTCAGATATAATATGATATAATCTATCTATATATATATATGTGGATGAATCAAATCGTGTATGTAATATCATTATCTAGATATCATTATGTGTATATATATATATGTATATGTGTGTAATTGAGGGAGCTTCACAAACCGAGAAGCCTTGCAGCTCGTTGGCGAGCTCAACCTTTGGAGCTGCAAATGGAAACAAAGGGAATCCAGGAATCCTTGTAAATACATAGATTGATAGATACATAGATGCATACGTATACCCATTGTTTTTAACTGATTGGGAACATGCCAACATATACATATACATGTACATGTACATATACATATACATATATGTGCATTCGTATCGAATAATGTACGCGTATGGGCTGTGTGGGTCACGAAGTGCATGAGCACGAACATGGTTTGAAGCTAGCAAACACAAAGATCACAAACTTGTTGAATAAACAGAATACACAGACATATCATCAATTTGCTATCAGCGTTGCCAGACCCAATCGGGATTGGCTGTTCTTTGTTGCCTGCATGGTCACAGCCGAATGTTAGATCTCGGTCACTAACCCCGGTGCTGCTGTCTGACAATGAAACAAGAACCTCAGGAACCCGATGTGGACGAGAGCGTGTGAAGCAGATGGACTGCGCCACACAAAATTCAAATGTTCCCGTCGCCCGTCTTTTGCCTAACAAAAGTTGAGTTTCACTCATGTCCGTCAGGTGTGAGGCTTACAGCTCCGCAAAATTTACCAAGAAACACACGCTTCCGATCACCTATTTCCAAGGATTCTTGGCTTTGCTGCTTTTAAGCCCTCCAGCGCAGACAGCGATATGTTTTTGAACAGTGGAGCCTGGTGAATTGTAGGTGCTCACAGGCTGTTTGGAGATGAACATAGATGAACGGACAATGTTCATATTCCCGGGCCAGGAGCAGGAATATGTCCAACCCAATATGGTGCTGCATTTGCCAAAACTGCCCGCAGACCCAGGGATGACCTGGGGACCCAGGGCTGCAGGAGGGGGCTCGTAGCTGCGAAAATGTCTGAAAATGTGATATGTATTGATATGTTACAATCTGCTACACATCAGCCGTTTTTTGTGAATGTTGTCAGGGGAAGGCGGGGAAAACTTGTCGGGCCATGTTGGATTCGGTTGATTTCCCGGGGATAGAACCCAGATATACCCGCTGGTTATCATAGCCATGGAAAATCACCATTTTTAATAGGTAAACCATCTATAAATGGACCATTTTCCATGGCTATGTTAAATAACCAGAAGGTAATTGTGTTGGTTTCTGGATGTCAAACATGTTGAAAAACCGTTAAAGTGACCCCGCAACCAACTCACCCAACATCCTGCTTGATGAGCCCACTCAAACATCATTTGCGTGTTGGTGAACGGAAAAGGCGCACACATTTCCAGTGGGGCCGTTTGTTGTCGGAATGTTGCTACAAAAACCTCTTGCTACGGGCAGATGCTGAATCCTATTGAATCCTTAGGGCTTTCAGAATTTGAAGTGACCAGCCAAACTCATGAATTCAACATGATATTGCCTGATTTATCTGGAAATCTAGGAAAGCATAGGTTAAATCCCGAGTCATTTTGATTTACAACTGCATAATCACCTCCAAGAGGTGCAAGCTCGCATCACGACCAAGGAATTATCCAGCTATGGCAATTTTACATGTGTTCCAAACAAATGGGGTTGGATCAAACTTTAAGACTTAAGATTTTGGCCCTATGTTTAGTATTTTTTCATAGGTTCATGTATTTTCCATGCTTGGGGGTACCCAATTTTGACCCATACCCAAATCATGCAACAGCCCCGATGTTACGGCCATTCTGGCCATGGGGAAACGGGAAATTGGATGCACCAGACATGGGATGACATGGAAAAATATGGGACCCGGCGAGGCGAAACAGAAATGGGAAAATCGACGCGCCGAAAAATATGGATTTTTTTGGCAAATCATCCTCCATGTTTGTGGTTGTAATCGACCATTCCTGTGGTAGGTGAGGTACCCCAAAATCCACTGATTTGAGCCACATGCCGCCAGAAATTGCCATAGATTGGGATATCCATTGATTTTGGCCCATGAAAATTCCCACAATGTGGGGCCCCCGTTCGATAGCTAAGTTGGTGAACATAACTCCAATAACTATGGTTTATGATACCCAAATAACTATAGTTAATGGGATTTATAAACTAACTTATAACTGGGGGGCCCCACATTGCACAGACTTGTCATTTTCAGAAAACCCCGAGGTCACAACCTCTTCGGAATGAACTCGCTCACAGCATTATGGCGCCGACTCCCAGCATTTCCCACCGATTTTGGGAGATTTTTTTGGACCGTCATCCTGGAGAGATAGAATATGGACATGTCAAAAACACGATTCGACTGGGAATAATTTTGAAAATCCCATATTCTATATGCCCCAAGATATCCCAAGATGATTGTAAGTTTAATCCAATTCCAAAAAATGAATCTGAATTAAGCTAATTCTGGTTTCAGGTTTGGTTTTCTCCAGCTCAAAACCAGCGCTAAAACCGATGCAAATGCGGGTTGAAATTTGGTCAAGAGCTGGGCAGATCTGATTCTTATAGTGCCATAGTTGGTCCATGTTGGCATTGCCATTGGACTTGACACTTTTTGACAGCTCGGAATTCTAAACGAAACCTCTGTGTTCGGTATGGATTCATATGGATTCATAAAGATTGTGACTTCTTGCCATAACCAGGTGTTTCTTGCTGCCATAATTTGTAGCCTCTGGTAAACGTTTACGTAACTATGGAAAGATCCACCATGCTATTCATGGGTAAATCCACTATAAATCACCAATTTTCAATAGCTATGTTAGTCATTACCAGAGGCTAAACCTCCATTTTCCTTTGGTTTTCCTATGGTTTTCCTATGGTTTACCAGAGGGTACGGCTGACACGTTTCCCAAATTTTGTGGCGATAAACATATGCGGTGATGCCATTGCCGCAGGTGCAGTGGCTCCGTGGGCATCCGTTCTTCCATAAAGTCAGTGGCTTGGCGAACTTTTTTCGCGGCGCCTCGTGGATGTGGTGCCTTTTTTAAAAAAGGGCCATGACTGGGATTAGAAATTACAAAGTGTCATCTGATGTTAATTGATGTTATTTTTGGGACTATGACATATTTTGAACTTGACTATATATATATATATATACACACATTATATATATATGTGTGTATTTGATGAATGACTGGGAGACCTACTGACCAACGATGATCGCGCTATGCCGCTATGCTTCATGGTTCAATCGCGTTCTTTTGTGTCCAAGCCCTTGGAATGATGGGCGACAGGTGGCTCACCAACCATGGTTTCTGATGTTTGCCTGTGTTTCAATGATATGATATAAATTAGTTGCCCTCCAGATTAACTTGCTGTAGAAAGATCAAAAGAAAACAACAACAACAACAACAACCACAACAACAACAACAACAACCACAACCACAACAACAACAACAACACAACAACCACAACAACACAACAACAACAACCACAACAACAAGAACAACCACAACAACAACAACAACCACAACAACCACAACAACAACAACCACAACAACAACAACAACCACCACAACAACCACAACAACAACAACCACAACAACAACAACCACAACAACAACGACAACCATAACAACAAGAACAAGAACAACAACGACAACCACAACAACAAGAACAACCACAACCACAACCACAACAACAACCACAATAACAACAACAACCACAACAGCCACAACAACAACAACAACCACGACCACAACGACAACAACAACAACAACCACAACAACAACAACAACCACAACAACAACCACAACCACAACAACAACAACCACAACAACAACAACAACCACGACCACAACGACAACGTATAGATCATGTAGGGAAACCATGAGTTTACCACGCCGATCGGTTGGAGGGGTTGCTGGATCTACTGATCCCAGATCATCCCAGGTACCTTGATGCCCAATTTCATGCACAAACTTTGCAGCAATGCCATCAAAGAGAGCCTTGGATTCGCGAATGACGCAGTTAGATGCATTTAGATGCAGTTAGATGCAGGACATACTTCAGTAATCAAAGGTGGCTGGGAAATCCCTGAAAGTGAAGGTGTTTGGATGATGTTAGATAGGTTTTACATGATTTTACTAGTAAATTTATCGAGCTAAACTGGAAATAGTCCCGGCGTGCGTTTTTTTTCATGACAGTTTTGAGGCCTAAAACGGCCTTGATGTTGGTGAAGTTACAGGATTTAGCAAGGCCCAAACGACAGAAAAGTCAAATGGGGGGGTTCCATAAAGGAGGATACCCCATAGCTGGATGGTTTATTTCATGGAAAATCCCAATCTATCAATGGATGTTTATTTTATGGAAAATCCCAATCTATCAATGGATGAATAGGGATGGTGAACAGGGATACCCCGATTTTAGGAAAGACTCAAATCCAATCTTAAAACAGTTGGAGGACCCAAAAATTCATGCAACCACCATTTTGCCAATCGAAGGGCCAGGGCCCCGTTGAAGTTCAGGCCGGGAAAGTCTCCAGCTCGCGACTGACTGGTTGCCTTTGCTTGACTTGAGGTATCCATGATATCCCAAGGTTAGTGAAACTTAGTGACTTATTGAATTAGTAAATCTATGTAAATCTCATGGATACCTCAAGATCATTGATCACTTATTTATCTAAACAATCCAGTGATCAGTGGTTTGTGCTCGCTTGCAACTCATGTGAAGTATCGCGTCCCCTGCATGGGATGATCCCATCAAGATGGTGATCGGACCCCCATTTTTTTTAGCCAATAGTATTTATAAACATAGTGAACGCAATCAGATTCAAAAATATTCAAAAACAGAAACATGGCAAAACCAATTTGTGATATTCATTCAAACATGGCAAAACCAACTGTTTGTCCATTTTATCCGAGATTTCTTTCGTGCCCGGCTGTGAAAGTTTCGTGACCTCAAAAGCGCTAGGAAGGTCCTGGGTCAAGGGGACATCGTCTTCGAGGCGGGCGAGGCGCGGCCGATGTTTTTTTTTTGTGCTTGTTTTTCCATGGTTTTTATATGGTTATTAATGGTTAATGTATGTTAATGTTGGTTAATGATGATTAATAGTGTTTATTAATGGTTAATGATGATTATTCTAGGTAAATTTGATCACGACCTCACTGCGACCGAGCCCTGGAAATCATAGTTAGGATTCGGGGAATCATCCCCTTACTTGGCCGCAAGATTCAGGGACCCAGTCGCTTCTTGGCTTTCGCAGGGGGGCGGCTGGGTGTCCGAAACAAGTGGAGTGGCCTTAATTCAGGTTAGTGAATTATTATAATTTGCCCAGATATGGTGTAATATTGGAATAATAGTTGAAATAATAGATTGAACAAAAATGAAAAATATATTAATTATAATGTTGAATAATTATTGAATTATAGGATGTTCATGGATTTTCCCATGGAAATGGATGGAAATGGATGGAAATTCTGGTTTTTCCAACCGAAGAGCTTCACCAACAACTCCCCAACTGGAGTTTGTTGGTGGTTTGGGTTATCTAAGTTGACTTTAAAAAAACGTTGCATATCATCTCCATGTCGGTTTTTGAGCAAATCAGACCAGGTCGAAGCCGCCATGGCCTTTTTTTTATTTGCCATGGACACGGGGACACGGTGCCAAAAATCAGTTACCCTCTGGTAAACTAACAAAAAGCTATTGAAAATGGCCATTTATAGTGAGTTTTCCCATTAAAAATGGTGATTTTCCATAGCTATGTTAAATTACCAGAGGGTAGAAGTTCTGAAATCATGTCTGAACAATTTTGGCTGCGGTGTTGCCTTTGCTTGCAAAGATGTTGCGCAGAACAGTGTCCACTTACAGTTCTAACATACTCCAAGTGAGATTTTTGATGATCTTTCCCCATCGCGGTGTAGTGGGGCACATCTTCTCTGGATCAGTGGCAGGAGTGTACCCACATCTACTTCCTATCGGCTGGCCTCGTTTTGGAATACACGCCCCTGGCGCATCGTTCCAAGAAACTCGAGGCGCTGTGGATGGGAAACTCCCCGAACTTTACAATGGAAACATCCAGTGGACATATGATCTACGATGTTTTTGGGTATACCATGCAAAAAAATCCCGCCACAGAATGAGGCCATTCAAGTGACCCTGTTTTCGAGGAGTCCTTTTTCGGCCTGATCCATGCGTACGTACTGCAGTTCTCGCCATCATTCCATGAATTCCATGCCTAAAAAGTCACATGCAGCTGGGTAAAACGCACAGTGCGTCACAGAGCTATGTAGCAGCTATGGATTTATGGATCAGATGGAGTATTTGGCATGTATTTGGAAAGGAATCTAAGTCCATCACAACAGAACACCCAGCGCAACTTGGCATGTCGCCGAGGACGCTCCATCACACAGGCTGCAACAAAAGCAATGGCTGCTAGATTTGGAACTGGAGGAGGAATCGCAAGCGGTTTATTTGACCTCATTCCTGTTCAGTTGTAAACATACATATGGAGGTTTCCTACAATGGGAGTACCCAATAGCTGGATGGCTGTTATTTTGAATTCAAAACAAAGAAGAAACAACAAAGAACAAAAATGATACATAGCATGCTTGAAGTGGTGTTTCTAATAAACATAGTAAATGGTGCTTTTGTTCGAAAAGAACTAGATACAACAAATGATTGGTTCCAGCATTTCAATGTTGCAAAGTGACATGTGATTGCACTGATTTGAAAGATCTTGCTGCGCCAGTTTATATACATATATAACATATATATATAATACATGCATTATGTATATATATATTATAAACCTAGACCCTCCTGAAATACCAAATAAATGAAACAAGTACCACACTTCACATTTTTTCGGGTCAAACTCCCTGCGTTTTGTTTTTCGGCTTTTCGGTGAAGCCACGGAGCGGAAGAGAGAAGCCATAGTTATGTCGACTTTACCCGGCCTGGTAAACATACAAAAAACCATGGAAAATCACCATTTTTAATGGATAAATCATGATAAATCCACTATGTCTATAACCATTTTCAATAGCTATTTTGTTAAATTACCAGAGGATATGTGCTCTTTAGTGTTGAAGAATCCAGATTTGCTGTTCTAAGTTTGATTTTGAGAACTGCCAATTTTTTCTTGATGTTGGGGGGTTTACATTTTTTTATGCGTTTGCTGTCATTTATACCAAAAATATCCAAAAATATGATGTTAAAAGTTCGAAGTGATTGCCACTTACTATATACGGTTTATACACACAGATCCAGATACATTATACTGTCACTGACGTTCATTTTGGAGGGTATTGACCCCAATTGGTGTTGACCACTCAATATAGGGGTCATTGGGCCTCTTTGGGTCAATTCGGATTTCAACATATGGAATGGTGATGTCAGACATGTCACAAGCAAGAACCAGCACAAGATGTATTAAAATGTATTAAACCCTGATAGAATTAATGTTGATCTAACATCCATCATTTGAATCATGTGCTGGTTGGTGGTTTGGAGCATGAATTTTATGACTTTCCATATATTAGGAATAGTAACCCCAACTGACTACATATAATTATAACATAACTACATATATAATATTCAATATATAGGAATCTTTCATATTTTTCAGAGAGGTTGAAACCACCAACCAGTGTGTTTCTTCCTCTCTTTTTATACCAGCATCTTCTGATGGGTCCTTGATCGGCCCATGACCAAAATCGACGGTCCCTTCCTAAAGTTTTGACCATTGGCCAAAATGATCATATGACCTACATGGAAAATCATGGAAAAACATGGAAAAAACATTGACATTCATGGATTTGAACACCAATGTTCCGCTTGTTTGTCAAAAAAAGATTATTCAAACTTCCGCGCCACACCGGGATGCTCCGGGAGGCCACATCCAAATCTTTTTTTGAGCAGTAAGATACATATGATACATAGGATCTAAATGGATCTATATTTATATGATCCATATAGATCCTCCTTTAGATATTCGTTTTTTCTGGCAAAAATTGAGGATCTTCAAGTAGGACCTCCACCGAATCTACACCGAATCGTTTTTTTGTTCCCGGTTCTGGGGCCGTTGTTGCTCGCCGAGGTTATCTGAACCGTCACTGTGGGTGCCATGGAAACACCTGGGCGTCTGCGAAGCAGAAAAACCAGGTGACCAAATCCACGGCTGAATGGTGAAGAAATATCGGACCAAAGTGATATTTTCAGTTACCCTCTGGTAAATTAACAGTTGGACCCTGAAAATAGCCTAGTTTTCATGGTTTAACTAATCTTCCAAACCCGATGACTGCCAGGGTCTATGTCAATTTACCAGAGGGTATGTGATATTGTTTTTTTTTTGGCATTCCCAAATTGACCATTCGCCAGGTGAGTTGATCTCCGTGGATGCCAACAGTTTCTGCAAGGACGCCGCGGATGCCAGGTGTGGATCTCTAGGGAATGTTGGGGAAATTTCCGGAAAATACTCATTTTTTAATAGGTAAATCATCTATAAATCACGTTGGTGGTTTGGAACCATGGAATGGATTATGACTTTCCATTCAGTTGGGAATAATCATCATCCCAACTGACGAACTCATATTTTTCAAGAGGGGTAGGTATACCACCAACCAGTATAAATCATTTATTTCTATGGGTGATTTTCCATGGCTATGTTAAATAACCAGAGGGTGTATATATATATATATTTAGTATATCAATGGTGTTCTATATATATATACATATATCACATATCATATATATATATATCTCAACTTGGGGAATTTGTTCTATGCACCAATGATGATGAAACATAGAGAATCCACATAGTTTATGAGTTTGATGATGTTCCAATTTCAATGCCCATTTCTAGGCTTCGTTCATTGCCATGTTACCGGAGGGATCCGGAGGGTATCCCTGGTATCCCCAATTTTGAGACAATCCTCTTTGATGATAGAGATACATACAGATATATATCATATATACATAAATACATAGATATGTATATAAATATGTATGCATATATATATATGCATATATTTGTGTGTGTGTGCAAAAGATGGTGGATTGCAGTGGTCCATAGATGACAAGATGTTCAGACAAAACGCCAGCCCAATGACGGTCCACCGTCAGATCCATTGCAATTCCGATGATTGTACCACTCAAAAAAGAGGTCCCTACAACATGTCTACCCTCTGGTAAACCAACAAAAAGCTATTGCAAATGGCCATAGAAATAGTGAGTGTTCCCATGAAAAATTGTGATTTTCCATAGCTATGTTAGTTTACCAGAGGGTATATTCCCCAGCATGATGACATGATTGGTGTGTTTTGATTCGTGAGATCACCTCCATCAGGAGATGAGTGCCCATCCAGCCCCGCGGACCTTCTGCGCCAGCTACGCTCGTCTCTATGTGCCTTGACCCGGCGGCGTGGATGGGTAGAAAGGATATGAATTCAAAGTCTCCATGGTCTCCATCATCATGTTGATCTTGGATCCAGATGTTGTTGTTGTTGTTGTTGTTGTTGTTGTTGTTGTTGTTGGTTGTGGTTGTGGTTGTGGTTGTGGTTGTGGTTGTGGTGGCTGTTGTGGCTGTTGTGGCTGTTGTGGCTGTTGTGGCTGTTGTGGCTGTTGTGGTTGTGGTTGTGGTTGTGGTTGTTGTTGTTGTTGTTGTTGTTGTTGCTGGTGTTGGTGTTGTTGTTGTTGTTGTTGGTTGTTGTTGTTGTTGTTGTGGTGGTGGTGGTGGTTGGTTGTTGTTCTTGTTGTAGTAGTTGTTTGTTTGTTTGTTTGTGTGTTTGTGTGTTTGTGTTGTTGTTGTTGTTGTTGTTGTTGTTGTTGTTGTGGTTGTGGTTGTGGTTGTGGTTGTGGTTGTGGTGGCTGTTGTGGCTGTTGTGGCTGTTGTGGCTGTTGTGGCTGTTGTGGCTGTTGTGGCTGTTGTGGCTGTTGTGGTTGTTGTTGTTGTTGTTGCTGGTGTTGTTGTTGTTGTTGTTGTTGTTGTTGTTGTTGTTGTTGTTGTGGTGGTGTTGTTGGTGGTGGTGGTTGGTTGTTCTTGTTGTAGTAGTTGTGTGTTTGTTTGTTTGTTTGTTGGGTTGGTTGGTTGTTGGTTGGTTGGTTGGTTGGTTGGTTGGTTGGTTGGTTGGTTGGTTGTTGTTGTTTTGGTTGATTGTGCCAAGATTTTTTCTGTCCTTTTTCACCCGGAGAAAGCACGTTACGTCTTTCTCAGGTGGAATGCTTGAACAACCTCCCAAAACAAGTACTGAGCGATGTGCTGGACCAACATATTCTGGCCTCTTGGATGATGGAATCGTTGTGGGATGGGATCCTGGGATGATCCTGGGATGATCTGGGATCCTGGCGATTTTGCCAAGAATTCCTGTGGATTTTGGCATCATTTCATATCGTTTCATATCATGATAATCATGATAATCTTTAACAGGAGCAACATGGAGCAACATTTACACCCATATACGTTTGTTTCGAAAACGTTGCTTGGCGCGTGAGCCGATGTCCCTGGCCTCCGCTGCTAGCTTGCTGTCAGGGAAATCATGTGTGGAATCAACTTGACAGACATGACAGACATGTTTCTGTCGGTGTCATTGACATGTCCAGCTTTGTTTGGACATGGCAATCAACACATGGTTCTATGTCCTTTTCAATAGAAGACAGAAGGATCTCAAGGTTGACTTGTCTTTACACCTTTTAACATCTTTTGAAGGGGTCAACACACTCTCCTCCACAATCCATAGTGAGAAATCCACTATCTTCTGGTGTCAGACATGGCTTGCAACCTCCAATTAAATCATCAGCATCTCGACGATTGTCCACAAAAAAGGCCAACAGCCATCGGGTCGCCATCGACATCCCCAGGACAGCACCGCCCTAGTGGAGCGTGCGTCGGTCCTGTTAGCGGCCATCTATGAAAACCGGGCCGCCTCGAACCTCGATCTGACCAATGGTGCGCCCAACGGCGAAAACAACCCACCATGGCGGGCTGGGGAAGCCCTGAAGTGGTGTTGAATGGGTTTGAAGATGGGGGAAATCATCAAAAATGGGGGAAACTCCGGCCATGCTTGAGTACCAAAGGGTGGTGGGCTGATGCGCTTGGCAAAATGGTGTTGGGGATGGGAAAGCAGCCAGTTCAGATGAAACAACAGTGTACACAACTTGATCGTGTATTCATGTTCTGAGAGGACACTTGAAGATTCCAAAACTTTCTTGGACATATGATACATGGGTATGTCTGAAAATGGGGTATACCCCCAATGAAATAGCCATAAAAAGTAGGGATAATGATCAGCAGGGATGGGGATCTTCAGGGATCACTGGGGCTGGGATGAAAAGCCCTACAATAGGAACAGCTAGCTATAAAATTTCATAAGAGTATACAATACTATACAATACTATACAATAGTTATGTATATTTAATATGTATATATATATATATATATGTATAGTAGATGTATAGTAGATGTATAAACATATACATATAAACAGTAAAATTCATTAAAAATCATGAATCTCGAACGATTCGAAACCAAGGGTGTTTTTTATGCCGCATCATCAACACATCGGCCCCGCAGTTGGTTGAGCCGGAGACCTACGACGTTTACGAGACGCCCCAACAAAGTTGAGAGGCGAAGCCCCAACAAAGTTGGGAGGTGAATTGTATTCGGAATATGCGCTCCTTCGTCCATGATGTCCATCAGAACATATCAGGGCGGCCTAGCCATGGGGTGTTTTAAGTCACGACAAGACGACAAATCGAGAGAAAATGAGAAAGAAGACATGAGGATTTAAGATGATTTAAGCGGAATGGTGTTTCAATGGTATCAGAAGAATGACTCACCTTTGGATTGAACCTTTATTGATCGGAACAGTTTATCTAATAGACGGAACCATTAAAGCGATGTGTGACTATCCTACTGATGCTTAGTACGTAGGGAATGTGGAGGAATGGGATGTTTTTTTATATTTATGGAATGGATCATTCAATGATCCTACTAATCATGGTTATTGAATATTCATTATTAGTAGGGAATGATTATGAACATATTATGGGATTACTAATCCTACGTTTAGCACCAGCAAGGATTCATTTACAGCAGGAAACTGATCTCATACTGATCTGCCTTCAGAAGGTCGCCATCGCGCTGCGACGAAGTGCGCGACGGATTTTTCACACGACCTGGGACCCTGGGAGGTGATTTTCCGGATGTGCGGCACAGCCCGACGGATGTGTGGTTTCAGTTTCTTGATTCTATATGATTGTCACAGTCACATATTAGTAATCCATATCAACTCATATTATGTTATATTATGATGGTTATAATTATATTACTCATATTATGTTTTATATTATGTTATATCAAAAATCCATAATGTTTTTATTATGTTCATGTCATATTGTACATGGTTATACCACAGCAGCATGGTCACGTTGGTCACAGGTTTGCTGGCCACCTCCCAGCGGTCCCAGCAAAGGTGGGGTCCCCGATAGCCAAGTTGCTGCAAGGAACTGAATTCTATGATATTCTATGGCTGATGTTTTTCTATACTAAACCATTACCAATACTAATACTCATACTCATACTTGTGCTCGTCCTCGTACTCATACTAGACTATATTCTAGTATCCATGGTGGTTAGTAAACGAACAAACATCACTGGGGGGATGCCAACCTTGGGTTTCGGATCTCGAAGCCACCAATCTGTTTATGGCAAGATAATGCAGCGGTTGAATGAGGAATGTATATAGAATTACTACCGTATGTATATATACATACATACATGCATACATACATGCATACCTACGTACATACATGCATACATACATGCATACATACATGCATACCTACGTACATACATGCATACATCCATACGTACGTACGTACATACGTACGTACATACACACATACGTACGTACATACATACATACGTACATACATACATACATGCATACATACATGCATACCTACGTACATACATGCATACATACATGCATACATACATGCATACCTACGTACATACATGCATACATCCATACGTACGTACGTACATACGTACGTACATACACACATACGTACGTACATACATACATACGTACATACATACATACATGTACATACATGCATACATACATACATGCATACATACGTACAGTACGTACATACATATACGTACGTACACATACATACGTACATACATACGTACGTACATACATACATACATACGTACATACATGCATACATACGTACAGACATACATACGTACATACATGCATACATACGTACATACGTGCATGCATACATACATTCATACATACGTACGTACGTACATACATGCATGCATGCATGCATACATACATACATAGATACGTACGTACGAACGTATGTACGTACATACATGCATGCATGCATACATACGTACGTACATACATACATACATATATATATATATTATGTTACTGTGTGTTTAAATGTTCTTTTTCGTTCCCCCGAACAACTTGGGATGATTCGAGATTGACTTCCAAGTACAAAAAACATGGGAGCAAGAGTCAGTGGCAAGATTGGACTACCTGCCCTTGCTTGATATTTGCAGTGCAGCTGGTTGGAACCAGCCAGCGTGCACATCAAGTAACCAATACGCCATCTAAACGGATGGAACGTCGAAGAGCAAGTCAGACACAAGGATTCCGGAGCCATTGAATAGGTTAATGATGGTTGATGATGGTTAGCACGGATGAATTTTTGGGGGTATTCCATTGTGAAAGCCACGATCATGGATCCCATTTTTTTTTGGAAAAAGGTGCGCTTCATTCCCCACTGATTGCGGCGAACCCAAGGCATTGTTTGCTGGAGTTGACCTGGTGAAAAGAAACCAGGTTTGTCTGACGTCAAAGGCCTCCCGGCACGACAAATTGCCCCGAAGATGGGCAGATGGCCCAGCCATGCCATAGGCACCAGCAAAAGCAGGGTCTTGACATTGACTAGGTGAAGTCAAAGGTGGTTTAACCATGTTTAAGCAACGGTAGACATGGATACTGATACTGCAACAAAAGACGATCATTTGCAAGTGGCTAATAGCCATGAGAAAGTGAACGAGAGAAATGCTGCGAAGAGACCGTCCAGAATCATGTTTGGCTAGTGTTGAAAAAGCAAAACTTTGAGGCTGGCATTTTTGATATGACATAATCATATTCTACCATACAGTCCCTAAAAACAGGGGATGGACATCCAATAAGATCGGTAAGGGTACCAGTCTGTTCACCAAGGGTGGATCATGCTGGCTTCTTAGAATGGGTGGTTGCCGATTTGTCGCGATATGAGGCCAAGTTACTGTAGGTGGATTATATGCCCCTCTTTTTTTCGGGGATGGGAACAACCAATCCATTTTCACACGGATCTCTGAGTTCCCAGTGGTATGGGATGACCAGACCCAACAAGATCCATTTACATAGCTATTGAAGCCATGGCCCAGTCGAAATAGTGAGTTTTCCCATAAAAATCGCATGGTGATTTTCCCATCAGTTTTTTGTATGTTTACCAGAGGGTATCCACATATATATGGTACAGGATGGGCCCCCCCAGTTATAAATTGGTTTATAAATCATTCTAATCCCCATTAACTATAGTTATATCTACCATAAACCATAGATTCCATAGAAGTTGAGCATGGCACATATATGACCCCGCAGGGTACCCGTCTGGATACAGGGAGGAATCGGCCGCTGTCGGCCGTGTGCCATAGTTCAGTTGGAGATTGGTGGAACCATTGGGATATACCGTCGGGATATATATATATATACATATATATATATATGTAGATAGAATATAGATTTATTCATTTATTGATTTATTTATTTATATGTGGGATAATTTCATCACGACCGAACCCTGTTCTCCGGAAGCCTGGAATCATGGTTAATTTTAGGGAAATCATCCCAAAATGGCCGCAAGATTCAGGTTAGTGAATTATTGTAATTTGCCCATATATATATATATATGTTTTTATATATATATATGTTTATTTATATATATACATATATTCAATCATATTCATGTATTCATTTATCTTTATAATCAATGGAGCACAATGGGTATATGTTTGATCAACAATATATTGTTTGATCTGTCTCAAAGATGAGGTATTTAAGCCCCATGGCCATTCAATAAGACGGAGCATGTTGATAAACAGATTCCCAAGAAATGATAAATGACTGGCTCTGGTGGTAGCAACAATGTCAGTCTGGTGATTGGCTTGAACATGCTGGATACAGAATAAGCTTCTAAACCCTTGGATTCCTTGGATATCTTGGCTCGTGGTCGCCTATTTGACAAAGCAAAATGTTTCAAATATGTGGTCCCCGTTCCTATGAATCTCAACTGACATTCGTTGGGTCCCAGCACCGGGACTGATTCCTCCGTCGGAGAATCATTCGGGAAAGCTAGCCATGCCAAAAAAAAGTGATGTGCATAAAAAAACTGTGGAATAGTGATAGTTTGGTCCGTTTGGTTTGATTTCTTGTGGTATGTTCGTTCATGGTTTAACTATGCCAAGTATGTTGAAAAATACATGTTAGATGGGGACACCGACCATACATGTACCTTAAATTCCATGAAGTCAGGTGGAATACAGCGCAAATTGCTGCATGTGTCATTTATCAAATAGTATACTATGTGCAGCTGGTTGGTGGTTTGGAACATTTTTAATTTTCCCATATATTGGGAACTATAATCCCATTTGACGAATATTTTTCAAGATGGTTAAAACCACCAACCGGCACGGGTTAATAAAAATAATGAGTCAACGTCTATGAAAAAGGACCAACATTGATGTGAATTCACCAGGGACTCTGAGCTGAAAAGCTGAGAAATCACCCCTTTGAAACAGCCGAACTGTTGGGCCTCTACGTTTTTTTTTCTTTTGGGGTAATTCGATGTAATTCGGAGGCCAAGGCATGTGGTAATATGTATGTGTATATATATATGCATAGAATATGCATATGTATATATGTATATATGATATCATGCAGATGTCCAGAAGTTGCACACAAAAGTCATGAACACCTGGCGAAAAAACTGTAGAAAGCACTGGGGAGGGTATTCGGTATGATTGGTAGAAAGCTCAATTCCTAACCCCACTTGGTGTTAAAAATTGGGATATGGTTTTTAGATGCCACAGATACAACATTTCTACGGTTCTTGATCAGATGATTTGACATGTTTTCTATGGATATCTACTGGAAATGCGAAAATTGAAATCAAAACAGTGAGCATTTACATACATGAATATGTGTGGATGCGTGTATGTGCATTGTAAACCATAGGATACGCCTTGGTGAAGATTTGGTGAATATATAGTTTAAATCATCCATACAGTGTGGGTGTTTTCCTGTTCTAGATCAAACCGTGCAATTGTTGATATGCTGTGGCGTAAGTCCATAGAGTGATCCCTTAAGATTCAAGATACGAAGATGTTTGGGGACTGGATTATCATGTGTCATATTGTATACTGTAGTGTGTGTTATTTATATAGTACGGTGGTCAGCATCCTACAAATTAAAAGAGATTCAGAACTGCTGCTATTGAATTATTGATAACAAAAAATTGCTGATAATCTTAGGTCCTTTTTTCAGTCTTCGTTTACTTGACATGAAATGACGTTACCCTCTGGTAAACAAACATAACTATGGAAAATCACCATTTTGAATGGGAAAATCCACTATAAATGGCAAT